TTATAGGAATTTCCTGGAATAGTTATTTATATTTATTGTATTTATTGTATTTATTTATTTATAAATAATATAAATTAAAATTACAAGAATATAATTATTGAAGAAGGTATTATATCACTGTATAAAAACTAATCCCTTTTCGGAGATTAGTTGGAAAAGTGTGGATATGAAAGGATATAGAGTATTCTTTTATATCCTTTGTTTTTTATTAGTTAATTTATATTGAAATCTATAAAGAACTACCCTCATACCACCCTGGCAGTGGTATAAGTTCAGTTTTGTACAAACTATACCCTAACTGTAGTACTGATACTATCCGGCCTATTCCCTGCTTGTGATCCCTCACAGATGCTCTCTATTCCCCCCCTCTTGCCTGTTTGGGACAATGATAAGATCCAAGCTTCAAATATTAAAAGGTGACTAATCCAGTTCAGCCCACCACTAGCCTCATCAATGACGATATGAACCCCACGATAACCATTGGAAACCTTCTCTATAGCTAATTACTTCGAATTATTTTCCATCATACACTCAAAACCCACCACAAAATCTTCTCTCAGTAATTTGCGATTTCTGATTGATACGAGAATTATTATTCTAAGTCTACAGCACTACAGTACGAAAACACATTATTTCCCTACAAGATGTCTCGCCACAAGAACGTCAAGAATCTTGACCTTGATGATGAATTGGATGATTTTGACGGTGGAGAGGATTACGGTTACGATGGAGAAGCTGGAGAAGGTATGAGCCAACAATTACTCCATATACTTGACTACCTGTTCGCAGACATTGGCTAATCCGCATTGACAGAACTGAGCGAAGAAGATCAAGAACATATGCGGCAAGGAACGATCAAAGTTCGAGAAGCTCTACCGCCCGGTTTAAGCAATGTTACGGAGAAGCAAATACAGGAAAGCTTGTGGCATTACTATTACGATGTAGGAAAAACGGCCACATACTTGATCAGCACATATACTCCCAAAGTGCCCAAGAAGATTGCAGCAAATAAAAGTTCTGGTAAGTTGATTCCATTTGGGTTTTAAGTTTTCTTTTTCGTCGCGTAGGAATACATACATTATCTGGACCGGAGGTGGGTTCCTCGTCTTATTATCTATTCCCATGCTTCCAATGTAATTCTGGCTAACACAGATAATAGAGTGCTACGATGAAGCTTTATTCTTCCGAACATGTACCTCTAGCTTATCTACCAAAAGCTTCTTTGCCGATACCCCATGGCTCGATATACCTTTAGAACGTCGTGCGATTCTTACACCTCCAGCGCGTTATCCAGGTGGGCTCTTGGGTGGTTCTTCGGAGGGTGCCCCAAAAATGTCGAAGTTACAGGCTCTAGCGGCTGCACGGAAGAAGAAGGCACAAGACCAGCAGAGCTCGGCCTCAGAGGTGGAAAAACCTATGGCCAGTCTCTCTCTGAACCAAACTGGGGGTGAGAGCACAACGGAACTTCACGAGAGCAAGCCTATCAACAATAGCGGCTCTTCATCCAAAGATTCGAAACACGGGGGGTTTCCACACCGGAAACGCAAAGATGCCAATCCTCACGAGAAGGTGCTTAAACCGCAGCCTACCCCCAGGGATTATCAGACAGAAGTTGAACCTGTAGTTGATTCTTCTCCCGTCTATCAGGCTAGCCCATCTGCTTTCGCTAGTACCATGTTTCGAACTGCAAGCGCAACCCCGAGACGCCAGCTAGAGAACAAATTTTCTATGCCGTACAGTTCAGATATCTTGACCGCGCCAGCTAACCCCTTTGCAGGGCCTAGTCCAGACGACGTTGTCATAGCAGCGCAGGCGAAAGGTTCTGTATCTTCTGCGACATCAAAGAACTGAAACTAATAATGTAGCAGCCAGTGGTAAAGGAGGTAAAGGATCATCTAAAGCCGTTGGGGACAAAAAGGAGGGCTCCAATGGTGTTGATGCGACGAAGGTTGAAGATGTGCCAAGAGCAAAGAGCAAAAATTTAGACGTTCTAGCAGAATTCAAGAAAACCAGAAGTAAAAATGCTGCGAACTTTGTAGTTATAGGTATATCAATATTGACAAATCATTATTCCATATTCTAACCTTGACAGGTCATGTTGATGCCGGAAAAAGCACTTTAATGGGCCGTCTGCTTTACGACCTGAAAGTAGTAGATCAGAGAACCATAGACCGGTATCGCAAAGAGGCAGAAAAAATGGGAAAGTCATCCTTCGCTCTTGCTTGGGTTCTGGACCAAGGAACAGAAGAACGAAGTCGGGGTGTAACGATTGATATTGCCATGAACAAGTTCGAAACCGAAAAGACAGTATTCACCATTCTTGATGCTCCTGGTCACCGCGATTTTATCCCAAACATGATTGCTGGAGCGAGTCAGGCAGACTTTGCTGTCTTGGTAATTGATGCTAGTACTGGATCTTTCGAATCGGGATTAAAAGGCCAGACAAAAGAGCACGCATTGTTAGTCCGAAGTATGGGTGTTCAACGTATCATTATAGTAGTCAACAAACTTGATACCGTCGGCTGGTCACAAGAACGTTTTGATGAGATCTCACAACAAGTTTCTGCATTCCTTATGGCAGCTGGGTTTCAGGATAAGAACATTAAATTTATACCGTGCTCTGGCCTTCAAGGTGATTACATTGCCAGAAGATCGACGGAACAAGCGGCGGCATGGTATACAGGGCCAACACTTGTAGAAGAACTTGATCATTCTGAGCCCGTGGCCAGAGCATTAAACAAGCCTCTTCGCTTGACAATTGGCGATATATTCCGCGGCGGTGTGCAACATCCATTAAGCATCTCAGGACGTATCGAAGCCGGATCTCTCCAAGTAGGCGATTCCCTCCTGGCACAGCCTAGCAATGAAAAGTGTTTCATCAAAGGCCTCGAGGTCGACTCCGAAGCGGTAGATTGGGCTGTCGCGGGCCAAAATACCACGCTACATCTCAGCGATATCGACCCGATCCATCTCAAGATCGGTGATGTCCTCTGCGCACCCGGTAACCCTATAAGTAATATCAAATCTTTCACAGCAAAAGTATTGGCATTTGAATTCTTGACGCCGATGCAGGTGGATGTTCATAGAGGTAGATTACATACGGCGGGCAAAATTACGGAGATTGTGGCAGTGTTGGATAAGGGGACGGGTCAGGTGATGGGTAGGAAGAGACCGAGGATTGTTAAGCCGGCGCAGGTGGCGAGGGTGGTGGTCGAGTTGGAGATGGCGGTGCCGTTGGAGGCGCCGGCGAGAGTTATTCTGAGAAGTGATGGGGTGACGGTTGCGGCGGGTTTGCTGGAGTAGAGTAGGGTGGTGGATTTGTGAAGTCAAATAAAGGCATTTGATTGATACCCCCTTCATGAGGCTGGGATATGTATGGCGTGGAAATCTGGTACACATGTGCATGGCTCGGATATATAGTAAGATAGTCTTATTAGATAGATGATTATTATCACTGTCCTCTAGTCTAGGATTCACGAGGTTCTTATTATGATGCAAATGAGAGGTTTATGGGATATGTATTTGTGTATGAATGTGCTCGTAATATACGAGTATTGTATCACTAAGACTGTATCTACAATATAATATATGTTGTTGGAAAATGGGCGAGGAGCATCTAGATTCAAGTTATACTTGAGCAAGTCAACTAATAGATATAATACCTAAAGAAGGATGGAAATCTACTGGAGACTAGAGTAATCGGAGTATCGAAACTACTAGAACTGGAATATGTTAAGAATCTATCTATATTCACTACTGAGTAAACCATGTTGATTTCTTATGAATGGATGGATATCTTGCGATGAGTCAATAGTAAGAGTAAGAGTTTTTCAAAAATCTAATACCGTTTGTACATGTAGCGTGGCGGTAACATAAGGACACATTGCCTTTCTGTAGGTATAAATAGGTATACTTTATGGGATTGGGATTGGGATTGGGCTTGGCGATAAGGAGGGGGGGATTAAAGAGGGATGGAGGACATCCTTGGCGCTTTAGATGAATCGTGATTTATGGACATCGGTATCGATATCGGTGGATATTTCTAGAAACAATAAGTAGCAAGTAGATAGCAAGTAGGTTTAGAAGTGTCAGTCGAAGTTTGTTGGTAGGTAGGTTTAGTTTTAGATTTAGTTTTGATCTAATCTGAGATTAATGTCGATTTATGTTCTATAGTAGTTGGAGAACTTATATTTGCTGTTACGTAGGTTAGTGGTGTAGAGTGTAGTTGTTGTGACTGTATATACTCGTATATTTCGAGTATACTAGTAGTATAATAACTGTATAGAGAGAGAATCATGAGATACTGAGATATATACAAGTATAGTACAAGTATACAAGGTGGCTAATAGCATGAAGTGTCCTTTTCTCAATGATGTATATACATATTTTTAATAAGATTTATTCTCTCAATTGGGTAAGTAAAATGTTTCCAATATTGGATGTAGGTAGATGTACCGGTTGGTATGGTCCGTATCTAGATGATTAGATCACTAGTAGGAATATCCTTGGTTTTAGTTCTAGCAATATACAAGGTAGTAATAAGTAATATGTATATATTCATTCTAACATTGATGACTTATTATTATTGTTTTCAAAAAGGTGCAAAACTGTCCTTTTCCATGAGCTACTGCCACTATCTTATGATGATGAGTCGGATTAAATATATTCCTTGCCTATCACCTAACCGAACCAATCATTAAATCTCAAAGGTCAATTGGGACAGATTTCCATTTCATCAAGAAAGCTTTCATAAAGTCGACTTCTTCCCACCTGTTAACTTTCCTTTCTACTTCTACATTAAAGAATAGATTCCTTTTTTTACAACACAGGAACATCTCCCAAATCCATCTTGGTAAATCAATCATCATGGCCAGCGGAACCAGATCTTCCCTTTTCGTAGGGTTGTCTGCAATCTTCTATCTTGTACTTCTATTCTCTCCCCTCGCTCTCCTTCAAACCGCAAACGCACAGTCCGATCAGGACCCAATCCAAGAATCATATGGCACAGGTATACTTTTACTCGGTTCCCCCAATAAGTTATCTCTTACTGACAGCTTTGCCATTTAGTTATTGGTATCGATCTTGGAACAACCTACTCTTGCGTCGGTGTGATGCAGAAGGGCAAAGTCGAGATTTTGACAAACGATCAAGGACACAGAATTACACCCTCATACGTCGCCTTCACAGATGAAGAAAGATTAGTCGGAGATGCAGCCAAGAACCAGGCTGCTGCCAACCCAAAGAACACTGTCTATGATGTCAAGTGAGTTTTCAATTGTTCTCCATTCACTAGGTCCCAATACTGACAGGTGTCCTCTCAGGCGTATGATCGGTCGTAAGTTTAACGACAAGGATGTTCAAGGTGACATGAAGCACTTCCCATTCGATGTTGTCCAAAAGGATGGCAAGCCTTCGGTACAAGTTGAATACCAAGGAGCCAAGAAGACCTTCACTCCTGAGGAAATTTCCGCCATGATTCTCGGAAAGATGAAGGACGTCGCCGAATCATACCTCGGAAAGACTGTTACCCACGCAGTCGTTACTGTTCCCGCCTACTTCAACGATAACCAAAGACAAGCGACCAAGGATGCTGGTATTATTGCCGGTTTGAACGTCCTCCGTATCGTCAACGAACCTACTGCCGCAGCTATTGCTTACGGTTTGGACAAGACTGATGGTGAACGTCAAATCATTGTCTACGATCTCGGTGGAGGAACCTTTGATGTTTCCCTCCTCTCTATTGATCGTGGTGTCTTTGAGGTTCTTTCTACTGCCGGTGACACTCACTTGGGAGGAGAAGATTTCGATCAAAGAGTCATCAACTACTTCGCCAAGAAGTACAACAAGGAGAACAGTGTCGATATCACCAAGGATCTTAAGACCATGGGTAAACTGAAGCGTGAGGCTGAGAAGGCTAAGCGTACTTTGTCTTCCCAAAAGACTACCCGTATCGAAATCGAAGCCTTCCACAATGGCAATGACTTCTCCGAGACCCTTACCAGAGCTAAGTTCGAGGAGCTTAACATTGATCTTTTCAAGAAGACCCTTAAGCCTGTTGAGCAAGTTCTCAAGGACGCTAAAGTCAAGAAGACCGAGGTTGATGACATTGTCTTGGTTGGAGGTTCTACCCGTATTCCAAAGGTTCAAGAACTTATTGAGGAGTACTTTGGAGGCAAGAAGGCTAGCAAGGGTATCAACCCTGATGAGGCTGTCGCTTTCGGTGCCGCTGTTCAAGGTGGTGTCTTGTCTGGAGAGGAAGGCACTGCAGAGATCGTTCTCATGGACGTCAACCCATTGACCCTTGGTATCGAGACCACTGGAGGTGTCATGACTAAGTTGATCCCAAGAAACACTGTTATCCCCACCCGCAAATCTCAAATATTCTCTACTGCCGCCGATAATCAACCAGTAGTCTTGATCCAAGTCTATGAGGGAGAGCGTACCATGACCAAAGACAATAACAACCTTGGTAAATTCGAATTGACCGGTATTCCACCAGCACCACGTGGTGTTCCACAAATCGAGGTTTCTTTCGAGCTTGACGCAAACGGAATCTTAAAGGTTACCGCTGGTGACAAGGGTACTGGAAAGAGCGAGTCCATCACCATCACCAACGATAAGGGACGTCTTACTCCAGAAGAAATTGACCGTATGGTCCAAGAAGCCGAGAAGTATGCCGATGAGGACAAAGCTACCAAGGAGCGCATTGAGGCCCGTAATGGTCTTGAGAACTACGCTTTCAGCTTGAAGAACCAAGTCAACGATGATGAAGGTCTTGGTGGTAAGATCGATGAGGATGACAAGGAGACCGTAAGTTATTGGCATTTTCCACTTCTACTTTACATTGTACTAATCATTCTCATAGCTTTTGGACGCCGTCAAGGAGACTAACGAATGGCTCGAGGAGAACGCCGCCACGGCTAACGCCGAGGATTTCGAGGAGCAAAAAGAGAAGCTCTCGAACGTCGCATACCCAATCACCAGCAAATTGTACAGCGGAGCTGGTGGACCAGGAGCTGATGATGAGCCAGAGGGACATGATGAGTTGTAGTTAGTTTAGATGGTTACGTTTATGAACCGAATTGATATACTTCACATTTTGTTTTAAGGTTGTTTAACGGGCGGAGCAAAGCATTACATTGTAATCCGTTGGGGGCGTCATACAAAAGAATTACAGATCGGTTTTGATATTTTAAGGATAATGAACTTTTTGGACTTGTCTGTGATTGTGATTGTGACATGATCATATACTCGGATAGTAACTTGTGTCTGTCTATATGTATATGTCTATTGATATCAAAAGAGTATATGTGAAGGAGGTATATATATACTCGTATATGCCATAAGGGTTTTATAATAGTTAATTTAGATTAAATTAATATTAACATTGATTTTGACTCTATTTCTATCTCTATCTCTATTTCATATACTAAATCTACTCGAGTACAGTACTCGAGTAGATGGATATTCTATTATCTATAATATATAATATTACAACTCTCTACTCGAGTATATGGTCTGACCCCCTTATATTCGCCTAATTGATTAACTCGACAAAACAGATATGCCATCAACACCAAGGCCTAGCGAATCCAGTAGATCTTCAAAATTATCTCTAAAGGGATGTTCTTCACAACTAACTTCCGCAATAGACTTAGCTATTTCTTCACTCAACCCAGTATCCCTTGAAGTATCATACACATATTCCGCCCTCGCCTCTACCTCTCCTTCATTTTCCGGAAAGAGTTCAGTGCGAAACTTAACATCAGCCAAATCAGCCAATTCCAACACCCCACCATGTAAATGAGCCCCAGTGCCCTCTCTCCTCCTCTCTGCAACCTTTTCCGCAACCTTCAAGACTGCCGACGCTTGCCAAAATCCTTCTCTTTTCTTCACCATGCGAAGGAGATCGATTGCTTGTTGATAGAGATGAGTATTTGGTGCAGACACAGCTATGAAATACAGTGGTGCAATAACACCTCCATCGGCCGTGAGGAAATCATCACCATAATCCAAGGCTGCATGCGTGATCACCGAACGAGATATATCGATAATAGCTTGGAATCGTTGATTTTCAGACGCGGGTAATAAATCAGTTTCGACTCGGGAATTGGCTCGGAGATCAACGACGAGAGATAGGGATTGGTAATGTAGTTGTAGGAGAAGACTTCGATGGATTTCACTTGCACTCCATTTTGCAGCTTCGGCTTGACATAAACCATCAAAAGCGCGTTTCCAATTTAACATGCCGATATTGAACGAATGGAGAAGTTTGGTTTGGTGCGGAAACATAGCTTCGAAATTGGAGGTTCGTTCACGGCGAGAACTCTTTGGGGACACTGCTGTGAGGACATAGAAGACGCGGAGCTCGTAATATTGCTGTGCAAGACTTGCGGCGTGCAAAGCTGAAAAACGATCGCCGCATTCGGGTTCATTGGAATTGCTATTGGGGATCAAGATTGGTTTGCGAGAATCCCAAAACGAAGTTGCTTGAACGTCAAACCGAGTGATTATCTCCAGAATGTTTTCTTGTGCCTGCTTTACTGCTGGACGCACATCTTGCATTGCCCAAACATTGTATACCCGTAATCCGTTCTCCAGATGTTCAAGTGCTTTCTCGTGGTTATTTTGGGCATTTTCTAGACAGACGAAAATTATGCAGCAAGCTAATGCTACTTGAATTTTATTGTCAGATTCAAGGGAACGAATGTGCCGAATTGATTTGTTCTATTGCTGTAGAAATACTCGCTGCGTAGCATTCGAAGGTTTGATCAAATGTTCATGCAATGCCGAGATAGCAATCACCGCATGGAGAACCGCAGGATAGGCTTCACTCAGTTGTAATATCATTCGCCGCCAAAAATCAAAATCTTTATTCACACCCATCAAACCATACATGGCTCTTTGACGAAATTGTTCAAAATATCGATGTTCTTTACTACTGCGAGTAGAACCAAGACCTGGAAGAATGGTAATACGGGTTTGTGCGCGATGTTGTGAGAGCACAATGGCTTCATCTTTTGGATTATAGTTATCGCAGATACGACCGGTAGTGCTGCATTTGTTGCATTTTGGTTTGCCTTCGTCACATTTTACATGTCGAATTCTTGAGTCTCGGGTTAGCTAATTCTCCCATGGAACTTGTGCTTGTAGATTTGCAATTGCAAAAGGAATTGAGAGAGATCAGAGGTACACATAGTGCATTTGGTAGTCGCCATGATGTGGTTCTTGAGGCCACTCAGTAACACGGACCAATGTTGCTCATCATGATAGTTGTAGTAATGTGATATATGGTGTTGAGAATGGGGTGAATGTGTACATACTTGCAAGTGAGGCATGCTCCTCTCGATTTCTTGAATTTGGACCGAGACCTTTTTTCTTTTTGAGGAAGAGAAGGTTCAGACGGTATTTGATCAGTCATTATGCATTTTATAGTTGAAAGATGATGCACCAAGAATGGGCATTGCTGAATATCTCATAATGAATACGAAGGAAGGGAAGGGTGTTATACTCGTAATATATAAAGGATCAGAATCGATTCAAAATTTAGCAGATCTAAGATAACCCTTATTATTTGTAGCCAATCATATCAAGTATTGAAAGATTTATGGGTTTTCTACATTTTCAGATATGCAACATAACCTTTTCTTGTCAATATCACGTGAAACTAATTTACTAATCATGGTATTTATTGATTGGCTGTGAAGGGTTCAACAACTTTAATCTTGATTCAGATCTACCAAAATCATATTTCTGCATACAGAATTGAATATAAAAACAACCATTCAATATTCCCATATAAGTTTTTGGAATATAATGCAATTTTGCTTCTTTTGTACTCATCTCTTGAAATTCAATATGCTACCATAAATCCAAGAAGAAATATCTGATATTGAAAAGACAGTCTTTAAAAGACTGAGATGTGCAACAAAACAGTCGGGAAGATCGCTTAGAAACCCAACTAAATTAAACTCAAACCACGACTTTTGACTTGATACAAGCCGTTGTAGGGTATTTGTATCACTTAAACTGGTTCAACAACTAAATAACAAAGTAAATCTTCAATTACGTGTACATCATAGTAGTCTTATAATCCCCCTCATTCTCGCAAAGCTACTGAGAGTAGTATTTAATTACACCAGAAAAGACAGCCATATGGCACCTATACCCCTAATTCTTCTCACTCTTCCTTTCAAAACCTTCATATAATAAGAGTAAACCCAATCAGTAGATATTCTTTCCACATTCCACTGCTGTTACCAATTAGATTCCGAATATGTATGTGGTACTGATCGAACCAAATTTTCTGTTTCAAATCCCGTTCATTTTCATCATTTGTACTCGTAGACTATCTGCATATATACATGCAGTACAGTACCGATCTGAGAATTATCTATCACTCAAATCTGAATAAACATCATGAATTGACTAATAATATCATGATATTTATCATTGTCTACTCACTACTATCAATTATCACCCTATCCTTCAAAAATTAGGAATCCTCTACCTCTTCCCCTTCCCTTACCTCGCTTCCTTTTAATACACCAAAATATCGCTTAACCCTCCCCTCTCTCCCTTATTTCTCCATATCCTCCTCCCTTTCCATTCCTCACCTCTATTCACACTCCAGGCAACGGCCCAAAAAACCAAACCAAACAACACAACCCCTCTCTACATCTCCCCTCTCCTCTAAAAGCATAAAATAAAATAAAACACCCACCCACCCACCACACCTTATCCCACCCCTCCCCCCCCTCAAAAAACCCCTCAAAAAACCCCTCAAAAATCTCTTCCCTCTTCCCTCTTTCCTCTTCCATCCACCCAGCACCCATCACCCATCACCCATCACCCATCACCCATCACCCACAACCACCACCGCCGCCGCCACCGCCACCCAAAACCCCCCTCCCCCTCCCAAAAACACATCCACATCACATCCAAATAAATCAAACACAGACCAGCAGCGAATTGAACACTAGACCTCTTCTATGCTAAAGAAACATCATACGATCCATACCACTAGACAGACCACAAGCCCGTAATCTTTTTTTTTTTTTTTTTTTTTTATTTTTTTTTTTTGAGATATCAAAAATCTTGGTTGTTTGGATGGGGGGATGGGGGTATGGGAGGGGATATATGTGAAATATATGAAGGGGTGGATGAAGATGTGGAGGGGGTGGATGGATAGGTGAAGATGTGGATGGATTGGATGAAGGGGTTGATAGGAAGTAAGGGAATAGAGATGAGGTGAGGGATTGGATGAGGGATTGGATGAATTGGATAGGTAATAGAATTGATAAAATGGAATGGATAGGTAGTGGGTCGGAGAGGGAAGAAACTAGATATATGATATACTCAAGAGAAATTCACTAGGAGAGGTAATATGAGTAAAAGGTGAAAAGGGTGAAAGGGTGAAAGAACCCAAAGGCAGAAATACTGGTATACCTTACTGCAGAATGCTCGGTAAGAAGCTATTAGGCACTCATTCAAGAGTACGTACTGAAAATCGACAATTTTGGAATCAACTTTTTTTCTGCATTTACAATTTCCTATCTTCCAACTGTAATAGTTCTGTCTTCGCTTCCACATCCTTCTTTTGATCTCTCCTTCCCACAATCTTCTATCCAAGGTAACCCATCAAGAAATCTGGTCACTTCTCACCTCACCGTAATGGGCTCCCTTTCCCCGGTGTCCACCCACCTCCACCTCCACCAAAGCTTGATAGTCCACTCCCATTCGCACTCCCACTCCCTCCCGATCCAAAGGGCAACACTCTCAATGGTTTGCGAACCGGGGTACTCGGTCCCTTCAAACTTACACCACCATCCTCATTACTCCCAGGCGGTGTATTAGCCCTGCTGATATCCTTCCCCTCTCTTTCCCTCTCCCTCTCCCTTTCTTTCCTAGCATTAAACCCCGGCGGTCTAAAATTGCTCGCCTGCCCCGCCTTATAAACCTCAATCAATAAATCCTCCATCAGCGCCCCTCCAAGTTCCTCACTCGCAATCCATTCCTCCCACTTCCTCCACAGTCTCAGCGCTGTCCTCGCATCTTCAATACTATCATGCGTCTCGATTTGAATGTCTTCCCTGAACAGATACCATGCCAAAAAAGCTAATCCCAACTTCCTCTGTTTTGCCGGTATAAAGAAAAGATCCGCCGTGTCAATCACGTGGGATTTTGGTATCTGTATATTAATGACTCTAAAGTCTGTTTTGAGCCCATGGCCCACGAATTTACATCCAAGGTTTAATAGAATCCAGAGTTTCTTGTAAGCAATTTTGAGGGAAACAAGATTATGTTTCGACTGACGTGGGTCGAGATCACCCGGATTGATGCCCGAATAAGATGTGAGATAGTCGACAATGGTATCTTTGCAATTGATATAGTCATCAATGAACGGGAACCCTTCGTTATCACCAGAGCCTCGGACGACAGAGACACGGGCTAGAGCATGTGCGATGGGCCGGATAGTTTGTCGTTCGCCTTCGGAGTTTACTTCAATTTCGGGCTGACGAATGGAGACGAATTCAGTGTCAAGGGCTATGAGGGTTCCTTCGGTCGGTCTTTCACGATTGGAGAGGGGCTTGTGGGTTTTGTCGATGACACGCGTACTTAGATAGAGTTAGCAAATGTAAATTTTCTGAAGAGAGGGAAGTACGAACTTTTCATTAGCAAATAATAGGGAAGTGTCTAAATTTTGCTTCCATGAGTTGTCAACCCTATTATTTTCATCTTTCACCTGATAAGTGATGACGGATGGAAGTTTCCAACTGGAGCTAAAAGATAGAGCGTCTTCTTTTGGCATCGGGGTAACTAGGAAATCATTAAAGAGAAACCATCGACTTTCCGCTGGTGCAATTGGCGCAGAATGAGAAACTGTGATACATTAGTATATGTCCAAGTGAGAAGACGATATAAGTTTCACCATTTATTAAAGACACCAAATGAGGTTTTTCATGTTGCCCGATATCAATATCCGCAGCGAGACCTACTAAAGAATAAACAGTAATGTTGTGTGCACCACGTTGGATATGAAGTCTCAAATCCTCGCCTTGATAACAAAATATTTGTCCTTGGCTAATAATGATTCCTATCTCTTCAGGTAAACAACCAGGTGTCTCCCAAAAATGTTTTGATTCAGGAGTAGAAATACATGCATTGAGCATAAGAATATGTGGTGAGGAATGGATGGTCTTTTTCGTTTGTAATGATTGATATTTTTTACAATTCATACACCATCCGCGGTTTGTCGTTTCGCGTTCAATACTCGCTTTTAGAATCTCGCTGAGTGATCTTTTTGGCATTGGTGTCTTACCATTCCGGTTGTATAATTTCTGATACACTTAGCATGATTCAAATAATGCGATGAAATACTTACAAGTGGTGCTGGCGGGTATATTAGATCTACAGACGAGGTTGCTCCTGGTCTCGTGTGCTCGCTCTTACAAAAAACACATTTTATGATCATTGTAGCAGGTGTGGAAAAGACCTAAACCGTTAGCAAGAACCAAAACTCCCATACCAAGTCAGGCACTAACATGCTCAAGAAGAGTTGAACCAGGAGGGATGCTTTTATATTCATTCGGGATTCTTTCGAGGAAAAATCGATTCATTGATTGGAGCATATTTGAGAGTGGAACCCCACGTGATTCTTCCTCCAGTAAACCCAAGTGCTTAGCTAGTTACACATCAGCACTATAGAGATCATTCTCAGGAGTCCACTTACCTTCCGGATGATGGCTGAAAGTCTTCAGCAGGTTTGTTGCTTGACATACGGTCCCCGCTGCCTTCTCAAGCATATCAAACAAGAATCCCATCTCGCATAATAAACACATATCATTAACACAGTTTGTTGCAGTGTGTTGTAATGCCAAATTCCTGATGAGGGTCGTAAATCTCATCACTTGCAGCAGAGCATTCGCGTATGAATTCGAGATATGAGTCTCGAGCCCTGAATATGATGTCTTATTATAAAATCTTCCTAATATTAGCGGATTCGTCAAAGGGGGGCTTGGAGCCTACCCAAAATCAAAATCATCAACTCCAAATTTGCTATACTTGATCTCCACATTCATATATAAAGCATTGGTGCCTGCTTGCAAAGTAGGGAGCTCTTTGTTCCCTATGGTATCGGCGATATCATTCATACCACGTTCAGGCGTCGCATCATTCACGGCTTCTCTAGCCTTCTCACTCAAAAATTTCGGCGCTTGTATACTCGCTGGCGTTTTCCCGGTAATTCTCGTGTTCTCTATCTGATTCCTTCTGACCTCCCTCCTTGTGTTGTGGCCACATATATACCAGTCTAAAGCTTTTGGGGACGAAATAGAACTTGGATCGACCTTTACAGGCGGAGCACCGACTTCGAAAACCATATGACTCGGCCAAGCAGATAGAAGAGTTTCTCGATAATACGGCATGCCAACTGTACTCAACGGACTATTCGAGGTTCTATTAGCAAGACCATGAAAGGATCGCCTTTCATACTTACGTATCATCGGTCCAGTTTGTACGAACGGATTTCTCATCCGAGTCCGCAAACTCGACAGGGTTGCTGAACTCGGCAAATCGAATTCTACCAGGCGAGCCCCATATATGTATGCTGTTTTCCATATCTGACAAAGCAATAGCTTCCCCTGAAGAAGCGATCTCTAGAGATCTTAACGTGGACAAAACATTTGCTTGCCTCACATTGCTTGAATTCGGATTGATCAAGTCACATATGTGAATTTGACCCTGTTGCGAAACAATATAGCTGGTGGTCAGCATTCGTGGATGCATTCTGACGAATGCTGCCCCCGGAGGAAATGGAATTGGAGCTAGAGTGGTCAATGTCCTGAGATTAAGAACCAGAACAAAAGTATCAAGTCTGTATGATCCTTGAAGTGATAACGAATAGCCACAAGTGACTACATAGTCACTTTGCGCATCCATATCGTTGATGAGGGCTGTATGAGCTTGCCAAATCTTGACCACAGTGAAGTTCAAAGAATCAAGTATGGTAACCGATCCAGTCGGTGTGGCCGCACAAATATAGCGGCTCCTCTTCATAATCTTGAAGTGATCGCTCGTACGTATCTAGAGGCTTAGAAAATATTCTGCGTGATCGCGGAGTACTACTGTACCTGTTTTGTAATAATTCCTTTGTCCACATCAATAACAAACATCTGATTCTGCAGCCCCGCAACGAGTATTTCTGAAGTTCCCCTCGAAGTATAACTCATGCATCGCAAATCTTTCATGTCTTCGTGACTACAGTCGCAAAAGAATCAGCCCTGCTTTGCACAGCTTCCGGGGAGTGTTGTACGTGATATGCCATATGTATAAACCCCTCCTTGACGCCATATGGACGCTTCTGCCGCCTACGGAAATAACCCCTCTATCATGAAATAGAAATTGACGGATCGGATCTTGGCCAGCCTTATAGGATGTATATCGTTGTCCATCGAGGGCATAGAAACTCTTGACGCGTCCCAATTCGTCCCCCGTCCAAAACAATTCTTGTGAAGAATCGAATGCCCTCGCAGGAGCTTGCATAGGATCCGCAAGCACACCCAAAGGCGGCAGCTGGATTCTTCTAACCTTAAAACAGTAAGCATTGTAATAGTAAACATTGTTGGGGACCATCGCAGCCAGTTCATCCCCTTGGGAGAACACTGCTGTTGACGATAACAAGGCTGAGAAACAGCACGGAAGGTTACAATGAGATGAGGAATGGTTTGAGATGAGTTGAAGGACTAAAAAGGAAAGTAGAACTCACTTCCTCCCAATCACCATCCATTTTGGACTAAATTAAAGTTACCACTCCATGGTTTTGTATATAAAAATATATTATCGAGACCCAAGATGAGATGAAATGGATTAAGGATGTTGACGAGGGTGCGGAGGGTGGATTCCTTTGATTATTCTGCCATGCCACAACATGCCCACATTCATCCGGTTTGGTTTTAGTGACGCTTACAGGGTATTTACCGCCCAAGAGGGGCTGCTTTAAAATCCTACAGCCTACTGAATTCCGCAAACATTTATGGAGAGCGCCAAAGCTCATCCAATTCAGCCTCCTCCCTTTGTGTGTTTGAACATTGACATTGGGCGCGTCTCAGTCTTTCAGTCTAGTACCGTAACTTTGACAAATGTAGGTTCATATCTGATGTTTTCTTCAATTCATCGTGAAGATAACTGTTCCAATTGATTAATTCCGCAACATCATCGTTTCGTTGTTTCTCATGAAAGTCAAGCTGTTGCCATTACCCCTCCATTAACACACCTCATTCCGCATCTCTCTTCACAATGAATTTCTATGATTGCGCATTTCTGGTATTAATATCAGCATGCGCTCTTCTTACATGGCGACAATATCGTATGAAAGAAGAATCAGCAGAAGATAAGAAAGACACGGATGTTGCTACCCCTCTAGCAAAGGCAGAAGCTAGCCGCTTCACCAAACTTTTCCTTACTGTCTACTGTCTTGTAATGGCATCAGATTGGCTTCAAGGTAATTCATACTCTCCTGTTAACTGAGCTTTACTAATATCAACATAGGTCCATACGTTTACAGTCTCTACAAAGACCAATTCGGACTCGACGAGAAAATTGTAGCCTTACTCTTCACAACCGGCTTTCTGTCCGGTGGCATATCTGGATACTTCGTAGGTTCATTCGCCGATAAATATGGTCGCAAATCAGCATGTCTTGTCTTTTGCCTCACCTATTCGCTTTCCTGTTTCTCAACTCTCTTTCCTAGCACTGCCATCCTGTTTGTTGGACGAATCTTTGGAGGTTTAAGTACGAGCTTGATGTTCAGTGCCTTTGAAAGTTGGATGGTTACGGAATATCATAAAAGAAATATACAAAAAGCTGGGATGAGTTTGAGCAGCCTGTTTGGAGTTATGTCTACTTTGAATAGCGTTATGGCTATTTTATCGGGTGTTTTCAGTGAGTGGTTGGTTCAGGTTACAGATGATAGGAGAATGCCTTTTATGGCATCTGCTGGTCTGTTGGGAATTTCTGCATATATCATTTCGATGTACTGGGTAAGTTGTTCAGACTTCTTGGGAAATTCAATTACCCATAGCTAACCACAATACCAACAGACCGAGAACTACGGCGATAGTGCAATCACACCTCAAAAGTCCACTTCCAGCGCCTCCTCCACCTCACCCAACGCCAACTCTCCCTTTCGTATCCCCAAAGCTCCTCTTCCTACCACCTCAGTCCTCAGTCTAATCTTCACCAATCCCCGTATTTTCACCCTCGGCCTCGCCTCTTGTTTCTTCGAAGGTAGCATGTACCTCTTCGTCTTCTTCTGGACGCCCTTCCTAAAGGCCACTCAACCATCTCCATCCGCACCTCCGCTCCCTCTCGGGATGATTTTCGCAAGTTTTATGTCATCCGTCATGCTTGGCTCTCTAATATTCACACATCTCTCCTCCACTTTCCAGTCACTCACCCACACTCGCCTTCTAACTATCGTTTTCGCTATATCATCCATATCTCTACTATTCCCTCTCCTCACTAACAACCAACATTATACTTTCTATGCTTTCTGTGTCTTTGAAGCTATGGTTGGTATGTATTTCCCAAGTGTGGGATCTCTGAAGGGGAAATGGGTAGAAGATGGGGTCAGGGCAAGGGTTTATGGGATCTTGAGGGTTCCTTTAAATGTATTCGTGGTGGTTAGTTTGGCATTGGTGAGAGAAGGTGAGGAGTATAGGAGAGGTGTGTTTTTAGTTTGTGGTGGGTTGTTGGTTGCGGTTAGTGGAGTTTTTTATAGGTTTGTTAGAGAGTCATAGGTGAAGGTTGGGCGTATGGTACGGGCTATATGCATGGTTCATTTTTGGATAGAGGAAAGTTAAGATATACAATGGTGTACACGACTAAGGTTACATTTTCTTGCATATCATGGAGTTCTGGTCATTAGGTTAGGAAAGGAAAGGGAATATCAAGTCTAAAACGACTAAATTTGCATTCATAAAAGGGACAATGTTTCAATCGCAATCCTATTGTTTGCTACAATACTATTACCACCGCGCCAACACCAGAGAAGATACCAGTGATTATCTACTCGAGCACTTATTTATAACCTTCCATCCATGAACCTTTCCTTCCTTCCTTCCATCCACCACAAGACTTGGCCCGAAAATCATTGATCTATCTATAGTCATCCTATCCTATCCTGTGTGAGCTCAACCAACATCAAAACCAACATCAAAGCGAAACCTCCAATGGTTATGTATCGTCGCCACTAGCAAGTCAGGCAGGCTTCCTGTATCTATATCTATCGAGTACGTACTCGAGTACTCGAGTAGATAAAAAAAAAACAAAAGAGATAATATTAGTACGAGTAATTTAGCAATTTAGTAATTTAGTAATTTAGTACCAGTGGGTGGTGGTGAAATTCTCATATCCTCTTCTGCTTCTTCTTCTTTTTTCGTTGCAGTTTCTTTTCTACTTTTTGAACTGTTGGCTGCTGGCTGCTGGCGGCTGGAAATATATTCGAGGTTCCTGTAACTGTAATGATTGTTATTGAGTTTGAGCTTTGAGCTTATTTTTGTTCTTTTACTACTCAGTACTGTAAGTAGAGTATCGTTAAGTATAGTATAGCAAATACACACCTTAGTGCATCGCTCAGAATAAGCAAGCTGTCCTATATTTGCAATGGATGGATTATGATACATGATACATCAATATCAATATCAAGTTGCACAGACTCAAAGAAAAGGAGGGAGTTATATCTCTTTATTTCATTTTGGTATCTGGTATCATATCTACAAATGCGCACGAACTCATCTCCACTCCACTCAACTCGTCATATCCTATCCTATCCTATTCTATCTGGCATGCATGCATGCATGCATCCATCATCCCATTCCCATTCCCATTCCCATATGCAAATGCAAATGCCTATGCCCTCCCATATTCATCACCAAGGATATCATGTCCCACCTATCCCCGTCTCCGTTCCCATGCCAGCCATCACCAAACCTCTCCCGCACCAAAGGTATCTCAGCTCATCTCATTTCATCTTCCCCCGACCCTCCAAATCAAAACGTAAATCAACGTTATCCAGATACTCCTTTCCCTTCCGTATATGTATGTATGCTCTTTGCTATGAAGATCGTCTCGAGTGCGAGTTCGAGTTCGATTTACTCGTGCGCTTCAAATACCGAGTGATTTGTTCCTTACGAGGGGCGAGGTAACTTCCGCTCGTATCGCTCTCTAGATATCCGCTCCTCCCTCAAGTAAAAAAAAAACAGCCGCGTGGAGTTCATAATGCCTCCAGCATATCTGTCATGAACGAAAGAAATATGAAAAGAAATTAAAAATCCAGCATCCTTGAGTAGTGAGAAAGCCGCGTATAATCAAGTAAAGTAAAATAAAAACTCCCGCTTGCCCCCTTGAAAATGCAACGAATGCAATGCATGTATATCGATCGGACCAAAGGAAAATGTGTGGCGGACGATTCGTAACTGGCTGCCTAGTATTGAGATATTCCGAAGAATAATTCTGATTTAAAGAGTTTTCAACCCTGGCTTATAATAACTCTTGCACCCTCCTTGCCCAATATACCTCTTTCCTGCGGCTTTGGGCTATGCCCTCTGCCTTTCTTTCTTGATAAGAATCCTAACATACCCGTTGGCTTGGCATGCGCTTCGATTAACTTGGCATCTGCCGGTAGTGATGCATCTTGCTTGGCCAATTCTGACCAACTTCCAGTCTCTCCTAATACAACTTGCATGCCTCCGCCTTGTGATTCCTTGCGTGATCCACCAGGACGATTAGGGCGGTTATATGATTGTTGATAAGGTGATAAAGGTGTCTTCATCGTACTTGGTGGTGGGTGGGCATGGGGTACGGAGCGAGGAGGTCCTAAAATGGGGCTAGTATGTTGAGAGCCAGGGACTGGTGGCACATTCGCACTACTCGATGGTGATTCGGAGCGCGAGGATGGCTGAGACCGCGAAGCAGCTCTCTTCCTATTCTTGGATAAAGTGCGCGTGGGTGTGGGTTTTGGGAATTCATCAGACGTTTGCGATGCTGGGGTAGATGGGCTAATATTTTGTGTGACCGGAGGGGGAGAGTTTGGATCACCGCCTTCAGCATATCTAGAATAAATAGTTAGCATAAGGGAAGATGATTTGTAGGAGAGTGCTAACCTGTCATACGCTGCCTTGGTGTAATCGAATGTCGTATATTGAGCTTCAATCGTCTTATGGAGTTCCTCTTCCTTGATTTCCTTTTCTGTCGCATCTTCCTTGAGAGGTTCTCGTGGTTTTTGTCGACGCGCTCGAGCTTCTAATGGTGCTTCCTCCAACAGCAGTTCCTCAAGATCATAAGTGGCATCAAAATTCGTCTTTTCACTAGATGGGACGAAGACTGGCTCTATCTCTTTTCTCTCAAGTGCCTCGAAGTCCAGAGGTCGGAAGAAGGGGTTGTCGGTAAAAGTTTCAAATCCGGCCGAACCCATTCGCTTTGTAGGATCTTCCTCCAGGGCTGAGCTAATGGCATGTAAACATGGCATAGAAACTGCTGGCGATGTGACGGGGAAATTTGGTGAAGCTTTGGTGATCTGTGCTGCTAAGGTTGTTTGTGTGCTACCTTCGAATGGCCTCTAAAAACATTGGTTAGAACTGAAGACTGAAGAGTGGGGTTGACAGGAAAATGGAAATCACGTCAAATCATACCTTGTTATAAATACATTCATAGAACAATACCCCTAATGACCACCAATCTGCTCCAGGTCCATATCCACATCCTTTGTAGACCTCTGGTGCAAGATAAGCTAGAGTACCAGATTTACTCGTTAATAACCTGTGTGAAGTGTAATCCGATGCAACATTCTGCATCATGTTAGCGCTGTGTTCACACTCGGGAAGTGTTTTTGGGGGTACAAACAAAATCTGCTAAATGTATATGTCCCTCGGAGTCCAATAGCACATTGTCAGGTTTGACATCCCGATGTATGATACCCTGCTTATGTATGTATTTTAAAGCGATCCCAAGTTCGGCAATCCAGAACTGAACTGCTTCCTCTGTGAAGGTCTTTCTTGAAATATGGAATCGTAAATCTCCCCCGTTCATTAGATCCACCACTAGATACCTGTTGATTGGAAGGTTAGTGATTGCTTGTGGTTCAGGAGCAAGTCTCAGTCAACGTACATGTACTCAATGTCTTGAAAACTATACCGCAAGTTACAAATAAATGGGTGATTTAGATGCTCCAGCATTCGTCGTTCTCGAATTATGTTCCGAACACTTTCTTGTCGAACAACTATATTTTCCATACATCAGCAATCATTCAAGATCGGAGCGAGTATCACCAACCCTCATCCTTGCGAATGTACTTCAGCGCAAACGTCAACCCGGTATCCTTTCTCTCTACTATCCTTACTTTTCCAAAGGCACCCTTTCCAACAACTCGCAGAAGTCGGAAATGGTTAAGGCTCACTATTATTGAGAATACGCATGTCAGCAAAATATACTTGTGGTGAGATACTACCAGTAACAAAGAAAGTGCACCCCAAGAGACTGAGAATGCCTTGCACAATCTCTTGCCACCGGACCGCATATCAACAGAATCCTATCATACCTTCATCTGCGAAGTTCACCGGCTTTCCAGAACTGTTTCCCATGAGCGCAAAAGTCTGTTGGACAAAGGCTTATATTTTCTGATGCTTGAATTGTCCAATAAAATTTTATGGTATTGCGATTGGGTTTGTAGACGGAGACATTCGGCTGCACACCTCTAAACCATGCGAAAGAAGATGTATATTGAGAGAAAAGGTGATAGTTCGGGTCGATCTTTATCGATAGTGAGGTTATTTGATTTTCAAAGGAGATTGCAAGATGCTCTTTGTTCGATGGTTCGAAGCGAAGAAAGTGAACAGAGTGAGAAGTGAGTGGTGAATATGTTCCCTGTGACTTTGATGATTTGAGTAAATGAGTTATCCGTACATTGGGTACTGTACGAATGTATAGACGGGTGTGGACTTGAGGGAACAAAGATGGGATGATTCTAGACGAATTATCTTTTTTCTTTGGAATGTTTGAGATGAAACTTTGTCATAGATTAGAGACAATAAATGAATCAATCAAAGGAATTCCCCTAAGGAAAAAAAGGAATTGTCTTGTTGTTCGTGAACGGACCACACAATGCCTTTCTTAGATAAGATGGGTATTGAGTTGAGGTTATGAGTTGAGTTGAAGGTTGATGTGGATGTGGATGTAGATGTGGATGGGGTCAGGTCACAATAGGATTGGATTTCTTCGAGTATGTAAGTATTGGATGAAGATGAGAGGTCAGATTTGAAGCGATTTGATTGATCGATTGATCGATTGAATGATTTGAATGAATGAATGATTGATTGATTCCTTTCTTTTCTACTATTACTTACCACTTACTTACTACTTACCACTTCCACTATCACGTACGTATTCAAAGTAATCTGAATAAGCTGCACAACCCAACCAGATGCAGAATCATGCTTGCTGGGTTAATGGTATATACCCCTAGCCTCTAGTCTAGGGCCAGCCATACCTATTCAGATAATTCAGTACTTTGAGTACAGTACACACGAGACCATGGGCAGCAAGCAAGCATAATGCTCCGTAGGCGGGCGTTCGTAAGTGTGGACCCATCAAGTGGTTAAGGCCAACGGATTTGGTTTAGTTGTAAATTTTAGTAGACAAGGGGTAAGCTCAAACAACACATGGCATCCACAAGGGTATTGCATGGCAAAATGGTGTGAAGTTTAGAGGCGGTAAAAAGGGATGGAATGTGAGTGGTTCAGATTTGAGGGGGTGAGCAACTGAGAAGTACCTAGCTAGGTATGTAGTGGAAGGATACGAGGATACGATACAAATAGAAGAATGGAATAGAATAATGAAATATGTCTGATTTTAGAGAACCTATCATATATCAATGGGTTCTATCGGGTATCTGGTTCCGTATCTAGACTAATAAACGTACACTAAAGAAAACTTTAAACCTTCCTTTAAGGCTTCTATTACTCACTAGAAGCCTATAAAAGAAGCCTAGAAGAGGCGTCTATCTATCATCAAAGCTGAATTGCCAATTTCTGAATCATATTGCGCGACAAACGAAACTGATATCTATATCTAGAACTGATACATCGAATTACTATAACCAGTCCTTGTATAAATTCTATTACTGTACACATATTTTGTTTTCTTTCATTATTATATACTTCACAATACTGGTACTTCTACGAGTACGTACTCAAGTAGCTCTAAGAAAGATCCTGCCTGTACTGTGATTACTATATCATAGTACACTGAAAGAATATACTGTAGTTCAACACTGCAATAGTCAACCAGCCAGCCAGCCTACTTGAGCGAATCCAGCATCACTTTGCATCACAATATGTACCATGAAACGAACCAACCAAATGATCTCATCTATTGATATTAATAGGCAGTATAAGCATATTACAGTACATACAGTTAATTAATTATAGATATCGGTCGGTCGGTCGGTCGGTCTGCCGGTAATAAATCTTGAACCGTGACCTATAAACAAGGGTAAGTTGAAAGTCGATCAAGTCGATCATACTACCTAGGTAGGTAGGTATACAAATCCTTGAAAGCCTTGCCATCCCGTGTCTATACAAGTCATCCATCCCGGTTACACTCACTACAGTAGTCTTCGGCACGAACATGTGCTACTGTATCATTTTGTACTACTGTACCTCCATACAGACTATAGCCATATCTTACTTACCTTTCCCCCTCATTATCTTCGCCTATGTGCTTCAAAGGCGAAGAATAATATCTTCATAAATTCAATCTCATCACTCTTTTCTGCTTTCATCATAGACTTCTTCTTCTTCTTCTTCTTCTTCTTCTTCTTCATTACTATGACTCATTCATTAACTTACCCAGGTACGGTACATCAGCATATGAGGGTCTGTCTAGTGGTCCTCCCTCCTTTAAGAAACCTTGCCTTGTTGCGTTTCATCTCCTTTGCAGGGTTTATACAGATCTTCTTCTTCAGATGTCATCACTTCACCTCCTATCTGAACCGATATTAGCGACAAGAAAATATCATCATCAAAAGGAATTATATAATCACAATCAGAATCAGAATCAGAATCAGAATCAGAATCAAAATCAGAGTCCATAAACTTGAGAAAAGAATCAGCTGAAGGAAGTATATGCAACAGGTTCATACAAGATGCAGTCAGTACAGTACATATGCAATGAATTCACATCAGAAAATACACTGCTCAATATATTGATCCGGCCAGTTGTACAGAATACTAACTATGTTTGTTGTATAGTGTTATTGTATTGTATTTGTACTGCTGTCTGTCATATCCTGTTATATATACAACCTGAAATGATCCTTCAAGCCCTCCGCATATCACACTTCTATCAAATTCATCAAATTCCCAACTTCCTCAATTTTTACCTCATACGAGTGAGTATAAGCCACTCGGGTTTAGTTTAGATGCTGAAAGCCCGAAACCACGGCAATATATATATCAAATTTGTCCTTAACTCGTATATATATTCCCGAACTGTTAACAGTAAGGTTACTGTTCCACAAGATGGCATCGGACCCAAGCAAATGCAGTAACCTAGTACGTACAAGAATTTCCAAAAGGCAAAAATGCTACATCTAGATTCCAGATTCAAGATCTTCTTTCTTTCCTCATGCCGCCTCCCTCCCAAGTTTCAACTACAGTACGATTCCCCACTTCCACAAAAAGGAAAGCCATTTCCACGTGGACATAGATAGGTAGGTACAATGTCTTATTTCCAAATGTGACACAAGTCAGATTCCAAAAAAATAAAAATATATAACATTTCCAATTCTTAAACATGACCAATATTCGCCTATTTTGTACCTGCATGGCATGAGAGACACTATCTCAAAAATCCTCGTGGTCTTCAGTCAAAAAAATTGATTCATTCCTTCTTTCTTTCCTTCCTTCCTTCTAGAAGACCCGATCGAATGTTTACGAAACAGCTTAGAGACAAGAAAGAGGGTTGAAATTGTGTACATACGAGTATTGAACCTAACTAATCACAGTAATCTTCTAGAATGCCATCCCATCCCATCCATCCATCAAAAGGATCCATCCCACTTAGGGATCCCTATTATCCCATCCCCCCCCCCCTTCCAAGTTCCCACCCCAGTGCCACCGGCTTCCAACGCCACACTCATGTGACACTCATGTCAGCACACACCACAGCTGAAGATCTAACCTAGAAATTAATAACCTTACCTCCTTAACCTTAGGTACTTTACGACAATAATGCGAAATATTATATTACAATATTACCCTTACCCTTAACCTTACCAGAACGGTCCATTCCGATATTATATTTCGGGGGTATCAAGGGGCATTTTGATGTTTTTTCTCCGGCTCTCATCTATGGAGTGAGTACCTATGTAAGGTTATGGTTATGGTTATGCAGAGAGTGAAGTGAGTGGACTGATATTTATAGAAATGAAATGAAATGAAATGGAAACTTTAAATTGAACCCGTTCCATATCCTCGGGATCATTCAAGGGTTAAGGTTAAAGATTAAAAGATGACGCTGGATTTCAGGTTTGTGTCACTTTTTGACTTTCTTTTGATAGGTAACATTAACCTTGCAAGGGTACAAATGTACATACAGCATGGTGGGAAACAAGCGTGAGTGTGAGTGTGAGCAGTCAAGTTGTGAAAATACCTACCTAGGTACCTAGGTAGGTAATGCGAAGAGGAAAGGAAGAGGAAGTTGTTCTTTCGCCTATATCTACTCGAGTAGAGAGAGGAAATCCTTCTATATGATTTATATCATATAAGCATATTTATTATATTTTCCTCTATGAAATGTAATCTCAAGATCTTACAATTCTTTTCAACAATTATCGTTAAATTTTTTTTTCCCCCTACAAAATCAGTATCTTTAAGTTAGAGAATAACTGCATTTATAAATAAGTCTAGACCTGCAAGCAAGTTCGGTTTGACTGTGTAACATCAAAAAAAAAAGGTTCCTACCGCGTGCTCTCGTGGAATTGGAATTGGAATGAACGATAAGCTAATAAGCTAAGTTAGTTTCCATCAAATCCTAATACTATACTAGCAAAATGTATATTCCGTATATACCTACTATATAGATATAGTACCAACAGTATAATACTATTAGAAAGACCTTGTGCGACACAAGTCTACCAGTACTTCCTAGTCTTCCTAGTCGTCCAGCGGTTCGCGGCACAGCCGCACAAGTGATGGATGCTTGGCGCGCGGTCCCTCCGGACTTAGATCTAGATTTGTATTGTATTGTATCCGCCCATCCGGAGTCTAGTACTACGTACTGGTATGATACTATGACTAGTGTTAAGGCTCTTCAGTATTATATCATGATTCATTTCATCCACTTATTACGAGTATGAACTTAGAAGAAGGGGGCTTCTTTTCATATGATATTGACAGGCGCTTAGTAGCGGCCTATTTTCCTTAGAAGCTAGAAGCACGAAGGCACGAACAGGTCAAAGTTAGGGGTAACCTTAAGCTTAAGGCGATCTTATCTGTATGTACAAGTATCGTCTATGGAGTATGTTCATCTTGGATTGATAATCCTTGTTTGTGTTATTTGTCAATGTTATGAGGAGGATGATGATGATGATGATGATTTGGGAACTTTGCTCGCAATGATGTTACGGTGCTGTATATACGAGTAGACTACCGGTAAACTATTGTTCGTGAGGTGTCCAGCTAAGTGGCTATACTCAAGTACGAGTCAGCAAGATTACCTACTACTATCTTGCACATGCATGTTCATCTCCTCAATACTGTACTCGAGTTTAAAAAATATGTATAGGGCTTCAATGCGGGGGGTTTCATCTAGATACTGTTCTGTACTGTACTGTATGTATGTAAGTTGTATTTCCAAAATCTAATGTATTTAACTTTTCACACATCATCACTATGTCATTCTATCCATTCCATTCCATCCATTCATTATACATACAATACCTTACATCCACATCCACATCCACATCCACATCCTCACCACATTCTATAATAGTGAAACCCCCTTCCCCTCCCACTCATAATCCATCCATCCATCCATCCATCTCCATCCTCATCCTCATCGCTCATCCCTCATCCACCGCGATCCATTCCCGATCCTCGATCCCCGAGCAAAAAAAAAAAAAACTTCGGAAGTGCCGAAACTCGGGTCCTGGGATTGAATATCCGGAGGATCTGAAGATCGCACGGGTTGGGTCATCGCGATGTACTGTCACGTAGTGTGCTGTGCAGTGTAGCACTGTAGTGAGGTGCATGGAGTGGAGTGGAGATTTGCTGTGTGTATGTATGTACTGTATTTACTACATATGTGATTCGAGTTGTGTGCTGGGGTTGTTGGTTGCGTGTATACTGTATGGATTGGATGGATGGATGATGGATGGATAGATTGATGGACTATCGTGAGTGAGTGAGTGAGTGGTGGAATTCTGGGAGCGGGGTTTGGCGTGGGGAATATGTAGACAGGCAGGTAACTAAAATGCTAATTGCTGAAGATGGGGCTCTGTTGCATTCGGCTGTCGGGGTATTTGGGCCTGGTGGATGTAGTGATGGTTGTCATTGATTGTTGAGTGGTGAAGTGGTGAAGTGGTTTACCTAGGTAGGTATATCATATTCATTCGACACTTTTCTTTTTCCAATAGGTGTCAGGTAGTGCTGTTGTGTATTATGCTATTATACTACCCTACATAGAAATCATGAATCATGAATCAAGAACTATAATCAAATAGTCTATAATAAGTACCTAACATTTCATTGCAAATCTCCAAAATTTTAATTCAAATTCCTTTACTCCACTCTACGAACTATTTCTAGGCATGAATTGTTGCACGCACAAGAACTACACTGTACTGGAGTATATCACACTTTCTTATACTAAACTAAGTAAGGAGTGAAGCTCTCTCTCTCTCTCTCTCTGTGTGTCAATTTTCATCATGATGTGAGATGTGAGATGTGAGATGTGAGATGAGTGAACTCATCACAATATCGAAGAACATTTGCATAGTAATATTCAAAACCGTATCAACTGCAAAAACTAAATAATACATCATTAGTCCATACTATACTATACTAGAATATACAGTATCCTCAAACTTTCAGGTTCTAGTTTTAAACAAAAAATCATGATGGAGCCTTGGAAAGATCTCGTTGCGTGCGCAAAACTTCCACGAGTATATATATACTTCCGGGCTCTTAACTTTTATTCTTACTCGATAGTTTTGTAAATTCTTGAGAACTTAATAGATAACATGATAGATAGATAGATAGATAGATAAAAATCATAGGTAGAATGAACAACCACATGAGTAATATATGTATGACATCTACTAATACAGTAAGTATTATTAGTAGAAGTATTAATTAGTAATACTGAACATGAGAATTATCAGCTATTAATATCTTGATTCTTGTTTCAGCATTCAAGTTCTTTCTCATTAATTAGTTTCCAAGATCAATATCAATATCAAGATATTGAATGATTGATTGATTGTATACTCGAGTGTAGAGTAAAAGTAATAGTAGAGAAGAAATGTTTCGATTTGATATATAATATGTACCGGTGAGTGGTGAGTTCATGGAAAAAATAATTGTAAGATTATATTTTGATATTCCCAGTCGGGCTATATATGAGAATCTCATCTCCCTAGGACTGGCAATCGTTGTTAACTTGTTATATGATATGATATGATATGGTGGTATAAATATTTTAAGTCCTTAATCCACTCACTGCCCTCTACTCGTCATATCCTCTTTTATTCCCCATCTTCTCACTCACTTAAATTGAACTATCTATTTGAGATTTTCATCCCCTCAAATACCCCCCTCCCCTCTCCTTTCCACATACCATTCAAATTGTGCTATTATGCCAGTGCCAGTGCCAGCGCTAATTAGTGCCAGTATAAGTATCAAATACAGGCCATTGAATTAAAGCCTCAATTTTTTTTTTAAAAATATGTAGGTTAACGCTGTTAACATTTATTCCAGCAGCTCTATTTTCTAGCACCAGCATTTGCATTTGCAACTGCAATTACAATCACAAAAATCACAATTACTATGATCAAGAAAGCACAACAACAACGAGGAGGTACCACCTAATGCAGAAACCAAAAATAGCTCCCAATAATCGAAGAGCTGCTCCTCAGACGCTGGAGCGGGAGAGAGACTCTGAGAGAGAGAGAGAGAGAGAGAGAAAGAGAGAGAGCGATAAAAGAGGCAGGAGGTTCAAACCTTCAAGGTTGAAGGAGGTACACAGCCCATTCAAATTTCAAAGGTATGTAAGACTGCAAAGACTGGACTGGTTCGTCTGTCTGCTTGCTTGCTTGCTTGCTTGCGGGGCTTGAGATGTGGATGTGATGTGCTGTAGGTATAATAATATAATATAGTATAATATAGTATAGTATAGTACTCGTATACCATTCTATTAAACTCAATTCAATTCAAGCTTCATTTCATTTCATCTTCTCAATACTCGAGTAATTGCAAAGATATCATCATTTCATTTCATATACTTGTTTTATTTAAATTTTCATCTGCTCATTCATTCATTCATTCACTTCTTGTTTACTTATTGTTTGTTTGTTATCCTTTGGAGGATCTTTTTCTTCTTCTTCTTCTTCTTCTTCTTCTTCTTCGTTGTTATTGTTATAGTTATTGTTATCATAGTTATCGTTGTTATTCTTTCCTTCGTTCACTATGATTTGTTATGTTATGTTATGCTATGCAATGTAATACAATACAAAGCAATACAAGGCATGTCAATGTATGTTAAACCCCCCCTCAAGATCAAAGATAAAAATAAAAAAAATCATCCCTCATGCCTCCTCACTCCTCACCACTATTCAACCTAGGACTCCTCATCCCCATCCCCGGACTATTCTCCATCCCCATACTTCCACTTGCTCTGTTTCTGTTTCTGGTTCTACCCAATGAACTCGCTTTTAGATGTGAATTTGAACTTGGAGTTGGAGTTGGACTTGGACTTGCTTCGCCTCTTTCCCTGTTGATTCTTTCCAAGGGCCCACCTGCATTTCTTGCGCTGCCTATTGCACTTCCATTCCCACCACTTCCTACACCAATTCCACTACTACCACTACCACCACTACCACCACCTACACCTCTTCCTCCATAATCTTGTCTTTGCCCTTGCCCTTGACCTTGACCCTGGCCTTGTCTAGCAAGAAACAGCGGTTGCCGCCCAGAAGATCTCAGGTTATACGGTGAAAGCGGCGATGAAGGAAGCTGTGGTAGCTGTGGTACCACAGGGGAAGATACCTCGCGACTCTGTCTCATATCACCATCACCATCACCCGCGCGATGAGATTTTGCTGGTGATGATCTCTGTGGCGTTTCACTCCTCTCTCTTTCTCTTTCTCTTTCTCTATCTCGATATCTGTCTCTATCTCTACCCCAGCGCGGACTTGCCGCCACATGTACGTGTTCGTGTTCGGATCGGTCATCCCACGGTGTGCTCTCTCTGTCGTTATTATTATCATATCGAGCATTATCATATCGAGCATTATCCTCTCCCTCGTTTCCCTCGTTACCATACTGATAAGCTTCGCCGTGTCTCTTGACGGGACTCTCGTCGTAAGGATCAAAGCCGACTTTTTTGCGAGCATTCATGCGCGTGCGTTTGCGTTCTGAGGCGTCGCGGCCGGCGCCGGTGGTGGAGGATTCATGGAGGAAGAAGGTGAGGAGTTCGTCGGGGATGGTTAGGTGCGAGGATTGTTGGAATTGTTGGAGTGCGGTTAGGCGGATCAACATTTCGAGGAGGGAGAGGGAGGAGCGGATTTGGATTTGGTGGGGGTTGGGCGTGAAGGGTGGGTGGCTGGAGCTGAGGGGTTTGGACGGGCTAAAGGTGAGGGGGATGGAGGATGCGGGGTGAGAGGGAAGGTGGGTTTGGGAGGAGGGGGTGGTGGGAGCTGGGGAGGATAGCTTGAGGTTTGAGAGTTCGGTGGTTAGGTCGCCGGTGGATGGATGTTCGCCGGAGGTACTGGATCGGCTGGAAATATATGCGGATTCTCCATTTCGTTCAGGCTCAAACTCATCTTCGGAATCTGAGTCTTCGGCTTCGGTATATACCTCTAGGGCAAGCCATTCTGGGTCAAGATCCTGGGGAAGTCGCCATGTTGTATTTGTCTCTGGTGGCGCTTCCAATATTTTTTTGGATGGGGATTCTGGTGCCATACTTTCTCGTCGAAGTTGCTCATCAATATCAAATTCGTCGTCTTCTTCTTCCTCTTGCTTTGGCTCTTGCTCTTGCTCTTCATCTGATACTTGTATTCCATCTGATGGTGTGTCCTCACCTTCATCATACCATTCGTTTTGTGTTTCCTGCCCCTCCATCATCCTTCTTGGCGGCAATGCATTGATATCTCGCTTCAGTAGTAAAACGGGACTGTTCGTCTCGTCCTGATTGCCAATATTTAGTATTTTGCCAGTGTCTGCGTAGAAAATCTTGGATATCTGATGAATTGGCAAGACTTCTCGAATGCCTGCCAATTCAACACCTCCATACGGTCCAGGCTGTGGTTCTCCATCCTCATAAGAGTGGACTCGATCATCATCGAAATCCTCAATGATTTCGAGGTGATATGCGTACTCGGTAATCTTGCCATCCCCGGCGATTAAAGAGGAATCTTTTCCAGTCAAGTAATCCTTGGCCTCCTTAATATGGTGTAATTGTCCAGGTGAGCCGTATGTGGCTCGAAGAGGTACACGCAGAATCTTGACCCGGGCTTTATGTATAACTTCTTTCCAAGTAGCCTCTCTCATACCTTCTTCATCGTGAGCCCGATAAGCATGCCCGGCGAATAACATATACAAGGAAAGAGTGAGTGTTGGGCCAACTTGAACAGATACGTTCGGGTTCATGGAGTATTGAGTATCTCCGGCAGTGAGAAGGTTACTCGCTTGTAGTAATCTCGACGGTGATACAGTAGCTGGAAGTGTTGTTGAGAGACTAGTTCCGGAGGTGGTGATGGCTAAATTGATAAGTGGTACTGCATCTTCGATTCTCATCAAGAGCTTCTTAATATCTCTAACGATAGCTCGAATCTCGGCTTCATGAGCAGCTCGTGTTTTTGCTCGGTTTTTATGTCGACGCGAGAGCTCCTCGGCACTTGCGGCTTTTGCTAATTTCATACCAAGAGACTGAATATCCCATCGAAGTGCTTTTGTCAGAGATACAGCTGACTCTAAAGTTGTATTGCCTCTTGCGGAACTAAGTAACATCAGTCAGGAAACGTGGGAAATATTGAAGGAAGCTCACATGAGTTCTATCATATCAATAGCTGGAGATACGATCTGATAGGTAACGAGTGAGCACATAGCTTTCTCATGCAATCGAGTCCACGCTCATTAAAAGTGGACGGACGTACTCTGATTTTGCTATCCAACCTATCTTGAAGTTCGTGAAGCTCACGATAATCACCATTGTCATCTACTGTCTAAAATCTCGTAAGTATCATATCATTGACAAATTCGAGGGGATCAAAAACTAGTCCAGTCCCACCTTTAGAAGTCTTGATGTTTGCCTGATAGCAAAAGAAGCAGTAATACCAATCCCAGACCTGCCTCAACGTTAGGAAAAGACCTTGGAAACCTTCTCAGATTGAAACATACCTGATGGCATAGTTCATGGCATGTTGAGTGACCTAAAGGAGAGAGAATCATCAGCACGTGACACATGAAATATGGAAAGCAATCATTTTACCTTGCCCAGAAAGAGATCCATCTTGAGGGTATTCGGGTTGGATTCAAACCAAATATCATGAGAAATAGGATATGTTCAAGACCACAGACATATCTAAGTTACTGTGATAGAGATATGATAGTTTATAAGAGGTTGTAAAGCGTTTTGTTTGTGTTGTTGATGTCGAATATATTTTTATATCAATATCACGGTTCGAAGCAAACAAAGTTCCAAGGCTCTTAACAACCATCCCACCTGCCCTTATGACTGATTGGTCGAAATATCATTAACCGGGGATAAAAGACGCCAGCAGCGGCACTCTGTAAAGCATTGATGGCTATCTACCAAAGAAAAATGTCTCCAAATTTTTGATTCAATAGAATCCCAATCTCTACAATAATACTATATGACAATAAATTATCCCCAAAAATTGGTATTATAATGTAAATAATACAGGTAAAATCTGACAATATATTTCCAGTTACTTTGGACAATTATTAGGTATATATTTGTGACTAAAAGCCCCTCGATAAACGATAAACGATCTGCTCATTTTAGCCCCACCTGCCACTTCTCTTCCTCGATCCTTTAATTCTTGTTCACAACCATACCATACCTCTCAAAACATAATACTCAAATCTAGTAAATATGTCAGATCTTAACTCATGGGAAGATGATCCAGCCGCTCAAGAAGACAACAATCTTTCGCAACAAGCCGAGCGTTTGAATTTGAATGCAAACCCACAAGCTAGATCATTTCAGCCGGGCGCAAATTCCTTTCAGCCTGGTGCTCAAGCATTTCAACCAGCTCAACAATTTCAACAATATGCTGGAGGATATGATCAATATGGGCAACAACCGGCTTACGGTGGTCAATACCAGAACCAAGGATTCGGCCAATATCCTCAATATGGTCAACAAGGCTATAATCAATATCAGCAGGGAGGAGCCTACAATGCTGGAGGACAACAACAGCAAGGTGGATATAATGCAGGATATGGTGTGCCTTCCCTTATAAATTTTGTTGTGATGGGTTCTCCTCAGTATGCGAAGTACAGAGTTCAACATGGATTTAGAATCCTTCAGCTGTGCGGAAGTTTGTAGGTTATTAAAATGCTAACCACATCTTCTACAGCGCAACAATACCCCGGGTATGCTCAACAACCAGCAGCAGCAGGTCAATCATCACAGCCCCCTCGGCAAACACCAGTTATTGCAAAAAGACCAGCCGATGGCTCTGCTGGTTCAGCGGATCTAAACAAACCTATAGTAGTAAAGGACGGTGCGCCAAAGGTTTTGAGCATTGGAGGAGATGCACCAAAGGTTCTGAGCATTGGTGGTGATGCGCCAAAACCAAAGGCAAAGATTCTCTCCATTGGTAATCCAACTCCCGCGAAGAAGGAAGAGTCAAAGAAAGAGGCAACGCCATCATCCGCAGAAGCAGGCGCTAAGGTTATCGCCGCAAAAGCTATTGAGAAAACTGAAAAGACTCCCGCAGCCGCTAGTGGAAACGCCTCGCCTACACCATCGTCTGGACGCTCATCTCCTTCTCGAACTGGTACTGGTGCTGCAAAGGCAGCCGCTCGTGCCGCAGATGCTGTAGAGCAAGAACAAGCTGCCGATGTTGATGACGAAACATTAAAGGAGATTTACGGCAAGGAACATGTTAACATTATTTTCATTGGACACGTCGATGCCGGAAAGTCGACACTTGGTGGTTCGATTCTTTACGCTACTGGAATGGTTGATGAGAGAACTATGGAGAAAAACAAGAAAGAGGCCAAGGAAATGGGTCGTGAGACATGGTACTTATCGTGGGCTCTCGATTTGACAAAAGAGGAGAGATCCAAGGGAAAGACTGTCGAAGTTGGACGCGGATATTTTGAGACTGAAAAGCGAAGATACAGTATCCTGGATGCCCCTGGCCATAAAACCTATGTACCAAGTATGATTGGTGGTGCTTCACAAGCAGATGTCGGAATTTTAGTCATCTCTGCTCGAAAGGGTGAATACGAAACTGGGTTCGAAAAGGGAGGGCAAACTCGTGAGCATGCTATGTTGGCGAAAACCCAAGGTGTCAACAAACTTATCGTGGTTATCAACAAGATGGATGATCCAACCGTCGAATGGTCCCACGACAGATATAAGGAGTGCACAACCAAATTAGCTCAGTTCTTGAAAGCAACTGGTTACAATCTCAAAAACGACGTTTTCTTCATGCCAATCGCAGCACAACAGACCATGGGTATCAAGGATCGAATCCCCAGTGGTGTAGCTCCATGGTACGATGGACCATCCCTCCTTGAATTCCTCGACAACATGACCCAACTCGAACGTAAAGTAAATGCACCTTTCATGATGCCCATCAACGGTAAATACAGAGATATGGGTACTATTGTCGAAGGTAAAATCGAATCTGGTGTGGTAAAGAAGGGAATGAACCTCGTCATGATGCCCAACAAAGAAAAGACCGAAGTCATGGTAGCATACGGTGAAACTGAAGAGGAAATCTCCGCCGGACAATGTGGAGATCAAATCCGTCTCCGCTTGCGTGGGATTGAAGAAGAAGATATTCTTCCCGGTTTCGTTCTTTGCTCGCCAAAACGTCTTGTTCACTGCGTTACCACATTCGAGGCGCAAATCAGAGTCTTGGATCTAAAGAGCATTTTATCTGCTGGTTTCAATTGTGTTATGCATGTGCATTCTGCGATTGAAGAAGTCACTTTCGCAGCGTTATTGCATAAGTTGCAAAAGGGCACCAACCGAAAGAGTAAGGTTCCTCCTACGCATGCAAAGAAGGGTGATAGCATTATTGCGAGAATGGAGGTCATTGGTGGTGCGGGAAGTGTTTGTGTGGAGAAGTTTGAGGATTATCCACAATTGGGTAGATTTACTCTTAGAGATCAGGTATGTATTTGGAAAAAAAATTAAATCCTTACGTTCTTCTCGTCAAGGATGAGATGGCGGAGAAACAGGTAGACTAACATATAATAATAGGGACAAACTATCGCGATTGGTAAAATCACAAAGTTGATTTCACAGGAAGAAATTGCAGCGGCTTAAATACAAAATAGAATGGTGTAATGAAGTTGTGGATCCACGATATATCTTTGAAAGGGTGGGAAAGGGAAGGGGAGGGAAGGGGAAAAATATACATGCATGAAGTTCTGCGGGCTGCGCTGATTTGACATGATTAACGAACGGCTCGATGGATATATGATATGAAGAATGAATATTGTAGATGGGGCCAGACAAAAGCTTTTTTTATGAGGCGAGGTTTCTTGATATGATTGTTGTGATGAGTTTATGGATGGATGGATGGTATGGTAGGGAGGTGGAAATGTGGGAAGGTGGAAATGTGAAATGGAGGGATGGAGGAAGGGGAAGGGGAAGGGGGATGAGGTTGGGGATGGTGGATTGGGGATAGGGTGCAGATATACTAGGGACTAGGGATTGATAGAAGGAAGAGAGAAGAAAGAAACATGAATAGAAAAAAACATGAATAGAAAGAAAGAATTGTGTATGTGCATGGTGTATAGACTTGAAAATTGTGAGGATTTGTTCTGATTTGACTTGAACTTTTTGGTTATTAGGTGTAGGTAGGTAGGTGGAGGTAGGTAGGTAGGTAAGTAGGTATAGATAAGTAGGTATAGATTAGGTACTCGAGTAGGTACATGGAGGTATATGGAGGTGTAGGTGTGGGTAGGTGTATGGAGTGAGGTGTTTGGAGATTGTATTGTACTCGAGTATTGTGATGTGTGTGATGTGATGGGGACTTGTATATTTATATTTGTATCTGTATCTGGGGAAACTCGTCGGATTTGAGATTGATATTGGTATATTATCTAAACTCTATTTCTATTTCTATTTCAATGAGAAAGATAGTTCCTCGGGGGTCAAAAGGGAAATGAATTTTTTTGGAGATGACATTAATGTGTTTTGGGATGGGATGGGATGGAATGGGATTGAGGGGCTTAGGGGGTTTAGGGGGTTGGTGGGTTTGATTTCTGGATGTGTGGATAGGAAGAGAGGCGAGAAGAGAAGAGGTGAGATGGGGTGAGATTGTGGGAGGTGGTTGAATATTACTCGAGTATACTAGAGCTCTCTAGTATGTTTTGTGTTCGGATGGTGTTGTGCTGTATAATATGGTTTTATTTTGGTTTTAGGATATGGGATATAGTAGATACTGTAGCTGTAGGGGCTCGAGAAAAGGAGTGAGTGGTTTAGCGGGGATATAGGGGGGGTGGTGGGTAAAAGGACAGTGCTATACAGTATGTAGATTTCTATTTGTATTGTATTGTAACGAATAGCTTGGATCGGTAAGTCCAGAGACCGAGTGAGTACTGTATCTCTGTACTCTCGAACTAGGTATGGTTTTAGACTATAGTTTACGAGTAAGAACCCGTTGTAAGACATATGTTTAATCAAAATTGATCCGGATAGACGATATACTTGTAATTTGTTCAGATCTATTCGTATGGTATGGTAACACTGTAGTTGAGTATAGAATTGCAATGTACGAGTAATGCAATCGGATGAACTACTGTATACATGGCATATGGCATATTCTCATGAGACTCAGACTCGGACTCAGTATGTACGAGTATACGAGTAATGAATTGGCAGTGTCGCATGTAATTAGTCTATACATATAAGAATAGATAGTTCACCGCGGCGCAGACTACTCCTCCTCTAGATTCGGCAAACGAACAACTCACTCAGCAATATCGCTCGAGGCTTCACGCCATCACTGGCATTCAAGAACGATTGCACAATGCACATCATTTGCCGAGATCAGATACTCCTACTCAGTAGAGTCTATGCTTAATTTAGCATGATCTTAATGATCAATCTAGTCCAACCCATTCCATTGCATTCTCCCTACTGTACTCGTACATTAGACAACTTTAATCCAATGCTCATATCCGTACATTGAAGATCCCCTTTCCTAGCAGGATTTGCACCTCTGAGTTAGTTCCTAAATAGCTTTTAGACATCTTGCAAAACAAGTACGAGTAAGAAGTCACCAAAAGTATACTCGAGTCGAGTAGCAGTGCTATTCAAGAATATACTTGACTTGAATCCTCGAGGCAGAGTATAGCAGAGCATAGCAGAGCAGCATAGCAGATTATTGTCAACAAAAGCATGCACAAGTAGTCTAATCTAATCTTTTGCTCTCCCGCTTCCGTATACTAGGGACTAAGCATGCATCCTACGCCTATATATTATCTTACATGATTCACGAGTGATGAGACTCATTTGCATTTGCCTCGCTTACTGTATTCGATTCTCATTCGATTTCTCATTCGAATTCTCATGCGACACTTGATGTTTTGTACTGTACACTATCAATCATTCCTAAATAACAAATAACAAACAAATATATACCTATACCTACACTATTTTCACAATGTAATTACTACATGAAATATACACCGCATCAGCATCAGCATCAGCATCAGCAAGCCCAGAAACGTTCCACCTCCATCTCCACCTCCACCGTAACTCATAGCTCATAGCTCATCTTCCAGATCCCAATCACCAGTACTGGTACTAAAATTAACAGCCCTAGTATCCGGCCTCTCTTCCCTTTCCCTTTCCTTTCCCTTCCCCCTTCCCTTCCCCCTCGCTTTCCTCTCTTCCATAGGTCTTTGTCCTTCCCCATCGGCCCGTCCTTGTTCCCTCTGAAGCATAAGTGCAAATTCGAGCTGTTCTGTCGTGAAGCCCGGTGGCTGTTCGTATCGAGGTTGTTCATCTTGGAGTGGTCGTACTGGTAATGGTTGTGATACTGGTAAAGATAGCTTAGGATTCAGCACCTCTTCAATTCCAAAAAGCGCCAGAGGAACCTCGACGCGTTCAGGAGACGGCGGCGGCACCCATCGCTGACCAGACATGGCTGCAAAACCTTCCGTACTATCAAAATTAGCCCAATGAGACGAATCGCCATGGGCTTCAAGAACTTGTGTAGATTTTTCGACGCCGGTGGCTGCGTTGAGCAGTGGTCTATACAATGATACTAACGATGGCACAGGCAATTCCATTGGCAGTGGAGGAGGATTGGGAGGAACGAATGTCATTCGTTTAGGCGGGGGTGGAAAGTTTGGTATTGGGCATCCTGACTCATGTGCCATACCCACCCAGTGATGTTTATGATCCTGTCGACCGCGTATACGTGAAGGTCGCAGATCTCTAATTGACGCAATATACACGATCCGTTTATATGGAGCATAAAAGTCATCCGGTTTATCCCAAGGATACAACATGATAGTAAAGTCGCCGTACAAAAAACCATGGAGGATAGCAAGGGAGATCTGAGGTCTCATGGCTTTCATCCCGGGATGCAATAGCATTCTAGCAACTTGCTCATCTTGCCATGCATTGTGGTGATTGGGAAAGACATCGTTGAATAGTTGTTTGACTCTATCTAATGAGAGAGAACTGTTATATTGATGTTCCATAGATAGCTGCAATGCTTTCGGGGCGCAGTCGTGTATCCAGTCTTCGTAACCATGTTCTAAGCCTTCGTTAAAATGGTCTATATCTGTGAAAAAGGTCCAGCCAGATCTGTCGAATGGCGCTTTGGTGGCATTCCTGCCGTAATTTTCGATTCTTGGCAGGTTGAGAGCTGGCAGAGAATCAGCAGGCGCTGAATCTGCTGGCGGTACATCAGCTGGTGGAGCTGGCGGTGGAACTGGTGGTGGAATACCTGTTGGTGGAGCTGGTGGTGGAACTGGTGGTGGAATACCTGTTGGTGGAGCTGGTGGTGAATCTGGTAGTGGAATACCCGTTGGTGAAATATCTGGTGGTGAACGCTCATCATCCTGGAACCAGTCTGTGATCGCAAATATGCTATCGGAATCATTCTTCCGTCTTCTTCGCATAGCGGCAAAAGTACCATTGGCGTTATGCAATATATAAAGTAGGGGACGAATGCCCGTTAGTCCGCTTTTTACATCCCATTTTTCCCCAAGTATTTGCCTATAATATTCGACATCTCCATCTATATCGTAATGCGAGATGATTGCCGGTATAAAATCTGGTTTGTTATCTGGGGTTTCCAGTATATTTCCCAAGACCGATATAAGGTGTAATGGCGTATAGTTCCGTTCGCAGTGTGGAAAGCGTTGGTTGAATATTTGATACATATTCTCGTAGGCCTGGCTTTCATCCATATTATTAGGGATTAGTACGCCCGGATATTGGAATTTGAAGGATCGTACTACTGCACAGATCAAAGACAAATTTTCGCGCAAAACATCCTGTCCAGGTATCGTCCAGCCTGAGACAAGATGACCCAATTTCCAGTCTGCTATGTTGAACGGTACAGAACGTGATGGAGAATCCTGGCCATGTTCAGACTCGCTGGAAGACTCCTCCTCAGACTCGGGCAGTGGACGACCCTCGGGCTTCGGGCTCATTCCTTGCCAACGGGAAGCATATAGGTACAACACGATGACTCTCATTGGCGGAGATACTTCCAAGGTGTTCGGATACGTTATCTCACGAGAAAAGTATTTGATGCCGCCATCTCGTCGTGGAAATTGTGAGACGGTCTTTAAAACAAATGAATGATCGATTCTGTACAAGGTTTCAGCCACCTCACGCTCATTGATTGGGGTGGCCAAAAAATCTATGCTCCTGCCAAGTACATCCACCAAGTGACCTCTAAATTCAGCGATTGTGAGATTGCCTGCGGGATGATTTGGTAGTTGTGCATGAATAGATTGTTGAATAGCATACGCAGCACTCAACGCAGAAGTGGTATACTGATTTTCAAGCGGATACACGTCCCATATCTCCATATCAAACATCTCAAGTCGCGTAAATACTGCTGGGAATAGGTCTCTATACCCAGGCCGAGGATCGAGTGGAGGAGACGGGCTTCGGGAAGGCATCGGTGACGGAGACTTAGACCTCGGCGGGATCTGAACACGGGGTTGTATCCCAAAGTCTTGACAGACTTCGTGGACAAGAGAGATAGTTTCGCGATGTAATGTTCCAATATAATCCCAAAGGTCTTTCATTTGTAACATGCTGTTAAGCGTGAGTGCGTTCAGATTCTCCGCATCGTCCGTACCATCATCAACCCAATCATTTGCCGCTTCTAGCCAGGGAGGCACAATGTGTCTAACCAGCCTTGATACATCCGAAAATCGCTTCACTATTCGTGTGATGGTTCTTAGCATGGAGAGTTCTCCTGGCTCGCGTTCTATTTTTGGTACACCATTTATTCCCGGAATTTCTGGAAAATCGGGTAGTTGTCTACCTCTCCTTCCGATTTCTCTCTCTAGAGCTAAGAGATTCCTAATGAAGATCACTATTGTCGGAGCTAATATTCCCGCAATACTTGATGCTCCCGCTGGAGGTGCTGCCACTCGTGCTTCTCGCAACTGAACCTGCAGGTCCTTGCTTCGTGCTATTAGATTAGTAATCTGTGTGTCTCTCCGGGTCACTCGATCTCTCAATCTGGCTAATTCCGTTTCATTTCGGGTAGTTCTTTCCAAAAGCTCATTACGTATCACTCTCAGATCCTGTCTTTCGTCTAGCAAGCGATCCCTTTCACGAGTCAAATCGTTTAACATCGAAAGTCGACGTATCGAGCGAGGTCCTTGTGGGGCAAGATTGAGAAATTCAAGCCGCTGAAGGGCAGCTGCCAAGCGCCTGATCTCTTCTTTTGCTCCAGAAACAAACCCCAAGTATTTGTCTAGAGGCTCAAATTTGTTGTCAGCCCAGCCCATGGAACCCATTGCATGATCAATTTGCGCCCTGTATGTGGATATTTGCTGGTTCTTATTCAAGATTTCTCGTTGCAACCTCTCCCTTTCCTCGTTACAATGACGTTGAATAGCCACAATATCATGTTCGGGTTCTGCAAAGTAGTCGAATCTCTTTAGCTTTTCGGAAAGTTCTTCGACCTGAATCGTTGCATTCTTGTACAACTTCCCTAATCGCTCTGGTTCCCCATATAGTGCTTCCTTCTTAATAGCTTCCTTGTCTTCATCAATTTCAGCCTCTTTCTTCTTCAATTTCTCAATGATCATTTCGGAATGGGCAAGTTCGTTCTCTACCCGGACTAATTCCTCTCGCAATCTTCGCAAAGTCTGTTGTCCTATTGCATCTAAACCAAGCGATGTTGCCGCGTTATCGTCTCGCAAGTCTCTTAACCGGTTAATTTTCACTTCGCGTTCCATGATTTCCTCGTACGCTTTTTTTCTTAACTCAGTGTTTTCCTTTTCCTTCTGTCGCCATAACATTGTTGCCCTCCCATCATTGATATCTTTAAGATCGTTTTCCAAGGTTTTCACTCTATCTTTCAGGATCGCGATTTGAGCGTCGCTTTCTACAACTGAAGTAGTGAGAGTGTGGATTTGTCGACGGTGCAAGTCTCTTGTATGAGCAGCTGCTTCGAGCAATCTTTCCACCGTACTCGCTGGACCGCCTGCTAAGGTTAAAGCACTTGAAGCTTGACGCAATGCTGTATATTTGCTCAACAGATCTTCATGTGCCGCCTTTCTGTCATCTCTCTGTACTTCCAATTCATGGATTCTCCGCAGGGTTTCATCTTGATCATTAAAATTGTGATGCAAATTTTTGCATTGGATCAACAACCTTCGAAGTCTCAGATTTTCCAATAGGTAACGTCTCGTAGACTGGTTAGCAGTATCTCGCTCATGATGAAGGTTAGTTATTTGCTGTGTAAGCTCGGCTGCTTGCTGCGTAAGATTGGCTACTCGCTGTTTCAAGCTCCAGAGAGTTTTGATATATACCCAAAGCGGCCGAAAGGCATCTAGAACTTGAGTCACAGGCGTTAAAATCCAAACAATGATTGTCGCAAGAGTGAAAGAAACATGTTTGTATGCCCATAAGCTCTCTCCATCGTGGCGATTGATAAATGCCAATTCTTCCACATCTCGTTCGTTTCCAACGTAGTCCCATTCGAGTCCAGCAGCAGCCAATCTTGTACGGCGTGCAGCTAGCACTGATGCAGCGCGTAGTGGTACCCACTCCAGTCCGTAGCATATATAATAAATCGGGATGCCAAATTGAAGTATGCACCACAAGAGTATTGGAAAGTAGTTGATGAAGCCGATAGTACCCAAGTAAACCTTTAGCATAGACATTCCTACAGAGTTGAGAGTAATAATAACACTTCGCTCAATATGATGAAGTAGAGCTTCATAAAGGAAGTTGGCTGTGAGCGTAGCAGAGGCAAGGACCATCGGGCCCAACTCCCTTTTAGGGATTGCTTGTCGAAACTATTTAATCTTGTAAATTCTAGGAAGCGGACCAGAGTGTAGAATTTATGGCTTACAAGCAGCGGGTATACGAAAGCCCAAGTTAAGTTGATTGTCTATAAACAAAATCTTAGATAATGATGATCGAGGGGGGATTTGCCAACTAACAATCACGCACGCAAGTCCCCACTGCATAATGTACCAACCGGGTACAAATAGTTTAGCCACTTCAATAATTTTCTTGTAGAAGGCATCCTTTGATTCTTAGTATCGACAAGTAATGTAAACTAGTTGAGGTTACTCACCGTGTTGCCCCAGAGTGTTCTCGACCAACCGCTTTCATTTCCTTTGCAAGCCATATATAACCACCACCGGGTGTTGTGCGTCTCCCAAAATTCATACTCAGGTCCCCAAGCCTTTACTTCCTTCATTACTCGGTTACATCTTTGTATATTATCGAATGTGCGAATGTTCGCTAACCAATAGGCTTTATAATAATACACTATTCCGCCTGCCCACCGCAACAAAATATTAAGTGGTGTACAGACCCACGCCCAACTCGCCACACCGGCACCGGCAGCAACCATCAACAGAAAATGCTGTCGTAACCACTGAACACCATTTGTGACTCTGCCTCGCCAATAAGTTCTCCAATTGCGTGCACGTAAGACTCTGGCACGTCCGGCCGGAGGAGGTGCACCCGGGGGAGGTGCATTCGCCATGTTCTTCCCAGCTCACAAACAATCTGCAACTTAGAGCTGATGGATCAACTATCCTCGTTGGCATGCAGAGAAGAAGACTGGTAGAGTACAAATCGAACTCCTCAGAGCGTGGTCTCGAATACTGCTGGAATCAACAGGAGAAAATGGTATGTCTCCTCAATCTTCGTACGGGGAGGAGCGGTGTTTTAAGGATAAAAATGGTATAATTTGTATAAATAATGAGCCGGAAGGATGTAGCAGAGCAAATAGATTGGCTTCCCGTGCAATTGTAATTTATGAGACAAAGGGCAACTGCCGCTATAAAAATCACAAAGCTTTTCCACAAGTCTTCTCGAAGAATTTTTCAAACACACAAAGAGAGCAAAAAGAGGTTACTTATTCCCCAAATGCGGTAAAGTATAAATAAATTCGAACAAGCCCATAAACCCTAGAACATGGAGATGGGCGTGATATACACAATGGCTATGTAATGACATGACATTCAAAATCTAGGACGCATCATCACTCTCGTTGTCAGACACATCAAACTCTCCAGCCCTGCCTACGTCTGTCTCTTCATCATTCTTGATCTTTCCAAAACCTTGATTGAATACAGCTTCTCTCGAGGGGTGAGGTTCATGACATTTAGGGGAATGCAGCCTTGGAAAATACCTTCTATATGAGAAATATGCGAGAGAAATGCCAAGAATGGATCCACATGTAACATCATATACATCGTGACTATGAAAGCGTTAGTATTTGGAATCGGAACTCAATGACCGTCCAGCCTCAATGACCGTCCAGCTTACCGATAATCTTCACATCGACTGATCGCAATCATGGCAGCTCCAAGCAAGGGAGCAAGAGCTAATAGTACTCTCCCAAGATCAGTCCTCGGTCTGAAGACATGTGTCTGTCCAGCAAAGAAAAATGCAAGGTATCCAAGTCCAGCAAAGGCAAAAGAAGAATGGCCCGAAGGAAAACTTCTCCACCCATCATGCAACGTATGGTGATCCTTTTCCGTGCATACGTGAATAGTTACCAGTTTATTCTCTGGTGTTTCGGGTGTAGGCTTGCAGCGGGAGATAAGGTCGGGTCGAGGTCTCCCAACAGCGTTCTTAATGACATCAGTAATGAATGATGTAAGAACTAATCCGATAAAAAATCCCAGCATAGTGACATGGCATTTATGTAGATTCGCCCTCGAAACTCCCAACCAGAGGGCTAAAGTTATGCATGGGACAACTCCCGCATATATCAAATTCCATCCAACGGGTACTCTTTCCACCAGAGCATGTGGGTACTGAATATCGATATTATTGATAAAGAACATGCGGTGGAACGGTTCTTGAAGAAATTCGATCTGAATTAAGGGAGGATTCATTAGAACTCATATTCATCGGAGGTGATGGTGGACTAGAGGCGTTACCAAGATGTATGCCGTCAACAGCAATACAAATCCAACATAATCTGGCGCATAACTTTTCTGTATAGAGATGTTAGATGGGAACATCTTCACATGCATATATAGTGAGGAAATCTTTACCTCCCAGAAACGTGCAATTGCACCAACCCAGCCCGGTTTTGAGGTCAATCCTCCATTATTCCGTCCCATTCGAGACATTCTTGCGACACAGCGCAGCGGCAGTAGTCAGGTCCTCCTCATTGAATGAAGATATAAGATAAATCTAAAATACAATAATTTTCAACAGGATGTATGGTTTCGGGTGGTGAATTGGGAAGATGCACTCCCTTCCTCCTGGCTTGAAACTTGAAAGGCACACGACTCAATTGACCCACTTTCCTCAGCCTTGTCTTACTTCGGGAGATCCTCGGTATAAAGGTTAATCTAATCAGTGATCGTCTGCTCTGCTCGAGTACTACCGGTAGTCCTTTGCTAAACAAAGTACCCCATCTTTCGACCCACCCCCCGACAGCTTAATTTATTTATAACTTCATGGAAAGATAACCCCTTCCCCTCCCTTCCTTAGACAAGTCATGGCAGACCAACAACAACCACCTCCAAACCAGATTGCGGCAGTTCTCCCATCTCCACCATTCCTTTGGAAACAATTTACTCCCGAAAATGTTGAACATATAGAGAAGCTACGCGCGGGGAAATATGCAAATCAAGGGGTCACCGATAAATTATCCTACAAGCTTCCTCCCCGCATTCTTGACCTTCCCTCGGAATTACGATTTCTACAACCCCCAGAACCACCAGAAAGCGTAAGTTATAGATTCTTCGGAAAACTTTATACAGGAGATGGCAACTTTGCGATGAAAGGCACTGATGTTCTTATGGCAGATCAATGATGAAATCTTCTCTTTCGAGAAGTCAGGCGTTGAACCACTATACACACCACCTGATACGCCAACAGGAACTGGAAAGCATGTGGATCGCGCATTGATTCTCAAACGGATTGCAAAGTCACTACTATTGAACTTCCTAGAATTGGTTGGTATCATGAGTATCCATCCAGAACAGGTATGAGTTGTCACCTCTACTTCTTCGCCAAAGTATATGCTAATTAGGATACCTATAGAGCCAAGAAAAGATAAATGATCTAAATACTCTTCTCGTGAACTTCCATCATCTCCTGAACGAATATCGACCACATCAAGCACGAGAATCATTGATTCTGATGATGCAAGATCAATTGGAGAAATCGAGGGCTGAGACTGAGGGTATCATGAAAATGAAGGAGAAAGTCGAAGGAATATTGGAGGGATTAGGCCAAGTCAAAACCGCAGATGGGGACAGTGCTGGTAGTCAAATACATGAGAGTGTAATGGAGGATGACGGGAAAGACGTTTGGGAGCAGTTGGACCTGGAATTCAGCTGAAGGCCGATTGTGCAGACGGTTATCGAAGCCTATATACGAAATATACGAACCACTTGGTGGTGCTATGCGTCAATATTTTGCTGTCAGACACCGGAATGAGATTATTGGATGAAGCACATCTAACAATTTGTCGACAGTCTTCTCGAAGGTCCATCTATGAAGGACCGCGTCATTAGATTCACACTGGCAAGGCTTACCATAGCCACAGCCATAGCCTTACTCGGCTACACCCGTTTCTGGCATCTCTCAGTTGATCCCAATTGGCTAGACGGCTTGGGTATTCTTGACAAATCTGGAGCTCCTCCTCCCCCGCATACCCAAAGAACAATAGGAGATATCAGCATGGGCTGTGAAATTTGTGACAATCTGATAGTTTCTCTGACAGTTAGTTAACACGATTAAATACATAGCCTCAATCATTTCATGCCATATGGCAACATGTAATTCATAAACCAGATCTTTGACTACCGAAACTTAATCAAATTTATCAAAATTCATAGTGATTGCCCACAAATTGCGCCCTCCACGTTGACAATAACGATCGGCCGGCCAATGAGTAAACGAGTTCCAAGCTTCCAAGATTCAAACGTAACAGTTTACCTTTCTTTGTATCAAGCCACGCCTAGAATCATGTATATTATCATTCACTCCCCTTCTTGACCCCCTTTCTCTTCTATCTCAAACAACATCCAAAGAATCCATCAGGAAAGCTTGTCAATAACTACAATATCGATGTAAGAAGTTACTCTTTACAATCACATTTCTCACTGTGGCTGTGTCGATAGCACTGTGGATATGACGTCACAGCTATCCCATTCATTCGCAACCCTAATCCAATAATCAAAACCGCCTCACTTCACTACAAATTTCTAGATTCTAGATTTTAGCACAAACCCAAAAACTAACAAACATATTTTTCCACAATAGATACCTCAAAACCACACATCACACAACACACAACACTACACTACACAACATAAGACCATCTCAAACTCAATCCAACCAAACACCACACAAAATGTGCACCTCAACCTCAACCACCAGCCTTGTCAACCGCAACGGTCCAGGCTCCGCAGCCTCATCTACCATTTCTGATATTGTGAAGGGTGGTAGTGCGACGGGAAAGACGAAATGTTTGGAGTGTGATGGGTATGAGTGTTGTTGTATTCCTATTCCTTGTACGGTTATGTGAGGAGGGGCGAGGGGCGAGGGGGGGGGAGAGGGATGTTGTGAGAGGGATGTTACGAGATGATTGGGGATGAGGGATGTCTGTGAGATGATTGGGGGTAGATGGAGGATGAATAAGGCTGTTGGAGTGAGGTGCTGGGATGGGGCATGAACGAGCATGGAGGCTGTGAGTGATGTGCTGGGACTCTGGGAGGGAGCCTCAAATAGGGGATGATTTTGAAATAGCACACCAAGCTACTATGTCTGCAGGTGAGATACATGCTTGGTATTTGGGGACGGTGTTCGGAGAGATATGCGCGGTTGGTGACACTGGTGATGTTATGAATAATGAATGGATAGATTTTCAATGCTGTGCAACTTGTTGGATGTTACCTCTTCCTGCATGAGATTCCAAGGAAATTTGCTGCATTTTCCCGATATTATTATACCGTATCCTATCATTATCCCATCAAGGAAAGTGGTAGCTGAAAGAAGTTACTGTGCTGACTAATCACTTTCTTCATTGAGTTCTGTCTGGATCACTTGCGGCTTCTTTTCCCTGTTCACGAAACACAAGCAACTTTTTTTTGAGCTTTTCACCCTGAAATTTCCTCAAAATCATGCACAGCAAGGCTATATCATGCAAAAGGACTCCAGTCAAGAACTTGTAAAACCTATCGACACCATCATGTGGCTCTGTACAGGATTCTGCCTCGCTTTCCCGAGGGCGTTACAGCATAAGAATGAGCTGTTCCAGAAACCATAAGAATATGTTAATGGCTACAGCATAAAAATGAGCTGTTCCAGCCTTGGTGCCGGCTGGGTGGAAACCATAAGAACATATTGATGGCTCCTCGTGTTTGAAAAGATTCTCGGTTGACGATACAAAACTTAGCAGTTGCTTGGGCTCACCGGATTTGAGGCCATAAATTTATTGCAGAGACCATTGCTACACTAGACATGAGTCCTTAAGATATCAAAACATCTAGATTGTGGTTTATTCTAAACGCTTTGAACTTAAAATATTTCTCAAGATGGCCGAGGTTCTTGGTATAGCATCAGGCATTGCTGGCTTGGTATCCCTTTGTGATACCATTGTTCGATTGGGCTACAAGTATATCAGAGATGTCAAAGATGCCGAAAAGTCCGTTCAAAGCCTTGTTGATGAGGTAAACAATCTCGCGGGCGTACTTCATAGTTTGAATAATGTGGTACAGGAACTCGAGGTAGCGGATTCGACGACATACGGCTCCAGCAAGATACAACACATCAATTCTTGCCAAAAAACCCTTGAGAAAATCAACCGCCAATTGGAAAGCGCCATACCCGAAGTGAAGACATTTTCGCAGAGGCTAAAGTTGCCCCTTAAGAAGGGGACTATTGCGGAGCTACTCAAAGAGATTCAAAGCTATAAGAGCACAATGACTATGGCAATGCAAGCCAGACAAATGCGAGTTATATCAGCTCGCAGTTGTATAGTACTTTTCTGATGTTTGTTAGGTCTACTTTAATCGAAGTTCTTGCGAGCCAGGAACAGCTTAGCAGCGGAATACATGGAATTGCTGCCAGTTTAGAGAATATGCGATTAGAGCGACAGATATATATTAACGGTTATCTCATGTCTATTCAACGATCGGGAAATGATTGCTAATTATATACGAACAGACACAGATTTACAGGGGAAGCTCGATCTCCTAGGTACTATTGATGTTTGGAAATGGCAGAATTCGAATGTTCGTATAAGACAACCAGGAACAGGTGTTTGGTTCACCGAGAGCAAGGAATTTCAAAGCTGGGCTTCTGCAGACAATTCGAAGCTTTGGGTGCATGGAATACGTATGTTGTGTCTTGCCCATTATTGCAACCATTTCTGACTGATCTAGCTGGAGCCGGAAAAACCATTCTGGTGTACGTTATGCGCCTATTTTGATATTAATATTCCCATTGTGTAGAGCTAAGCGTATGGTAAACAGGGCATCCATCATACAAGAGATTGAACAAACTTATGACTCATCTCATGGTGCGAAGCATTCTAAGTTGACTCGTTTGGAGCTTTAGTTTACACTCACTAACTCCATGATCAGGACTTGCCATATTCTTTTGTGACTACAAGGACACTCAAACTCACGATCCACGGATCATTCTAGGGGCGCTTGCACGACAACTGATTCAGATTCAGCCAAAACAAGCTTTTACGCAATTGAAGACTTTCTGCGCAAAGCATCAAATGACGCAACACACTCAGGGTTCAGCTACAACCGAAGACCTTTGTGAATTCATTGTCGAATTGTCGAAAAATTTCACATCCACCAGCATCATTGTAGATGGCCTGGATGAAGTTGTTGAAGATCGCGCGGAGGTTACAAGACTCCTACAATCCTTAAATAAGCCATCGGGAACAATCAAAACCTTATTCGCTAGTCGCAATGAGGTTGATATTCAACGTGTGTTGGTAGATTATCCTAGCATCTCCATTGCAGCAAGAAGTGGTGACTTGCGACTTTATGTGCATTCTGAGATTGAGAATCGAACGAAAATGGGCAAGCTTCGAATTCGAGACCGTAGCTTAAAGGACCATATTATCAAAGTTCTTACAGAGGGTGCTGATGGCATGTATGTATCTCGAATTTAGACACTCATTCCCGGCTGTAAGATTAACGCTTTTAGGTTCCGGTGGGTTGCGTGCCAGATGGACTATCTTTGTGAGTGCAGTTCAGACGGGGATCGCCGTGATGCTCTGAAACAGCTGCCACCAGATTTACCAAAATCATACGATCGTGTTCTCGAAAGGGTGAATCGGAGCAGCAAAGAGAACCAGGCTCTTGTCAAGCACACACTTCTTTGGATTGTGTACGCGGAGACGCCTTTGAAAATAAAGCAGCTGCTTCAAGCACTTGCATTAAGACCTGGTAAAAAGGTTTTCGAGTATGAATACATGCCTACATTGGATGAACTCCTCAATTGGTGTAGTAGTCTCGTACGCAGAGATTACCAATTAGATAGCGTAGAACTCGCGCATTTCACTGTGAAGGAATACCTCCTGAGCCTTGATGGATCGTGCAACTCGATCTTCTCACAATACCGATTGTCTGGGGATCACACCGATATTGCGAGAACCTGTCTTCGATTCTTGGGCCTGTCGGAGTTTGATGGGTTGCTCACAACAATTGCGCTGCTCACCACTAGGCCAGCAGATTTTATTGAAGCCTGGGAGGAGTTTGAGAAGAATTATCCATTCATGATATATGTTTTTCGCAACTGGGTCAAACACGTGAATCGAAGCTCTTCGGCTGAGGTTGTAGACGAGGTGTTGCTGCTTTTAGATGAGAGTAGCGCGACTTATGCATTGTGGACATTTGGTACTTGCTACTACAGATGCTATCAGGATTATTGCAAGGAGACTTGGCGCTATTTGAAGGACAAAGTCCTGGGACCATCAAGGCCCTCTGCTCTTCATTGGGCTGCTATGCTTGCTCTGCCGGATGTCTTCACCACTCTCCTTGGCAGTGGGGAAGATGTAAATACGCCAAGCGTTGCTGGTGCACCAGTTTATTGTGCGATGATGGGTATTGAAGCAATTTTAGACTTCTCTGAAAACATAGAGGTAGACCCCCTCTGGAATTGGGACGCAAGAAGGAAGATCATTAGAATTTTGCTCATGGCCGGCGTAGATCTCAACAATATTCATCACTTACATGGTTGTTCTCTCTCTGTTATAGACCTTGTATACCGAGAATGGGGAGCATTCAACGAAGTTTTCCAATCTTTACTCGACATGAACCCGAGCATATCCCTCTCAATCCTATATAGCTTTCTGGAATTTGTTGGAGTTGTAATTCGAGACGACTCAGACGAGCCGATACTTGACAACCCTCTTATTTTTGAGCTGTTGCAATGGGGAGTGCAAACAGACTTCAAACATTTTGCTCCCGACACATTACCAGTAGTGTTTTCTATCATGCTTTATGGTCTAGCCAAATCGAAAGGACCGACGAAAAATATCAAATATCTTTTCGAGTTCGGCCTCAATAAGGTAGCACTAGGGAACGATGGGATGACTTCAAGTTGTGTTTCACAAAGGCAATCCGAAGACTGGGAGACGAAATTTAGTATTGCAATTTTGCAAGCAATCTATAATTCGCAGGAAAGAGCCCCGCACTCTCTTGAAAACGCGCTCGCGGAAATTGTGGAGATGCGGAAGCCAAAGCATTCGGACCCGCTTTTATTTGAAAGACTACAAGTACCAGCACTAGTACTGGAGATAATCAGTACATTATACGTCAACGGTATCAAAATAGACTTGAACTGGCCTTGTACAAATGAATCAGGGAACACTATTCTTCATCATTCCATTCAAACATCTTTGTCCCAAAACGACAGTCGTCGTCACGATAGGCCCGTTTGGTTGCCAGATCAAAGCGATTATTTGCAATCACTTCTCTATAAGGCCGTTTCTGAACAAGGAGCGGATCTCACGGTTCCAAATAACAATAGCATGACTCTTATAGAGCTTCTGGTACAAAATTGGGATTGTCACATGTCCGGGTTTCGTCGGATATGGGAATCAGCAAATATCTCAAGCGCATTTACTCGCCTCCCCGACCTGCCCGAAAAGTTGCTCCATGCAGCAACTACAAACTGCGTTCAAATGGTAGAGTTTATTTTTGATCAGCTAGCGAAGGACGAAGACACACATACAGAACTTTTGCAAGAATTTGTGGCGCACCATTGTACCATAGATTATATGCAGAAGCTGTTCAGGATACGGTTTAAGCGGAAGATAATTGAACACACAGACTCAAAAGAGGAGGCTCTGTCTCCTATGGAGCTTTCCGAGCAAGCCCACTCACTGGTAATTTTCGAAGGGAAACGAACGGACCTCCATCTACTAATTGGCAGCCATAAGCCATCGGATTTCGGAAAGTTAAGGATATTGCTAACAAAAAATCCTGATCTACAGGTCCAAAATGGTCAAGGCTTTACACCACTCGCCACTGCCATCCAATTCACGAACATCCGGGCCATGTATGCTTTGCTCATCGCAGGCGCAGATATAGAGACCTGTAGCAGTCGTGCGCGAACATGCTTGCATCTGGCTTGCTGTCTAAGAAATGCAGAAGCTGTCAAAACTCTGCTTAGAGCTGGTGCCGACACCTCGATTAAGGACAACTGTGGATATACTGCAGAGAATCTGGCCGTACGGACGCAATTTTCTGAGATTATAGATCTATTCACTCGGGCCAGGGATGACAAGTCTGGTACGGAATCTTCTGGTGGCGAAATCTTTGAGGGGAGCTCTGTTGCGGAGGGTTCTGAAGCGGGGAGTTCTCTGATGCGAAGGGTTCTGTTGCAGATATTGAGGTTACGAATGAGGTCTACTTTTATCCTTCCATCCATCCGCCAAACTCCCAGACCTATTCCTTTCGTCATAGATCAGCATGATCCATGATCTCTTTCGTTACTTCCAAACTCGTTGTTCTTGGCTCAACATATCAGTCAAGCCCCGTTTCAACAGCTATGAAGAGAACTCTGGATCGATACTTGTGTAAAGGTGGTAATGATGTCTTGAACTTTTCGTTCGATTAGATGGTCTGAGGAGGACTAGGAATGATCATGTCATATTTGAAACGCATTTGTTTATTTACTTCTGATTTAGTTTATGATATTTTAGCTGAAATTTATGGAATCCACTGCGTTATGAGCTGGAGCATATGTCGAGCTCCAATCTTTCTGCATCACGTGTATGTACAACGTCATGTGTCTAAACTCAGCTAATGGAATAAGCTTAGTCCCAATATGGATGTGCTTTCGCTTAATTCATCCAGACTATTGATGGCTATGGAATTCAAAGTATCCGACTTCTAAGCCAGCCAATGAAAGCTTGTACTCATATATAATTAAAGTTCCTTGAGCGAGATCTTAATCTATATTAGGACTACGCTTATCACAGATTCACAAGTAGTTGTAGGCTTGTAGCTGAGTTTAGATAGTATATCGTCTAAACTCCCTAACTTTGGATTTGCTTAGTCCTGTCATGGAATAAGGTTTATAGCTACCTTAATCGAGACTAATATTCTATAATATCCGACTCCACTTTCAAATAAACCAATATAGGTATACTTATACTAATACACAATTCACTTCTGTATCAGCCAATGAAATCCTATACTAATACACGATTAAAATCTACTAATCGAAACCTTATTTCATAACAGGACTAAGCAAATCCAAAGTTAGGGAGTTAGACGGTTCTCGTCGCTTATGTCATTTGTATCACTTCAACTTTACCCCTGAGCTGGCGGCTTATCGGTGCTTATCAGTACAGTAGTGCCCGTTAGATCCGCTTACCGTCCGAAGTTCCGTGTCGGGCTAGTACCGGACATTATACAATCAACAACTTCACCAACCTAAACCGTAGGAAAACATTCTCAATGCAATGAGTGCTCAAAATCTTGCTGTCGATTCTCTCCCTCTTCATATCCTCTTGGAGTCTTGGGTAACAGCATCAAGCTCAAAGCCTCAAAGGTCATCACAGAACATCATGGAGAAATGATCCTCAACTTGGCGTTCGCAAAATTGTGATCAACAAACCTTGATGCTGGAGGCCCACTGATAATCTCGCATGTCCGGAGTTTCAAGGAAGATGTTGTTGGAACAAAAACTCGTATAGATCCACTGGAAAAATATGGATCCCACGAGGTTGATATTCTCTAATAAAAATACTACTGCACCATATCTCGATAATGCAGTTCCTTTCACGAATACTCCACAAGCCAAGAGCTATTCTTTCTTCACATGTTTAAAAGTCGCTCGAGTATTCCCCTCTGGGGACTGCTATCTTGGTGTTTCGTTCAGTCTGCCAGTGCGAAGTCGCAGACGTATCAATCGTTGGACGCAAAGTATGGAGGTGCCTTGACGGATTCAGGAGACTATCTTTATGGATCGAACAAATGGGGTGATGATGGGAGTGGAAGTCAAAACATGACTGTATGTTTATGATCGCGAAATCACAACTCACAATTTGAGCGTTGCGAGAATATGGTATTGACATCAGCTCTTTATAGATCCTTCTAGCGGACACCAATGGCGCAAGTTTCAACGCGACGTGGATGTGGGAAAAGAACATCGAATATGTATGTCTCACAATCACAGTCCAACCAATACACACCACCGCTCTCCAAATCACATCCTAACAATGTACAGGTCCACGCCTACCCCAACGTCGGCTACCAATCCATCCAACTCCCCACCCAAATAAGCAACATCGACACCTTCCACCTCAGCGGCAGCTGGTCCTTCTATCCCGTCGGGCAAGAATCCGCCTCAGACATGACGACGGCCCTCAATGCCGTCGGCTGCAAAGCCGACATCGCCCTGGACATGTTCCTCGACAACAACAACGTCTCCTCGACCAACGCATCCGTCGCCACCCACGAAGTCATGGTCTGGCAATCCGTCTGGGGCGGCGTCTGGCCCATCGGATACTACGATCCACCCACCGGAGCCCCCGAATACAAGCTAGGCGACGTCACCTACCAGCTCTTTAGCGGCCACAATCAACAAGGACAAAAACAAGCCGTGTTTTCCTGGGTTCCCACCGTCTATCAACAATCCATCGATGCCGACATATCCGAACTGGTGAAAGAACTCGTCACCCTTGGAAATATCACCGCGGATATGTATCTGGGATTGATCCAATTCGGTTCGGAAACAGTACATGCGACCGAACCCGTGGAATTACAAATGAAGGATATAGAAATGAGTCTTGGGGTATCGAGTTCGAGGACTGCGTCGCCCACGGCGACGAGTACGAGTAAGGGGGGCGCGGATATGTTTCGGGCGCAGATTACGAATTTTGCGGTTCCGGCAGCATTGGGTTTGGGGGTTATGCTGGCGGTTTGATTTTGATTTTGAGATTGGGGTTTGGTGTATGCTATGATTTTTATATGAATACGAATAATGTTTTTTTTGCGAGTGTGATCTCGTATGTTTATTTATCGGTCATTGAGGTGAATAGGGGCAATTGGAAGTGACGTATAGGCGAGCAGTGGGAGATGAAGCATTAAATTATGTTTTGAAAGATTTTCACTGCAGAGATTTACCATTCCTGTTCCTTTTCCCTTTCCAGTATCGAACGCCATGCTAAAACAAAAAGAAAAAAAAACACAATCAAAAAGAAAACTCAACATCACAACTCATACCCACAATGTTTTCTCCTCAAATGTCTAAGCAAATGATCTGATCTAGCAAAAACACGTTTGCAGCCCTCCACAGGACAAATAGGTTTCGATATACTGGTAACTTTTGGGTCGGAAGAACCCAGATTTTCGGTTTTATGTTTGGCGGTTAGGTGGCGCGTCATGTCTCGTTTGCGCGCGGTACGGTGGGGACAGAGGGGACAGGTGTGGGGGAGGGTGTGGAGGGGGGTGTGTTTACTGGAGTGGGTGGGTTAGTGGGGGTTGAAGTGGATGGGGTATGGGGACTAGGGAGAGAAATTGGAGGATGATGGATGAGCAGGAAATTCGGGGAACACACTTGAATTCAAAACGTTTGGAAAATGTTTTGTGACATATTGTACAAGTGTATTCGTCTTGAACACTTGGTGGTGTGTTGGATATGCATCGATCACTTGAGGGTGTGGTTGATGTGGATGTGGATGTGGAAGTAGAAGTGGAAGTAGATTGAGATATTGAGTTGCAGGTATTGGTGATGGTAATAGGAGATTGCGTGGGCAAATATATTGAGTTGGTGGTGCTAATAGTAGGCGATTGCGTAGTGTGAGATATAGAAGGTAGATGGTTTCCGGTTGGTGGACTCATGTACAGTGGGGAATGCATTGGGTCCCAGTTGGAGTTGTGTAGTATTGGGGACTGGGTATCGAAGATGAGGGGATAGGTTTCATAAGCTTGGTTCTCCGTGTAATCGGATGTCGCTTGGAATGAATCCCTGTGAGTATCATTGTTGAGGAATTCGAGATGGGCAGTTTGATGATTCAGGTCGATGGAAGAATCGAGTGATGGGAGTGGATGGATAACACTTTCGCCCATATTGTCCCAATGCGGTACGGGTAATGTTTCGTTCAGATTATTCCAATCTGGCAAGGGCATTGTGCCATCCAGACTTTCCCAAGGTAGTAAAGATGACGAGTTCAAATCGTTTGTATCAGAGATAAACCTATTGTCGGATCCTTCACTGGATTTAGTATCTGGCTGGCTTTGTACGCTATCTCCACTGAGATTGTAAGTACTGTGTGGCAGATCAGACTGCAATGAAGCTTTTTCGAGCCAGAATGGATCCCATTCGGTCTCGGTAGCACTAGTATCTATATCTATCTCCCACACAAATTCGCCATAAGCGTAATGTGTTTCATCAGCATCTGACGAAGCAAACGGAGGGCTGTCTCCGGGATAATTGGCCATGGTTGGTAATTTGAGGGTATCTGTCGATGGTTGGATTTTGTTCTTCTTGGGACTGCTTGTAGGCTTATGATATTATGGATATCGATAGTGGAACAAGCGTTGTTAAATGTGTGTATCGGTCAAGTATGCAGTTTTAAGACGTACATCGGTCATGTCCATGAGAATCATCGAGTTGTTATTGAGAATCCCTTCGTAATTAGCCATGCCCTCATCTGTGCAGTATCTACTGGCTAGACCACGTGGATTGGCACTGTAACAGATGAGGATGTAGGTATCGCTGTGACATCGAAAGTTTCGGTATTCCCTTGTGTGGCTTGTTGACAGATTTTGAGAAATACACAATGCCGACGGAACTGCTTCGAGAGACCAAACCAGGTGAAATCAAAAAGGAAATACGACAAATAAAAATAGATCGGCAAGTTCTTTCGATAGAGTTGGATTCAACACCGTCAGGCAGCCAGTTTTCGATTGGAAAGCTGTTGAAATCGATGAGGAATTTTCGAAATATAAAACCAAGGTCGTAAAAGGAGATTTAGCGAATGAAAAAAAAAAACGGCAAGTTTCGGCTCGTCTGAGAGCTACATATCGAGATGACAGTGCCGGCTGTCGAAGGGGTTGGAAAAGTCTTCATGCGGCATCCCTCCGCGAGCTCTTGTCTGGAAACCTAATAACATGAGGATTTGGAACATCATCGTCTGATTTTTCAAGACCTGGACTAATCATCCGTTCTCGGGTTTGTGAGAAATTGAAGTTATAGTCTGATATTTCCTTGGAGCATTCACGGTGACTGGATGATTGCTGTTTGGCGAGTGAAGGTTGAATATTGTTCGAGTCGAAACTCGCAATAATCCTCGGGTCCCCATCGAAGTCGTAGAAATGAGCCACGACATGACCCATCAATGAACCATTGGTGATGTCAGGGTCTTTGTGTGGCGTAGTAGAACCAAAGGTTCCTGGGCTAAAACCTTCCATAGTTGTAGATACTGTGAGGTTTTAGGATATATAAAGCATTTAAATACATGCAATTCTGATGAGACATACGGCAAGGTTAACTTGGGATCGAAATAATCATTGGAGCAGCAAGGCCGAAGGTGGTTTTGTTATAAAGGTTTCAAACAAGAGGGAAAATGAGATGAATTAGATGGACACAAAATTGAAGATAGAATGTGGTTTTGTACCTCTAGAAACGGAGGCCCTCCATTGCTGTATATCTTCAGCCGCCTGGACCCATATTTAATTTTAGCAGGGGCTAAATGTGGCTCCAATAAGTGAGATCTTGCATCGATCGCAATGCAGCGTGCTGGAAGGGGTAGTAAGCATATTCTATCCTATTTGTGCCAATGACGATTAGCTATTTAAATGGATCCCCTTCAGCCACCGCAGCCAAACACTTCTGTAAATCACTTGATGCTGATGAAAACAACACCGTCGCTTATCAATGACCTAATTAGACATATACATATACCAGTACAGCACAGTCTACTTTCAAGAGTCGATCTCCTTTATCAGAATCTTGACCATGTGCCGCACTGCTGACGAAAATCACTCAGCTCTAAAAGAACTCTGGTGTATACCCTTTTGCCAGAAAAAGTGAACGCGCCTGTCTGCGTTGCCTTCATGACTCTCTATTGGAATTGTACAATATGTGCCTCCTTAAGAATCTACAACTACACGTGAGCATTAGCCAAGCATTGAAGTTCACATCAAGATATGATTTGCCAAACACATGAAGTATTTTACTCATGAGAGACGATAAATAACGCCCTTGAACGCTGCGGATTATTTGTTATGACTATTTTTGTATACATCGAGCATCTCCTTTTCGTATACAATCAATATGCATTTTCCATGATAGGAATACCCCAGCCCATCAATTCTATTGATCTGATCCTCTATCACTCAAAATCAACACTTGTCTTAAAAGTTGCCGTAGCAGGCAACGTCTCAGGAAACACCATGAATTTCGCATATGGTGCTTTTTTCCAATGCCAAAGCACCTTCAATCTCCCTCGATCGAAGTTATTCCTCGCTTCCTCTGCATCGAACAAGATGTTTCCTTGGTCCTCAGTCTTCGGATTTGCAGAGGCATCCCTGTCTTCTGCAATACCATCATTCTCATCCTCGAGCTTGGAAGCTAAAGCCTTCTTCTCGGTTTCCGACATTTGCTGCGAATCATGTCGACGAAGGGCCTTCCTCTGCAAGCAGTTCTCAAAGAAATGAGAGGCGAAAGAGGCAAATCCCAATTTGGTGAATTTTCTCAAGTCCCACTGGAGGTTTTCTTTTAGTGTAGGATTTTCCGGGAGAGTGTCGCTAACTCGGATGAAGCTAAAGTCAATAGCTGACCAGATAGGTCCATAGATGTAGTATATCTGGTCATCGGTCACAGTCTTGTAGAAGAACATTGCCAACGCGAGGTTACCCATATTCGATCTACATCTTTGTCTGAATTCGTTACTTCGAATATTGGCAAGTACCATACTTGATGCAATTTGTTCGCTTCGCTCTAGAATTACGATCGCCATTTTTTCCAAATACAAATCCAATATGCTCTTGTACTCCGCACTCTCGGGACTATCAAAACCAGATTGGACTATAGCAGGAGGGGCGATATCCATGGATTCTGATGGCTGGAGTGAACGAAAGCGGAAGTAAACGGTTTTCGCCAAATTGATGGTGGTCATTGGTAAATTCGATTCTTCCCATATGGCATTGGCCGCACGAGTAGATGGAGTTAACTGGGGAAAGTAGCCACGCATGATACTCTCTTCAAGATGTACCGCGATAGGTTCGTAGGGGCCGTCGGGCTAACAGAAAGATAGTAAGTATCACAAAAGACCAGTGGAGGGCGGAATCATATCAATTACCTGTACGGAAGTGGGCGCTGGGGCTAGTGTCTTCTCTTCCCAGGCACCCAGAGCCTGAGCCGGGGCTTCACGCAAACTCAAAATATAAGCATAGGTTGCTTGAAAATCTATATCGTCGTGGATCAGGTTGCCTGGGATATTGAGAGGATCATGCGTGATTTTTTCCGGTGCGCTTTTCTGCTTGAAAATGACTGGCAGATTATTCGACATGATTGCGGTCCTCTGATGGGGGTTATAGTAAGGCTATAGATAACAACAAACGATATCAATATAGCGCTGGAAAATCCCGGGATTTGGGAGTTTCAGGTACATGAATAGGAAAATAATATATTCTAGAACGGACTCGGAGGTCTCCCAAAGCTATAAACAAAATGAAAACCAATAGGTATCCCAAAATGTAGTACACAAAAATTGAATATCAGGAATGAAAATGAGTATGCTTTGTTTGTGTGGAAACAAGTGAGGCAGGAAAGCTCGTGCTAGAGCTATTGACTTTCGACCCTACTATGGCTGTCTGTAGAGGAAAGACTACAATAGATTCTCTTTCCTTCCTTCCCAAATGTGCGATTTCCGGTCAAAGCATGTTGTTCATCACCTCCCCTCACATCTTCTAAGTGAATAATGTAATTTACCAACAACCCATTCGTAACTTTTCGTAAAGATATCGTTTACCTCGCATGAATGTGCCTGCATTCACTCCAATCTGGCCATTAGGCGGAAGCTCTAACAGTTTTATCCATACCCATACCATAAGATAGGCTCTCATTATATGCAGCCAAAATCGGGTTTCGATTGCTTACTTCCAGATGACGCATTTGCCATATTTCGATACCTAAAATCGACAATCGAATGATCTCTCAGGCGTAGGTATCAATGTCTTGATCAAAAGTTCGACCTTCTATTTCCCAAATCGTCATATAACCCCAAGCCAAGATCCAATCAAACAAAACCTCCCTCTCTTTCAGGCCTTGCTTGGTAATTGTTTCAGAAGCCAAGGTTCTTTCACGTATCTGACATGTCCGTGAGATTATCTTTTCATAATAGGCCAACTCCACTAACAAGTAATCCCAATCCCACATGTATACACACTATATGGATACTACTCTCCGAATCAGAAGTATGCGTAGCAGCCTTCGCAGCAGCTGAAGCTCCAGGCCCAGCGAGCGTATAGCCAGCGGCGGAAAGAGATGACGCGTACGATACGAGCGCGGATTGAACTGCTAATGATTGAGACGCTGATTGGGAGGGATCGAGGGAAGTGTTTGTGGTTGATGTGGGGACTGGAGTTTGAGTTGCGGGGAGAGCGGGTGATTGTCGAGCCTAGCGGGGTGGATTGTCAATAGCCATCTAGACTGGAATTGTGATAGACTTACTTCTATATCTACAGCGACTGAAGAAGTCAAGAGAGCTGCAACGGTAAGGATCGTCAATGGGGAAATTGATAAATGCATGCTTGTTATTTAAGAGAATAATGTGAAATATAATAGACACAATCAAACGGAAACCAGAGAATGGAGAAGGATGTTTCTTATAGATATTATTCCAAGCTGAAATGATAAGTCTGGATCGTCTGATGTAGCGGCCAACGTGTACAGAAGATAAGATGTTGTTTAAGGCTGTGCTATTTGCTATTTCATGCTTAGTATTCGGAACCAGGTTTCATCATTCGTGCGGACTTGTTTCGGGAACCGTTTTCCACGTCAAAATAAGTGGATAGAGAGAGCAACTTGAAGGGGTCCATTATAAAATTTGAGTCCCACAACCCAAAAAGGAGTCAAAAGATTAGAAATTAATTCAAGCACCGAATTCAAGCAGGCAAACTCCAAGTCTCAAAAGTGTGATAAAGAAGAAAAGAGCAAAAGTTATTGATCAGAGTGGGATTTGAACCCACGCCTATTACTAGACCAGGAGATTGTAATTAACTACTTTGTGAGCATTAAATACCTTAACCTGGCGCCTTAGACCAACTCGGCCATCTGACCAGACATAAACTATTGTTGATGCAATTGTTAAAATAGCTAGATACATATACAGCATTGTCACAAATTCTCTGCAAATTCTTTGCAATGGACGATATTCTTGAGGGTCGGCCGCTAGTGCTTTAATATTTAACATTATGTAAGCGATAAAACAAGCCAGTGATCTCTTAGACTTTATCAGATTATTCATAACACAATTGTCTAATATCATTTAGATGCGCTATTGAAGTATCAAGCATGGAATTAACCAGAAGTTCGAAGAGATAACATTAAGCTGGAGCCTGGAGGAGAGTTGCGGACCTTTTATCCAATACAATATTTCAAAGGTTGCTTACAAAGTCTTTGATTATTTAACAAGTATTTTCAACAATGTTTTATCACAAACCTATTGTAGACTAATCGATATTTTAGCGATGTATTCTAGATCTTCTGTCTGAGTGTTGATTACCATCAATCGCCATGATTAATTTCGGTAGCAAATCTGCTTCCCAAGCCCAAATCCCAAGCAAACATATATATATATATACACATCGTATCACATCTCAAATCAAATAACATCCCATCATTAAACTCATCAATCATCTTCAACAACGGGCCGTCCGATTCCACCTCCACCTACTACCGGTCTCCCAGGTGCCCCACCACCAAACCATCCACCCATTCCTCCCGCCGCCACCGGACGCCCAGGTCCAGGTACCCCCCCTACAACTGGTCTTCCTGCCCCTCCAACACCGACTATCGGACGCCCTCCTCCACCTCCCATGACAGGTCTTCCAATACCAGGCGGTGGCGGCGGCCGTGGTGAATCGGCTGAATCGGCTGAATCGGCTGAATCTGCAGAATCGGCCGAATCTTGTTCAGAAACCGTGCTTGAAGAATAACCACTATAGTCTATTCTCCTCCTCGAAAGTTTGTATATAAATACAGAGACAAGTATCATTGCAAATACCAAAAGAATCACAATAATGGCAATAGCATCATTTTCTTTCACCATTTTGTACCTAGTTGTACGAGATTCGGGGAGAAATTTCTTCGGTTTGGTGCTGTAAAGTAGCGCTGCTAGTTGCCGTTATCTATGAGGACTCGAGATTGGACTCGACAGGCGAAGAGTACGGAGCGTCTAGATGGGGAGAACATTAGATATCGAACTATATAGGAATTGCCAAGTGGAATTGTTATACGCACGGGCTTCTAGGAGTACCTCAATGCCAAGTGATTGAGTACTTTTCTTGACATTTGACAGAAATCCTGACCCATCAAATCGCAACTTCTGCGTGACGAAGTTTCTGTAATAACAATACTGTATAATTGCTGTTTTGAGGTAGAGGACTGATGATAATTCGAGAACACCGAATCCAAAGAATGATCAATCACATCATTCATGGGAGTAGACACTTTTGAAGGACTCGAAAAGATCAATGTAAACATAAACAAGCCATCCAGATAACAAAGCCTGCATGAGGGGTGGCACCAGGGTGGTACTGTATCACAAGGGTCATGGCAACGCCGTAGGACAACCTAAAACTTTGCGACCTATTAGATTCCGGATTTGGTTCAGTTCGGGGGGGGTATCAATCATACTGGTAGCACCTAGCGGCTGAGTGACATGCAATATCGCAGAAACTTCTCGATTTCTATTTCACGGCTTAACATGTAACAATGGCAATGGCCATCTTTCACTTACTTCCCAAGGCATATTAAAGAATCTTGTCAAAATCATCATTCCGCGCAAGCATATTTGCAGAGGTCAATTTGATAGCGCCATCATATACGATTACTTCAATCCAAGAATACTGCCATCCACAAGCCACGAAAAATCCCCCCCAAAAAAGTAAATATTCTCATAACAAATTCCCTCGTGGCTTCGTACTCTGATCACCACGCGGAGTGAGTATAGTATAACCAATATAATACTCCCAGAATGAATGGCCGTATCTAAATCTTGTGTAAGAAGCGGTAGCATGCATGGTACAGTAAACAACTCCAATTCTTTTGGAAACTATTCACAAGGACACAGCGTTAGCTTTTCTCAAAAGCGTATTATCGATGGATACCTACTTCTCTTGTCCATATGTAACGATGTCTAGGCTAGTCTCTCTCACCTATATATATCCACGCTTCCATTAGCGTCGGAGCCTCATCTAGAACGGCTTTGTTTCAAGCGAGTGGTTTTTGCATAATAACAGGATCGCATCTTCGACATTCATTGGTATTCTGCGTTTATGATTGGAAGTTTATGACTTGTATAAATTATCGAGGTGTAATACATACCAGTACCTCATATACGTCACAACACAACCGGCCGAGTATGAACATGATTCCCTTGCAAATATTCAGTCATCACTCTGGTAAGATGAGACGAATTTCATTTACTTACTCCAGGAATCCGCCATATCCGCTCTTCTTCAACAAAAAAATATTAAAAAAATCAGTTCACCAACCAACAAAACCTTACCGCCCCTAGGGGCGGGAGGAGAAACCCCCGGTGGGGATTCTTTTTCGATTCGAACCAGGCGTATTACCACTCCACCACCAGACCGCATTTGACCTGAACAAACAAGACTGTTTGTCGCCTTTGCGGTCTGGATGAAGATTCTTGTTTTAAGGGGGTTTATATAGTATAATATAGTATGAGTAGTAAGATTATTGAATGGGTATTTTATATCTATGAGTATATATGTTTTGTTGGTTATTATATTGTGATTATTATTTTTTTGTTGTTTGTTACAATCCTAGAAATGAAGTCGCATCCAAAATCAATGTGTTCTTATATAGTATATCAATAGAGTATGCAACGGCGCTGGTGTGTCTTTAATGTGCAGACCTTCATGAATGAAAGCTGAAACCTTCCTGCGTGGTATTTATATCTGGTTTTGCTCCTCCCGCTGCTTGGTCACGAGTACCACATATTGATTCATATATGAACTAAGTTGCAATTATTAGATATGGACTGCAACCTATAAGATAGACCTTGGGTTCATGAATCGCTTTCGGACATGGATATCAACTTTCAAGTCAGATTTAAAGATCCATATCTATGCAGTATCGAAAACTTTCGGAGACTGGAGTGTAAGGAATACCATTAGATATATTGCATGTATAACCTATCTATAAGGACTACAACTATCGCCCTTCATAACTTCCTCCTCCCAACCTCCACACCCCCCTCAAAAATCAAACACCACCTCCGGCCACCTCACACTCGGACCATCCAGCACCCTTCCCCCTCTCCCTCTCAACCACATCCCAAAAAACGCCCCCACAAATTCACTTTCAATCTCCAGAATTCTCTGCCCCCTAATCGTGCCCAACAAATCCTCGAAACCCCCTAGACCCAGCACTCCCGCCCAAACCGCCAAATCCGTAAAACTGCCATGCAACGCGCCCTTTACCCTAACATCTCTCTTCCATCCCCTGAGCTTTACTGAATTCGCCCAGAACTCGTGCCATGTCGCATCTCTTTCTTGCGTCCTGTTATGAAATTCATTTGCCATGATCATGAAGGGGGATTTGAGACCTGTTTTTACTACTTCCCCGATTAGTGCCCCGTCGATGTTTATTCCGCAGAAGAAGCGGGGATCGGTTTGCATGGCGGAGAAAGCGGCTGCTCCCCCGAGGGAATGGCCGAAGGCGCCGATGCTTTGGGTTTGAAATGTTGGGTGGGGTTTGTGGTATGAGGATGAAGATGACGATGATAGGGATGAATTCGAGATTCCAGGAATTTGAGAGATGAATGATGGGTTGGAAAGAGAATTCAGCACGAATTGCAGATCTTTGACACGAGCATTAACGTATGGGATTGGAGCAATATAATCATCAAACTCAACATCTACCCAGGTAGCTATCGTACCATTTGCATATTCGATAAAATCTACATCGAAGGGGTGATCGACAGTGATGACGATGTAGCCAAGAGAAGCGATATTTTCGGCGATGGTGGTGTACATGAGACGCGTATTACCGTATCCTGGGGAGAAGAGGAGGATGGGGAAATCAAAGGAGAGGCGGTGGGAAAGGAGGATAGGGGCGGAGTTATGGGAGCGGGATGTGAAGGCTTGGAGGGTGGTGGGTGGGAGGGAGTAGCTTTCTGCTAAGTGGAGAGCGGTAGCGTTTGGGAAGGAGGGCGCGAATGCATAGGTGTATGAGGTTTTGGCCGAGGTGGGATAGAAGAGTGAGAGCATTAGACTGCGAGATGTAGATGGGTCGGTTGCTTGGAGGACTGTGGTGCCAAGGGAATGAGGTCCAGGGAGTGGAGGTGCTTGGATGATGCCGTGGACGGTCTGAGAAAGACTGAGAAGTAGCCAGCATACTTTCATGGTGATGAACTTCATGTTTGTGATTGTCATTATTGATTGATTCTATGAAACTTGTTAAAGAAAGTATCTACTTTTATAAAAAATGGTTACTCTCAGCCGCAAGTACAAAATTCGTCTGCCTAGAAATAGCGGTACCAATTGCATAATATCAGGTCACGAACCAAAACTTTTCGTAATAGCCTAAGCACAAAATTCGCAATTCAGACAGCTTTGTAGTAGTCACAATACAGAAGGGCGTGAGGGGAATTCCCTTTGCTTCGTGGCTGTGCGCCATTCTATGGTATAGCCCGCTTTCAACGCCCTTGCTGACTGGGGTATACTAAATCTTGGCAGAAGACACCATCGAAACTGGGATATGTCCATCATTACTGTTAAATCTTTTGTTAACTCAAGACTGGAGACTTCCACAGCATTGAACTTATGTATCCTAGAAAAGAAATCAGAAGAGTCAAAGAATAAGGGAGAATGAAGAACGACATTCCCAAGACCTTTGAATTGCAGTCAGAGAAAGATCCCCTTTCATCGCAACTGGTGACTTCTATAGTAATGATAGTAGCTTGATTTATCACGGAGTAGGTAAATCTCTCAATAGCAGACGTGGCAAGGCACGATTTACAAGTACCTGGGCGATTTAGATTCTGACCATATCGAAATCATCTAAATCATTGCGATATACAACCACCTCGTCTCACACCTCGTATCACACACACGTAACAAGCAACAATGCCTCCTCGACTAGACCTTGTCGTTCGAGTCGGAGGCCAGGTACGCAGAAGACCCATTAGACAGGGAGTCAGGAGACCTGCCAGACGACCTCCAATACGAAGACGGCCAGCGGTAGGAAATGGAGGCAGATGTGGAAACGGAGGAGGTAGACGGAGAAGAAGAGGAGAGGTAGGGGAAGGGCAGCTCCTAGGACACGTCTTGATATCATGCTGTTTACAGCTTCATACAGTGGTTAGCAAGATCCACATATTATTAAAGACGACGACGTCGGTTGAGACGAAGGAAGACTTCAGACAGGAGAAGATTTAGAGTGAATAAATCCAGTCCACCAAGGAAATAAGGTGAATATTGGTGCATGATTGACAGTTCCTGCCGTCTATTGATGTATCCCTTAGCGCCGTCAAGTCCAATTTACTTTTGATATTCAAACTTGGTCATCAAAGTTCCAATATGTGGCAGTATCTCAACAGAAAATGAATCTCCATCTCTCAGATATTCCTCTGGTATGAAGCTATTACCAACACCTGCCGGAGTACCAGTCAGGATTATAGTACCTGGCAGGAGTGTAGTACCCTGCGAGAGGAAAGAAACAATTTTCGCAACGGGAAAGATCAAATCGCTGTTACTAGTCAGCTAAAGACTTGAAAATGGGATCGGATATTCATACTGTGTTCCGCAATTTTGCATAACATTTCCATTCTTCAGACCTCTAACTCGGAGTTTCGATGGGTCTGGAATGAGCTTCGTGGATACCAAAACCGGGCCTAGAACGTTGTTAGCTCCAATCCCCCAGTTTTATTTGTGAAAAACGCATACCAATTGGACAAGCTCCGTCAAAACTTTTGCTGAAGCACCATTGACTTTGCGCAAATTGACTTGCTCGACTGCTAACATCATTCGCCGCGGTATATCCCAAAACATAGTTCAATGCGTCTGCCTCGCTGATATCCTTGCATTTCTCTCCAATCACAATAACCAACTCGGATTCGTAATCGCAGCAATCATCTTTCAGCGCAAATTTGGGTATAACTGTTGGAGAAGGATATGGATCTGCCAGAGCGGTCGAGGGTTTCATGAAAACGGTTGGCAGATCAGGAATAGCCATTTTGACTTCGTGTGCATGTTGAACATACTGCGATAGTTAGCTAATGTCCCCATGTATTTCAGAGATTCCGTATCTCACATTCAATCCAATACACCTAATCGTGCCAACCTCGGACTTTGCGAGGGGAGATAGGAGCTTTCCAATTTCTTTGACGGTTCCAGTTGAGATCCCTGGTTCTAGGACTGATGATCCACTGTATACATCAACTTTCACCTCTTTTCCTGCAATGATTGCAGCTCCCACATCGAGCTCCGAATCTACCGGCTGGCCTATGAGTATCTCCACAGAGGATTTGGGCACAAATCGTACAAGACCTGGAAGAGAGCATGTCAGTCAGCGTGTCAAAATGAGTGTTTGGACAGGAGTAAGAAACGTACGCTCAAACGATGGCACTGGCATGACTGATGTATGGTGCAAATATTACTCGTATATGGAGGAATTGAGAATGATCTTGACACAGAGAGAGCAAGAGAGAGAGAGAGAGATGGATTGCAGAGGACTGTTCTTGACTTGGACAAACAACTTCACACCCCACCTACTTTATTTCACCCCACCTTAATAGAAGCCGGTTTAACTGCCCCTCCATCACTGCAACTCCTCCATGGCTCCAGGATGGTCAAATTCTCTCGGTCGAGATCCGTAAGGTTGATTCAAAATGTGGTGGACGGCATCAGAATGTAAAAGTCCCCACAGATGTGAAAGTGGAAGGGGGTGGGGAGATTGAGGGGAATTCAGGGGTTTGATACACTAATTTGTGGGGATTATTAAGCACTGATTCATACCCTGGAGCTTTAGGATAAAAATCATCAACAACGGGTCCCGAGTCCACTTCATCAATACAATCTCATACTCGTAACCGTCTGACAGCAATTCCGCGAGCTCTCCACATCGACTTAAGCCATGGGCAGATCATGGTCAGGTCATTTTCCCACTCTGCCAGTAGTGATAGATCAATTGAAGAACATTTATATCCAGAATATTTCCTTTTTCATACTTTCCAGAAACCCATTGTGACATAACTTTCCTATGTGTCAAGACTCCATTCATAACATAACTCTCCGTTTCTCAGTCAACAACAAACATGACAGTTCTACCAAAGAAATCGGGATACACCCAAAAGTCAGACCCTACGAGACCCCGCTCCGGTGCAGCTGTCCCTTTTCGCGATATCATTCCCTCCCCAGATCATCCTCGCATCGCCGGAATACAAGATCACACAGCATTGAGTTGGTGTGAGTCGAGGAGGCAGATTGAGGCTCCTGCTTGGCTGATAAACCGGCTTGATGCGAAGAACTTGGAGAAACCATACAAAGGTTTTACGTCAGATGGTAAAATTAGAGAGGAGCTGTATAAATATGCCGATGATGAGGGTGCGCCCACTGAAGAGGTGATTGCAAAAACTGAGGAATTTCTAAATATTTTGAACGAAGATCAGAGGAAAGAGGTTCAATTCGGAGATGTTACAAATGATGAGTTTAGATTGTGGTCCAACCCAGAATTGTACATGAATCCGGGTAAGGACTGAATATATTTTAGACTTGATCCCATACTCATCTTTACGTAGGCGGACTACGACTCGATGAGTGTTCATCAGAAATTCAAACCGCCATTCATGCCATTCTCAGAGCTTCCTCGTCGAAGCAAGGATATGAAAAGATCCATGCCTGCTGCCTCACAAATGACTTCCTTGGTCAGCTAGTGAACGGCAAGAAAGTGCTTAATGAGCACTCCTATAACTTCCGTTTATTTGGCTTACCAACCATGACGAAACCATTTGGATACACATTTTTTGGACATCATTTGTGTCTTTCTGTAGTGTTCCTTGGCAAGAAAATGGTTATTGGTCCTACATTCATGGGAGCCGAACCTGATAGAATCGATGAGGGGCCACATGTTGGGTTGAGGTTATTCAAATCCGAGGAACTTGATAGCTTAAGCTTGATGCAAAGTTTACCCAAGGAATTACAGGAGAAGGCGACTCTGAGCAAGGGAATGGACGGGAAGAGCCTACCAGCTGATAGGTGGAATCCTTTTGACGAAAGACACTTGGGTGGTGCGAGACAAGACAACAGGATCGTTCCCTACGAGGGATGTCCAGTTTACGAGTTTCCAGCAGATAAGCAGGATCAGATCATCAAACTTTTTAAAGCTTTCAATGAGTACTATCCTGATGCAGTTTTGGAGCACAGAGTCGCACTATTTAAGAAGCATCTAAACGAAACATATTTTGCTTGGATAGGAGAATTTGGAGATGAGGATCCATACTACTTTCGCATTCACAGTCCAGTGGCATTTATGGAATTAGATTTCCACTGTGGCAGTAAGTCATCTCATCCCTTCTGTTTTGCACATTTAACATTCAATTAGTTTTCTTGACGAATACAGGTCCAGCGAGATGTCACATTCATACTTGTAATAGGTTGCCCAATAGAGGTGATTATGGAAGAGCATTACTGGAAGGGTCTAAGTAGACAGAAATTTATAGAGCATCAAATACAAATAAAATGTATCCAAGGTTCCCAATAACTTGCAGTTATTGTTCGCGTGATTGTCAATTCAATTCGTTCAATAGCGCGTCGTCTCTCGGTATTGTAGGTGTCCACGTCGTGTGCCATAAGCCGGGAAGTTGCGATATCATCGTGGGTGTAACGAAGTCTATCATGCGAGTAGTTGCTTTTCATGAGGCAGAATAGATTATTTATGGTTTGCGTCATGAAGACGCACTGCTTGTAATAAATGTTGAGGGGCATAATATAATGGGCGGACTAATGGACTTGGGAGTGATTGCATTGATAGTAGCTCCACTGGCAGTAGATTGTGCTTCCATATTTATTGAAGTTCATTATGCTCTTCGATTTGATGTTTCTTGCCTTGGATGCAAGTTTTATTATTTTGGGTTTTAAAATCCGGAAGGTTATGTAGGCTATTCGAGTATATATATTGGGATTTTATATCTAGCTCGAGACAAAAAGCTGGCTACAGTAAGTTAAGAAAGGGAGTTATGATATCAGAAACTACAAAATATCCTATAATACCGCGGCCGAATCAAAGTTCGGTTCTAAAGCATTCCAGTTCACGGTGATTAGATAATAAGGATGTCGAATTGTTGTTAGATCGAAAATAGTGTTGTTCGTGGGGATTGGCAAATTTCTGCTTCGGTGTCATTGATATATGTATGTGTATCTACTGAGTAATTCATTAAACCTTCTCTGTGTGATAAAGTTCTGGAATATTCAGTATAATAATGAAAATCTAGAAGTAGTTGGTCGGATGAATTCGAATGTCCAGAGGATTTTGAAGCCATTTTCAGAAACTTTTGTTCATTCGAATGGTCGGTTAGAGCTTCGAGTTGATATCTGGCCAGGCCATGACTTCTCTAGCAAACCCAACACATTTCCATCAATCAACCAAGACCCTGTAGCATTCTCTCTACTCGTAATAGTACAACATTCAAAACACATAGTTATATCTATACATCCCATATCTTATATCTCACATAATGACTTTATTCCTAAAGCTTTCTGCTGTAGTAGCACAAGTTCTCCAGATTTTTTGGTCTAATTATTGCCTTTCGCTTCTACAAGCCCTATGCCCTAGCTCGTGAACTAAAACGTTTGAGATACTACCAGATAAATGTCTTTAATGTGAATGAAGTGGTCTTAACTTGGATAGGTAAAGTTTGTTTCACTTGTTTCGTTTCGTTGATGGATATAATGAGCTCTGAATTTGAATATGAGTTACTAAGATCTTTGGGGTCCTTACATGAGAGTGTGCTAGTAGTTATGAATGGGGAATCACTTGGAATCTTTGTATACAAGTGAATATGATACAAGATAATGTTCGTAGGGTTTACTGTATGGCCCCGCAAAGAGTGACTGGAGCTTATAAATAGACTGACTTTCTATGCCGAGGAAGAAGTTCTCGCTTTCTATTACAGTATTAAAGAGCGGCTGTCAAAGGCCTATCGTGTGGATTCAAGGGTATATAATTACAACATTATCATGCGGAGATTTTTCCAAAGCAGTATCAAAGCCGGGTACTTTGGAGAACAAGCTTTAGGTCTGACAGTGTATACTTTAAGTTAGTTCATTCTACGTTATTGTTTGCTCTCGCACGCAAATTGGGCTTTCATCCAGGTCGAAGTTACATATGTCAAGGACCTACAATGTGTGATATTTATGTCATTTAGTTGATATAGTGTCCTTTAATAGTTTATATTATCATCTCTCCTCTACTGTCAAAAGTAACTACCTCTTCTATCTTCCGTGTTCAAAATCATTTCAATCATTTCGTTTAGAATTATACAACACAATCACTTCCTCTGAAAAAGATTATGCTGGGTCATTAAACTAATAAGTTGCCCATTGTGATATATGTTTTTGATGTCAATATTGATGATACCAAAAATTTCAAAATAGCTGAGTCTATACATCTGAGAATAGCAGAATGAGGGAGTGTGACTTTAGTGGTGTGTGATTCACTAGTCTTCTCTGCTTGCGTCACATTATGGATTCGCTGACGCAAGCTCAACAGATAATTACTTCTCTAAAAAGTGAATATCTATCAATGATCCTGTGGAACTGTGTTGATATTTCGCTATATAAATTCTCTCCTTGGGGCATCACACATTTTCAAACGTTCCTACTGCTACAGCAAACTTTTCGAACACCATGCTCTACGATTCACATACGACGATGAAAAGAAACAGTACCAAGATACTGAACTCATCCAGTTGAATTTCAAACATTGTTGAACCTCTCTCTCGCCCAAGGAAAATGCTGTCATATTCATCCTCTTGCTACTAATTCACATTAGCACTGTCAATGAAACGGTTCTGCTATCTTTTTGAGCTCTTGATTGTCACTACTCCCAGATTCCCACAACCCGACTTTCCAATGGTCTACGTTACTTCAAAGAATCGAGTACCCCAAAATGTTGCTTCCACATTCTACTACGTAATTTGGCTTCCCAACAACTCCCCGCCACATGGTTCGTCAAGATTGTTATCCGCCGCTCTCTACTATGATATCTTTGTCCAGCAATGTTGAACCTTAAATAAAAGAAGAAAGAGAAAAACAGGCAAAGTCCAGAAAGTACGAACCAATGCTTTAGTGAATGAGAAGAGATTGTGATCTAGAGTGAATAAAAGCTTAGTTCCATTCTTTTCAAATTCGAAAAGGTTTCTAAGTTATATTTCAAAGTCTGATACGGCAAGATTCCATGAGTACCTTAAGTGTTTTAGAGACAGAATTAGCACTTCTAGTAAGCTCGTTTTCTGAAGCCTGCTTGTACTTTTAGATGTTTTTCTATCTTAAGCATCAAGTCTATGTAATTACTACGATACCTCTATTCAACGTGAATAGAGAGGAAGGACTTCTGGTTAGGCATTCTCCCAATTTTGGTGAACTCTCTTCATGTAAGTTGAGGTCGTTGGCCGGGTTTCGAGCATTCTCGTGGCATAGGGAAGAAGCCATGAGAGCTAATAAACCAAAAAAGTAATGATGCATGCAAGGTCATGACCATGTACTCGAGTACATTTTTGAAAATACAAGAAAAGCCTCTATTGTCACAACAGCTTAGATGGCAACTACAACACTACTATCTCTGAATTTTATTACTGTCATTTAACATGTACTCATACAGATCCCTCACCCGTATATATCGTCCATTCAACCATCTTTCTATAATTCTAACCCCTTCATAACAACCCCAAATTGTTTGAAGAATGGCCTCCCATAGGGAATGACGGGAAACAGAAGAGCTTGATATTACGATAAAAAGGCTCAATAAAGTGAAACGCAGATTGGGGACTAGGGATCTGGTTTGCAAACTACTATAAGGTTAATGCCCACCCACATTATGTGATCAAGTACATACATTGTCACTGGTAATAACTTCCTATAGGTAGTGAATCTTCGGCCCCCTTCAACACCCCACCCTACACCGTTGACCCGAATAAATTTAAGATATCAACTTCTTTTCATGAAAGGTCTGTCGATGTCTTAGGGTTCGACCGAATGCAATTTATCAGGTAAAACTGAGCTACTGGTATTCTCGTGTTAGAGCTGTGTGATAACTGTTCCAACTCTCTACACAAAGCAACATCCGAGCCATCATAATTATATGACAGATATGTATGAAGGGATCAATCATGTCGGGTTCTACACTCAATCGAATGGATGATCTTAAGAAATGGCAATCGATATCCTAGGAAGACAGTACTCGGAATGCATAGTTGAGACGATAGATATGAGTACTCATCTGATATTGGAAGACATTCATCACAATAGTTTCTTGTATCATCTCAGCCCCATATATTCCTCCCTATCCGAGAGATCAGATAGAATTTGTCTAATCAACATCCACACATCAAACAATGCTCTCGAATATCATCTGAATTCCGCTTAGCAAAACCCCTGCCTGTCTCAGCACCAAGTTATCTCATCACTCATCACTATCCCTTATCACTCATCACTATCCCTTAACATCAAACCCTCACCATCAAACATTAGCTAAAGCTTATCATCTACTAGACGATACCACGCCACTCACAATCCCACTCTCTATACTCAAAATCAGTACACTAGCAATCGTCACGATCTTTTCAAAGCTCTCCAAACTTTTTTGCCCAGCGTTTTTGCACGAACTTCGAGTCCTTAATTCTGCCATTATATGGCCCGAGTTCTTAAATGAAGAAGTGTTGAAGCAATCTACTTCGTATATTCACTATTAGCCCTTCATGATCGATCGTCTTAATGATGCTAATTTTTCATCGTGGAAATGGCTGGAATGACTTCTTTTCATTGAACACTGGCCTATCTAAAGTCCCTTGGGCCGCCAACCAGTGGATTCACGATTTAATGAGTGTACCACGTGTGCTAGTCATCAAGTCTAGTTATCATGTATTCAGTAGTAATCACAACTACTCCTACAAGTCAATATTCAATTTTCAGATTCTTATTCCTTCCCCACCACGCTCCACGTTCTACCCCCACCGTGACTCTCCAAAACTTCCTCCCATCCCTCTATATAAGTCTTCTAATATCCATCTTATCCAAATACCTGCATCTTAACGGAAAGTAGTCATCCAGACCGTCACATTTTTTGGAGCTCATCAGTACTAGGGTGTCTGCACCCTCACCGTGACTGATCACGAGTTATTCCATATCTTTTCTAAATCAAGTTGAAAGAACCGGTCCAAAAAAATGAACGTCCAACGAATATTTTAAAGACATGTGATATATACCGTGACGCCGTGACACATTGTTTAAAACGACAACATACTCAGTACATTGCAACTATACAGATCTTTCGACAACATATTAGATTATTAACAATAATCATAATAACTTCAGACGATACTCCCCATGAAATAAGCAATAATTATTCTAACTTGAACGAAAGATATTTTGTAGGTGAATCGTCATGATTGACCGACACCCCGTTACCGACACCGTGACCCGACTAACACTATTTAAGCCACCAAATACAGCAATCAAAATAACTCCAACTTGAACAATATGGCTGTTTACAATCAGAGACATGGTCACTAGTCACAGTATACATTAGTATGTCAATTATCTAACTTGCATTTCTAAAGGAATCGGTCTGTCTAAATCAATTTGAAATCAGATCATTATAGAAAAGAATATGATACCGTGATACCGTGACACCGTGAAATGGTTTGTGAAAGCTTTTATATCCACGCATTTCAAAAATCCGTAGTATCGAGATAACACTTGTGGTATATCTTTCTACTAGTATTTAGATTTGATCAACTTAGAGTGCAAGTTAAAGTGATAACAATTATCATAAAGAAGAATGATCAAGTCCTAATAATGATCCTTACAAGTTCCGTCGATAATCTCTATGAAATTCAAGTCTCGAGAATAAAAACTAATGCTATTATTATTATTATTATTATCATCATCATTTTACTTGTACTTGTATCTCATCTCATCATGTAATGGAATTTAAATACGAATATAAGAACATCAATTACTCGAGTATTGAAATTGTATTCAATATTACAACTTGATCGCTCAAGCTAGATAACAAAAGAATTTTATCTCAAGTTCTCCTTTTATATTGTGAAGGGTCACGGTGGTAAACTAGGTAGGGTGCAGTTGATAAATGGAGTATTCAATAAGGAGATAATAGCTAAGGGCTAACTAGTACTAGTATGTGGAATATATAAAGAATAATATAGTAAATAGACATAGTTAAGGAATCTTGTGCCGCTACTCTATCTTTCTATAATCGAAGGTCCTTTTGCCATCATAGCTCTGTGTGGTCCCTCAATAGGCCAGCTCTTCAGCAGAGTGGTGAAGTACAGAAGTTGGAGTTCTCTTTTTATAACACTGCGGCCACGACCTCTTCAAACATTGGGACTGAGCGGCTCTAGGATCTCATCTAACAAGCGTGAGCGTAAACCATCAGGCATTGACTTCAGCAAAATCAGATCTTTGAACGGCGGCGGTGCTCGATTGAAACTACCAGCTCAACAGCCATTGCCGTTCACCCCAACAAGGTAGGGGACGATTGGCCAAAAGAGGAGTTTCCAATGGGGGTCATCAACGTCAGTCAAGATGTTAATATCTCTCATGTCTAGAGAAGTGTTGTGTCAAAGCTGCCGACTGTTCCTGGTGGCCGTTCTCAGAGATATGGTTGGCGAAGAGAGAAGATCTTGATAAACTACCATTATAACCTGTAATATTATACTATTCATACAGCCATGAAAGAAAATCACATGTTCTGGCCGAAGTCATCTTGCTCGATATAAAGTTATTAAGAACATTAGTCAATGGTAATTCATAATCAATTTGGTCTACCTACCTTTTGATTTAAAAGTTAGTTTAGTTATAGAGCATGAAAAGGTTAACTGACTGCAAGGTGAAATTACGAGCGAAATAGCCAGAAAAAGAATTTAATGACCAGTCTCCAAGTAATACTGACACTGATTCTCAAGTGATGGTACGTTGAGGTGGCACTGCAAAGAATAGCTTACAGCCAAATCCTACGCTGTAACATACTCCTGGCTTGCACTCATGATAAAATGTTTGCATGGCCGAGGAAAATCAAAAGACGACTAATAACAAGAACAAGTACTCGAGTATCGTAGAAAAGCTTTATTACTATGAAAGTTTCTGTTCCCTACAACTTAGACTATATGTGGACCGAGAAACATTATAAAATACACGAGCCTCCCATTTAATTATCCAAAGCCTTATCACCATCACAACAAGATCCTCATTCGAGAGTGTTTCCTTTTCAATACCATTCAATGCCTGCTGCAAAAGCGTCGCTGCAATCTGGCTCACATCAACCTTAGGAAGACCAATGATGGTTCGGCCAATTGTGGATACAGTTTTGATCAGCAAGCCCTGTCGACGGTCTGGCCCATCAATCAGACCCGATTTAGCCACACACGCTTCCACGGTGTCATTTGAAGCTTTCGCAAAGTCCAGAACACGATTCTCAGCTTCACCCTATGAAAAGTCTCAGTACGGACAACAAAGACAGAAAAGCAGAAAAAACATACCCGCATCAAACAGTACTCGGTGAGTGGCCAAGGCCTCTTGGTCTGGTCCCGCTCACTCTTATGACCACTGATATAGAAAAACCGGAAAGGCTTGCTAGCAGGATCCCGCGGAAGCTTCGTAATCGTTTCCAAGCCTGCCACTGTGTAGTCTAAACAAACCCTTCGAGCTTCCTCTAACGTCATGTTTTTTAATTGTGATGGGGTTATGGCAATATACCTAGGATGAATGGACCCATTAGCAGGTGAACTTGGGTTGTATTATGCTTTAAATACTTATAAAAAGCGGGCGTAAGGAAGATTTACCAAACGCAAGCATCAGCACCAGAAAGCTCAAGCTTCACATCGTCTGGATAGTTTGCAAAGTCTTGACAGATGACAGACTTGAATTTCTTAGTATCGACGTCTGGTCCCAAGGATTCCGGCAAAGGCGTCTCACGGCGGGCAAGAGCTATGATAGATGTAACGGCTGGGTTAGAAAGAGCCTGCTTGATAAATTCTGTGGCAACAAAGCCAGTGGAACCAGCAACGATGATCTTCATTGCGTTTGAACCAAAGATGTTGTTGATTTGCACACTAGGTAGTTGATGTTTATTATTCCACCGAGGATAGGGATAAGCAGTCTAGAATTATCGGGAAAAAGCTTGTAGTATAGTACTAAAATAGTAATCGCTGCGCCGCTGAGCTGATAAACAATATCACCCTATTCAGTGATGTGGCACGGACATAGTTGTGTATTTGGATGCGATGTGGGGAGGCGGGGGGATGTACTTATTCGTCTGATCACCAGTACACCTTTTGACTCCAAATGAATATAGCAACAGAGAATTCTATAATTTTAATATCAAAGTGAATCTATAAGAATGCGATCTATGAATTTCAATCGTGACCACCATATTCTAAACCGTTTTAGGTAACCAACCAACCGCGATGACGCTGCAAACACTGCTTCAAATCAAATCTAATAAACCTCCAAGACATATCTACCTGCCTCCTTCAATCTCTCAATCTCCTTTCTTCCATCAACCTTCTTTCCACTCAATCTACCCTCCTCTCTGATAGCCTCCTCAAGTACCTCTGTAACATCTGGTACAGGCCATGTGGGACCACACAAGTAGAATGATCCCTCATCCTTAATGTATGCCTGGATGATATCTGTAACAGTCTCTCGCATACGATCTTGGATATAGATCTTTTGTTTCTGATCACGGGAGAATGCTCTTCCTAACAAGGTGATAACACCTGCATCTTGATAAGCCTCCCATTCTTCACCATACAAGTATTCCTCTCGTTGATGACGGGAACCCATGTAAAGAAGGATGGAACCGATATCTTTGCCTTGAGCCTTTTGCATAGCTCGGTATTGGACAAAAGCACGGAAAGGAGCAAGACCTGTACCGAGACCAGCCATGATGAGAGGGGCAGTATCGGTGGTTGGAAGTTTCATGACGGAAGGCTTGACGGAAGCAGTGACCTTGGATCCGACAGAGAGTGAAGAAAGGTAACGTGTAGCTTGACCGAAACGATCGCGACCTTTTGGATCAACCCAAGATACCACGACAATCATGAGAGCGACGGTGGTTGGGTTGACAGCTTGAGATGAAGCGATGGAATATTCACGACGCTTCATTGGCGAAACAATGCGGGCGATGTCATGGAAAGATGGGTGAGCGGACTTGAATTCAAGAAGAACGTCAGCGTAGGTGATGGTGTCTACTTCGGCGCGACGCTTGAATTCATTGGCACCTTCTGGGCCACCAAGGGTAAGAAGTTCCTTTCTTTCCTCCTCGTCAGAAGCAAATTCGGCTAGGGCTTCGTAGAATTTCTTTGGTGGTTTTCCGAAGATATCGATGTTTTGAACCAACGATTGGAATACGGTTCTGGCTTCCCAAGCGTTGTTGTCCTCACGAGATGGTACTTCAACGACATCATCTGGGTTGAGACCATAGAACTTGATGAACTCCTCAACTTGAGTAACATCATTTACAGCATGGATACCGAGAGCTTCACCAATATCGTACGTAAGGCCAGAAGTTCCCAAGTCGAACTCGATGTGGAAAATGTTACGGTCATATGTAATAGGGGTCAAGCGACGGTTCTCCTTTACAGTGATCTCATAGGTCTTGGCAGTGAGATCGGGTCGAAGTTCAGCTTTAGTACCATAAGCTTCTTTGAAGAGAAGACCCTTAGCAGCTGCGTGCCAATCACGAAGCTGGGATGGGGCTTCAGTATCTTCCTTTTGGAAACCAGTAAAGCTGCTGGACTTGATAGTTGCAGGAAGATCGAGGACTTCAACCTCGGCATCAACCTCGGCCCAAGTCTCAGGAATGTCGACCTTGCGAATAGTCTTCTCAAGGTCAGCTACTGCAGCTTGAAGCTGTTCTTGGCTTCCATTGATCGCTGCGAGCTTATCTTTGCCGGCGTCGAGGAGGTCTGGGCGAGCAATCTTCAAGAATGCAAGTTCGGTGATCAAGGTTTCGAGAGCTGGTTCTTTTCCAAAAGCCTCTGACAAAGTTGGATCCAAGACAAACAATTCGACATCCTTGGACTTGATCTCGTTGCGAACGAAGCTTGGAAACTTCTTCTCCAAATCTTCGTCTTTGACACCTTGAAGCTTGACAATAATCTTTCCGTTTGGCTTGACATTCTTCAAGATGCCAATCTCCTTGAACAGCTTTTCGTCTCCAATGTAAGTGACGTCAGCCTCTTCAATTGGGTAAGCAGACTCGATTGACTTCTTCGAGCTTCGGATATCAGTCCTAATGACACCACCTTGAATGAAGTTGTCATGGGTTTGGTTGATAAGGACATTGCTGGCCGAATCACCAGAAAGAAGTTTGCTGATAGCAGAAGGAGCAGTAGCAGAAACGGAGTCCTCAAGATCAAAGAATGAGTACTGCTCAACTTGTCCAACAGCCAGGAGTGATACTGATTCGTTAGAAGACTTGCCACCAAGTTGATGGAAGATACTGGCGATGGAACTAGGTGTGAATACTTGCGACCGAGCATATTTGACATCAACGACCTTGGGAGCAGTTGTGAATTTATCAGAGAAGACGGTCGCGGCCAAGACATCTTCGTACAAGTTGGAATGACCAGAAAAATCTGTTGCGGCTGTTTCGTCCAGAACTTGACCAAGGACAGCGACATTTCTGACTGATGTAGGAAGGGCCTTCACAAAGGCCTCCTCTACAAAAGGTCGGTACACTCTGACATTGATAACACCAATCTTTTCTCCATCAGCAGAAAGCTTCTCAGCAACCTGAGTAGCAAGAGAACTCTCAACAGAACCGAAGACAACCAAAACAGATTCGGGAGAATCATGCCCGCTATATTCAAAGAGACCATAAGAGGTACCAAGTTCGCTGTTAAAAGCTTCAAGAAGTGAGGAAACCTTGCTTTCGGCATCAGCTCTCTTTCCGAGTTTTGAAATCTCATCAAGAACGCTCTTGTAGGAACTGCTGAGACCAGATTGGCTAAGAATATCAATGACACGAAGGGTGTCACGACCAACAGTGATTCCATCGTAAGTATGGATGGTTGGAAGAATTGTTGCCAACAGCGTAGAGAAGAGAGACATATGTTGAGCTTCATATGCAGATGAACTAGAAACCAGACCGAGTCCCAACTCCTCTGCCACAGTCAAAGCAGTTGCATAGTCTGTAACGAGACCAGCGGTTCCCGGTGCATAGTCAACAGCCGCAACATGGGCCACAAATGGGTTTGCGACAGAGTATAATAAAGAAAGTTGATCGAGAGTCGAGCGCAGGCTATGCAGACTAGAAGAAGAGGCCAAAAGCGTTTGGGGGATATGCCTCTTGGTCAAATCAAAATCCTTGGAAAACATATATCCCAAAGCAATTGATCCAGCACCAGAGCGAGTCTGCATGGGAGAAATTTGTGTGGTATATCCATTGGCATTCTTTGTATTTGCCGCCGCCCAAAATTTCACAGCAACATCCAAATCAAACGATTCTGGGGAATAAGAGAAGATCTTATCGGAGAGCGCATATGCTACTTGTTGAACCAAGGTTTGTGCAGTAACATAGGTAGGTCCGCTGATAGCATCATACTCGATTGGTTGTCCAAATGGTAAATTGGAAGACTTTTGGGAGAATGTTCGGAAAGAGGACTCGCTTTCCGAGTTCCAGGTGCTGTTGAGATAGTCTTTGCCAAATGGCTCCTGCAAAAAAGAAAATGATTAGACACTTGTGAACAACCCAAGTAGGAGTATCTTTGACTTACCTGTTTGGATCCATCACCTGCTGGCTTAGTGTTTATGCCTTTAGTTTGATCATAATCTGTTTGAGCCCCCATTTTTGTGGTTTGAGGGTGGCGGGATATCTCCTTAGAATTCTTGACAACACCAGGATACAAGTAAAATAAAGGAAAATCAAGACAAATTGACTTGATACACTTCTTATAGAAGCAAAAAAGAATGAGTTTGTTGTAAAATAAAATAGAGGCGACAACAATGTATCAAATCAATAGAAGGAAATATATTCCTTCATGACTTAGCTTGAAAGAGAAATTTATGGAATGCAAAACCGAGATTCCGATAAATCACCATTAGTAATACAGTAAATAGTAAATGAACTTTTACCATTTTCAACCCACCTTTCTTTCTTCACTTGCTGTTACCAGGTTCCAGATGTTGGAGGAGAGATTGAGAGATTCCTCGAAGCACGAGAAAGCACGCAATCACAAGTAATCCAAACGCCTTCGACTAAAAATACCCCTGTCAAAGACTTATCGGAACGGAATAAAGTTTTAACGGAGCCGTAACTTCCTTTACCTTTTCTCTGAGCTATTTTTGGAACTTCGAATTGATTTGATGATATTTCGATACCTTCATATTCTGGTAAAGAATGATTGCCGATAAGCAATCCAGAACGTAAATCAACAAGTTGGAGATCCTGAATGCGAATTCTCTCTCTCTATTTCATAACCCAGCGTGTGGGATAATACTATAATACTGTAGGTAACCTCTTGAGGCGGATGCAGATCCAAGGTTGATGCGGATACCTCGGGTGAAGTTGAGATCATGGCCGATGAAGTGAGTGATGCATCAAAGTTGATGAAGAAATACGTCAGGGCGAAGTAAGAGCGCCTGCCTCACCTGCCGTACAGGAAAAGTGAAATGCAATGGCAATGAGATCTGCTCAAGGTGTATCAAGAACGGGATCAACTACCAGTATGAAAAAAATGAGATCTTCTTAGGAAGACGAAACGCATATATGGGACGAGATGATAGGTGTTCCTTCACCACAAACCTTGGATACTGACATCAGTGGCCTTCCGGTCCATCTATACTCAACTGGAAATTTGAACTTTGCCACCATAATACGCCCACTTGTGCCAGAAACCGATTAAGTCCCGCTACTCCAGAGCTATTGGTTGCCTTTTGCAAAGTCTCTTGAGTCTCGAACGGCGTGATATTTCGAGAACCGGTAGATGCAGAGTCCTTGGAAGCTTGAAGAAGATCCACCGACTCGTGATTCTACTTTTGAAGAAGGACACCCTCAGCAGCGACGACTCATGGCATGATTGACTGGACGGCTATGCAACTTCGGCCTGATCCTCCAGTGACAACTATTGCTGCGTCACGAATAACAACTCCTGGCGCCGAGTTGCCGCAATACCTGGAGCTCTATACGGAGCTTTATTTTGACCATTTCCATCACCGATGGCCCATCTTACATCGCGCCTCTCGTGAAGAGCAAGCAGGTGAGGCAGGATTATGCGAACTATCTATAGCAATGATTGGCGCGTGGATTTCGGGCACTAGGAAAGCTATGAAATATGCCACCGAGATACACGCAGTCTTGATCGATCATATCACGCCCCAATTGGTAATATCCCCATAATCCCAGAATTGATTTATTTCGAGTAACCAACAAAGACGTGATCAGTGTCAAATCACGTCACACGATAAATTCCATGAGTCATTATATGCCGAATTGTGCAATGCAGCACTACTGAACATGGTCTTCGCTTTATACTATGGGTTAAGCACCTACAACAACAATCGTTTAGACAAATTCCTACGCACAAACAGCATGAGCGCGAACTGTGCCGTGCGATAATACTTTGGGACATTCAGATGGCCGTGCTCCGTGAAACTGGATTCTTCAAGCCTGAGACAGCATGGCACTATGAGAAAAAGGGCATTTTCCCACCGTTACGCTGGACAGAACTTGGACAGCGACAGCGGTAAGCATCTCTGTTGGTATCAACGGGAACACCTTTCAGGTCTACGATGGTAGATAGCCCGACGAGTGTTCAGTGTTGATCATCTTTAAGTTGTTATTGAAAGCTATTCTACATAGTGAAGACTATATGCGTATTGAGGCCCTTGCGCTAGTACTTGCCCTAGCCCTTCGCTTGTGCGGCGCCGGTGCTCCAGTACAGTAGATGACTATGCCGACAATCTCAAACCCCAACTATATCCTGTCTGACAATAAGGGAGGATTGCATATAATATGTTTAAGCTAGATGCATACATATGTTTTCTACGAAGCAAACCAATGGCAAGCTTTCCCGAAGAGCTACACTTCCCGTTCCCATGTACATTGTCAAGGTGGGACTCAGTGGATCTTCACGTCTGGGAGGAGCGCCAGCTTGTCGAATCTGCTCACCGGAACTCGAAGTCAATGTTCAGTTCGTTGACGAGTAATGTCGTGGACACTGGCTCCACGCAATCGCTACTTGTTGAGAATATTAATCTATGCTTGTGTGCAATGCAACCAGACATTAACAAGTATTTCCAGAGTTTCGCTACTCAGACAGCCAGCGACATCAATATTATCGTTCGTACAGATATTCTACACGAAGACGCCTGGATCGTCTCCATATGAGACTAGACCAAATCATGGTTCAATCCACGGTCAATTCCGACCAGAAGGAGCCACATCTATTAAGACACTACTATGGCTACGAAGACCACGCCCTACCTGACTGCCATACGACTGTCGGGACTCGCCTAAGATGCATACTTTTTGATACCTTCATGCTCTACCACCTCCTCAGTATGCATCTCTCCGTCGATGTTCCCAAACTCACGCAGATTGTCAAAGATAGACGACTGAGCACTATCGAAGAGTCGTCTGAAGCTCATCGCTTTGCCAGAGAGAAACGAAAGACGTCTATGATAGGTTGGGCCCTGACACCCGCAGCTAGATCTGCGTTGTGTCAATTCGTCGATGTCCTTGTGGCACATCAGACCCTTATAAAAAGTCCTAAAGCCTCAGTAGATGTCCGAACCTTGGATCCCATATGTCATGTGATATTTATCTGTCAGCGCTCTGATTGTCTAGACATTCTGCAAATACCAAGACGGTGCCTTCGACACCGTTGTTGTGGGCGCTGGTCCAGTAGCCGAGTTGACAGCCTGGAGTATGTCTGGGGATCAGTTCACGAAGGAAAGGAAAGCCTGGATCGAGATGGGGGAGCAGAGCTCGTGCTCTCAACCACGACTTCAGGGTATAAGGCTGTGCGATACTAACACAGACTTTTTGGTGGTCTTTTTTCAGGCGTGTTTACCTCACGGATGGGCGCTTGCCGATATCATCGCACCTGGAATCATCAAAATTTCAACATAGAGCAACAAAGGAGCAAGCCCAACACCATACTCATTATCTACGTTCTCCACAGCCGCATCGTTAAGTGCCTACAGTTAAGACTTACACGATGGATCACGATAATGTCTTGTGTCCTTTGTTTTTGGGCAGCGCATAACTGTTTCATCTGAACGTCGTTGTACGAGTTCGAACCTACTTGATTGACTATATGGCGCCGATGACCCCAAGTTCTCATGGTCTCTGCGAGCTCCATATTGTAATTTCCTGCAAGCTCGTTACTTGCATAGGGTAACTCATGACATCCTAGTGTTATGCAATTAAATTGAGAACACTCCGCTTGACCGCTGTAACTTCTCTGTCATGTCAATTGATTTCTTCCTCTTCAACATCAATCAAATTGTGTCTTCAAAATCCGCCAACAACCACAAATCAACGATCTGCCAAGAGATCATCATCTCGGCAATATCAATGGTTCAGGTAGCGGTGATGAGTCATCGAATACGATATGCGAAATGCCCACTTCATGCAAATTCCTGGAGAGAGGTAATCATGGGTTCACAATAAAGTTTCAGGCGAACTCTAAAGGCGACAGTTGGGGAACTCTGGGCATTTGTCCGGGAAAATAATTATCTCGAGCTCTATTAGTTATTAGTAGTTTACTAAACAGCCTGCGATTGAACCCCAGCTGTGATGAGTTAACGCCATCTGGAATACTCCCCACGTACATGGAAACAGGGGCAAGGAAAATGATGGAAAGAGGAGTTCAATCTAAATGATTTGAGTGGGAGGTTTGCGGAGAACAGCAGGGGTGTAACGGTGGGATAAGCTGTTCATTAAGACAGAATTAGAAGGACATGTTTCGAGAGGCGACGAACAGGTTGGCTTTTTGGGGTATTCGATTTTTGTCGTTTAGTTGCCTGCTTGTACTGGGGGAAATACAAATACCTCCAAATATGGTGTGGTATATAGTCCAGCCACGATTCGATGCAGCACTTCACCAATCACGCGATCTTTAGGTGTGATTGCAATGTTATGATAGTATCTAGCAATTTCATTCCTACTCTCTTTGCAAGCCGTACATCGACTCCTTGGCCGGGAAATAACGTGTTCTGGATTTTCTACATGTTCCCTTTCTCTCCGCGAAGAATAAAATCTGGGTTTGAGGATAATGCAAGACAGTGATTTGTCCCAATCGTTGCACATTTTGCTCCGTTACGTCGTTGCTCTGAATCAAAAGTCGTATCCATATCCTAGAAAGTTTTATGCTATAGAGTAGGTACGAATAGTGATACAGATTTTCCCCGCGTGGTATGGACCTATAGCTAGGCCAAACTTTGATTCTGCCGCCCAGGCTCGGCTAGCACTCCGAAACGCAAGAAAGACATTTCCGGCCTGAAACTTCACAAAATTGATAGACTATCTATGATTATTCACTTCCACGACTCTTTGTGGAACCAAATCATCAGCTCTTCTCGCTGAGCCGCTACTTCTCTGGCCCCTGCTGACCATTCTGCTTCGCATCCCTATGTTTGTATAAAAAGATGGAATATTTTAAGGGAATTCTTGAAATGTATTAAATGTTCTATTCAATTCAGTTTTTATTCATTTTTTTAGGTAGTAGAATAAAAGACGGATCAAAAAACGAGGATAGATTAAAGGAGCCTTTACTTTATCCGTTACGTATTCCGTGCTTTCTACAGGACCTTCTAGGCTATCATAGCCTAAAATATTCAAAATAAGGGTTTGATCTTTGAAACTATCCCCATCTTCACTTTGAAGCTACTCGAGCACATGCCTGCCACACGGTGGTAAACTACAACAGGAGTAGCCTAGTTTTTGACTTCCCGAGTTGCGGACTTTCTGGTGGCACGAGTACCGGTATCACTACTTTCGTTTAAATAGTCATTCAACTGATAACAATCCCCTGAAAACTCCATTGAAAAGCTTTTGATCTTTTAAAAACTCCATTTAAGATCTTCAACTCATTTCACTTACTTTCATTTAACTCCTCTAAGCCAGGAATCACAAGAATATATAACAACCAAAAGATAAAAATAAATCCGCGCTTTTAATATTCAATATTATTTACGTTTATAAAAGGATCAGAAAATGATAACTAAAGTAGCCCTCAGCGCGAGGCAAATGTAAACTGTTTCCAAGAATTTCATATCAAGAATATCACAGTACTAAATGAATAATTATACATTTGAAGTCCGCAAGGAATTGGTCGCTTAATAATTTAAAGGGGCAATGGGGCATGGCTGAGAGCCCTTACGTTATTCATTTTCTACCATTACCATAACCATCTATCCCATAATTTGCTAAGTCAACCAGCTGGCCATCCAGCAACTCCATTCCTGCCCGGATTGTCATCAGTTCCTGTATATCGAAAGACAGAGTGATGTCTAGCTACTTCGAAGTTCGACCGCTACTGCGAGCCAGGATAGGGGGCGTCCGACAGGAAATCAAGTCAAAATCAGGTGTCAAAGTCAGGTGTTACAAGGCCTCCAAAAATCTCTAAAGGATCGGACTGTTTCAGAGTCGTGCCGTCGTTGGTCGCCATCCTCGAGGGCGATGTGTCGGGTTTGGCGCGCCTCGTACAACTTCGAATCTTGGATCATGAAGTCTAATTATGGACGAGGTGTCTTGTTCAAGCTGTATTAATTACATGACCGGGGTTCCTATTATTCCTGATATGATACATCTAGCCACAGCGGGAATTCACGTTATGGATTGATGTGACGCAAATTTTAGAGTGGCGGCGATGTTGAATGACAATATCTTACTGATCAAATCCAGAGTTACTATAGTATTGAAACCAGAAAATATCATCCTAGACTGACCTCGGACTTGGAGCCTGAATTGGCATTCGGTCCCGGGGGAAATCGGTGTACTCATATCGCCAGAAAGTCCACAACTCGGGAATTCAAAGACGCTATTCCTGCTGTAGTTTACCACTGTGCGACATATGCTAGCTTACCCGAGTTGCGGACTTTCTGGCGGTATGAGTATATATGCCGGGAAGCTAGCTTACATAGCATACTTTTAGCTCGAAAGGCGGCCTATCTTCAGCCCGTCTTCCTTTATCCAATCTACATCCTTCTCTTCCTAAACCACCCGCTTTCCTGAGGTGATAGCCTTTAAAAAGGGGACCAGATCTTCAGATTATCGCTCGGCAGCGTAGCTTCTGCCAAACCTTAGATGTCCATTTGCTTTTAATATTCTTTTTTTAAGGTTTTTTTGATTTATTTATTTTATACTATAATCTTAATCGTAGTACTTCTCCTCTTCGAATTTAGCAGCCATTGTATTAGATAAGATACATATATATATATATATTATATTAGCTATCGTTTCTAATATCTATTGAAATCGTATTTCTCTTTTATTCCTTTTTTCTTTTTAATTTCTTTTTTAATACTTTATTATCTAAATATCAATTATTTAAAATTAGCTCTAAAAATGCGAAATCTATAGAGATATAATATCTTATAATACTATTATATATTCCAAAGTACTCGAATATAGAAAACAAAACACTTAAGCGACGATAGTGTTATTTATATTCAAAAGGAATAGAGAGAACTTTAGTGCGATATACGAATAGACCAGACTTCTATTATTCTCATCCATTATAATACATGCGGCCAGCCATAGCATCTTGCTGTCAAAGACCTCCAATATTATTACACCACAGCCTATGACTCCTCTATCGCACGTTTATCATAGACGTGAGTCTTTACTTGTTGGTAGCAGGTCTACTTGGACCATCGACGGCCTTTTCAACCTGTCCAGCAAGACCATCCTTCGCAGCATCGAATTGAGAACCGATTGCACCGTCCTATTTACAAATCAGTTTTCGGTTGTCAAAGGATTGGTTTGGATTTGTGTGTTACCTTTGAGAATGGACCACCGATCTTCTCACCAACTTGTCCAATTTTACCGTCTGGGTTGAATTGCTTGCCAATGGCACCTCCAGATGAAACTACAGAGGGTTTCTGAGAATTTAATTGATCAGTCAATATGTCCAAAAGTTTATGCCTTAACGTCAAGAAAGACTGCAATGGCTACTTACGGAAGGGCTTGAATCCTTCTTCTCTCCTGCAGCCTGGGCGGCTTTCTCAACACGGTTATCGGCCATGTTTCTGGAGATTGAAGTTGAAGGTTTGAAGATAGAAGTTGTGGATTGGGCGAAAGTCTTTCTTGAGATAATGCGCAACATTTGGAAGTTTGTGATGAAGATGAAGATGAAGATGAAGAGGAAGAGGGAATGTGAAAGACTTATATTCATAAACTAACAACCAACTTTCAAGGCTCCTTCCCTTCGAGATGGATATGACATTGTAACCTACCGGTGATCATCATGACATCAAGACTTATACTTTTGTGGCGTTACCAAGATTTAGATCAATTCACTTTCCATTAATAGGAGCAGACTCTCCTTTCAAACCCTTCCCCATCTTTTAGTTCTTTGTTGATATTATATGCAACGGGAGGTGTTATTGAGATATCCATAAGTTCCGAATACATAGCAACCCGTCTAAACACAGGAAGGAAAGTCATATACGAATATGAAATATGGTACATGGCATTTTAGCAAAAAATGCTGTGTACCTAATCTGATTTCAACAATATTGCAAGTATCAATACAATGCCACATCATGCATGATATGTATGATACTGATGAATGCGTTGAACATCAATTCAAATCTAATCCAAGGGCAAAATGATGTGGGGTAGCTTGGAGCTCGGAAAGTTTCCCTATGACGTCGTTATTATTCAACATACTCTCTTCGATTAACATATACTCGAGTACTATTCAATTGAAATCAAAATCAAAATAAAAATCACAAGCAAAAATTGTTGAAATCAGAATTGAAGCCACTTCAATTTCAACTCATGTAAGTTCGATTCACAATTGATTCAATTTCCATTCCGATTCCTCCGTTTTGAACGTTGAGGTTAAACACCACGCTCACTCAAACCAAACTCTAGAACAAGAACAGACATTACTTTCCACAACACAACATCACACACCTTCTACAAAAATTAAATAACCCAAAACAAAACGACCAAATCCAAAGCTAAACCTCAACACAAACCATGCCTCCACCTCACACCCACCTCCTCGGCCTCACAAGACGTGTCTCCCACACCCCCCTCTCCATCTTCACCTCCCTCCCCACCAGAACCTCCCTCTCTCACCTCATCTCCCATCCACACCCCCGTCCCTTCACAACCACACACCCCCTCTCCCATCCGCGCAAAGACTCCCAAGACAAAAACAGCATCAACACAGAATCCACCGAATACAGCAAATCCGGCACCGACGACGCAGCCGCCCGCGAAGAAGAAGCTGCATTCGATCCGAATACAACTAGGCCCGAAACAGAAAAGGCTCAGGCGGGAAAAGGGGCGAAGAAGGAGGGAGAGGGGAATCCCTTGGAGGTGAGTCCGGCAAATACGGTGGTCAGTGAGCAGAAAGGGGGGAGGGGAGGTGGTGCGGAGAGGAGTGCGGGGGGAAAGGAGGGGAGTGGGAGGAGTGAGGGGAAGGATGGGGAGGGGAAGGGGAAGGAGGGGGGAAGGAGTGGGACTGGGTTTGGTGGGGGGGAGAAGGGGGGGAAGAGGGGGTAGGGGGTTGGAGTTTGGGTTTGGTTTCGGAGGAGAGAAGTTGCTGTAGGGAAATAGGAAAATAGGGTGGTGATGGGGTTGGAATGGCTTTGTACAAGTGGGATTGGGTACAATTCAGAAGAATTGAGAATCAAGTATAAGTATGAATTATGTTCTTGTGATCGGGAAATATACTGGTTGAAAACGATAGAATATGCAACCCATCTCAAACCCATCAGTATCACCACCCCAAACTCCATTCTTTCCAAAGTTCCCCACGCATCCAAAACCCCGATCAAATCAACCGCCCAACCCCAACCCCAACCCCCACCTCACACCTCCTTCCACTCCGTCCTCCCCAACCTCACAATATCCGCCTGCCCCAAAACCCACACCTTAGGAATAACCTCCCCAGCCTCCCCATCCCTCCCCTTCATAGCCCTCAACCCAGCACTCACCGCCGCCCTCCCAATAACCCCCGCATCCTGCGCCCAAAAATCCATCAACCCCGCATTCACACCCCCCATACACCCCGCCACCTTCCTCACCACCCACTCCGCCGGTCTCGAATCTTCTCTATCCCCCACTATCAAACCCGGTCTCAGCAAAATAACCTGCGTGCCCGCATCCGCGAGCGGTTTAACCGCTTCTTCCAATTCGCCTTTCATGCGCATATATGGGAATGAAGACGCGGCATTTGCGCCCGAGGTGGAGATCAGTATGTATATTTTCTTCTTCTCATGTTGTTGAGAAGAGAAGGACGAGAAAGTAGTCACGAGTTCGAGATTCAAATCATAATCGATTTTCCGCTGGGCTTCGATCGTGCCCGCTTGCGCCCGCGTAGTTCCTAGCGCGGAGAAGAAGAGCGAAGGAGAGGATTCGGAGGGGATAGAGGATAAGAGCGAAGACCAGGTAGAGGAATCGAGGGATATGAGGGCGTGTAGATGGGGATTGGGTGTGGAGAGTCGGGGTTCCCGTCGAGATAGCGCATGCACGGCTGATATGGAGGGGTGCGCAAGTAGTGTGTTGAGGATGTGCGAGCCCTGGGTTTTGATTAGGGGATGTGTACTGTTATGGTATGATATGATGATGGGATGAGGAAGAAGAGCTGACTTACTACGAGCCCGGTACTACCAACTATTGCGCTTGAAGTCATGGTTTGGTGTGTTTTACTTGTACTTCGTGTATCAGTCTTCGTCCGTACCGTACCGAGGGCCGGCAACAATAATTTTGCCATAACCCCAAAAATCAATCTAGGTATCGGACGGTGCCATACTATTATATGGGTCCGTTCCGTTCTGGTACGCTCCGTCGTTTTTTGAGCGGCGATTAGACTAAAAATGGGTCTTTGCCCGTTCTAGGTTCTTGAAAGAATCCTCTTTTGATAAGATTGCCCAAAAATAGATTTCTGCGGCTAGCAAGCCTATGATACCTGGCCTTCTCCAACATTTCGAATTGTATCGTTCTGTAGGCTCTCGCAAACCACCAGAATGGCCACACTAAATATATGCATCTCGAGAGGTATCCGCACAGAAGATGCTAACTCTGCCGAAGCTGAGTTAATTATGCAGATTCCGATCTCCAAAACCCTTGGGTAGTAGTTGAGCATAGCCGACACAGCAGGAACGAGGCATTATTGAAACAGTTTTTGGAGGTAAGCTACTCACTGTTGCTTCAACTACATTTTCCAACTATCTATTAGATGAGAGACAAAGCACCTATCGCAAATATCCTTCGCATACCTGTAGAGCAGGTTGACGAGACGCACGTAGTCAGCAAATCCATCTTGCTCTGCGTGAATACCATTCAGAAGCCCTATCTTATACCACCAGTTGCTACTACACTATTCAAGGCATTCACGTTTGTTGCGCTAGGCGATTCGAGCTATTCGTCTGGGCTTCCTGGCTTTGGAAACCCATCGCAACAATTCGAGATGAGTAGCGGCCAAGCGCTCACGCCTCGACTGATGCAGTCCAGATGTTCAAGGGGAAGCTTCCGTCGCAAGGGGGATGCTTTCTATTTCTGATATTGTGGAAATAACTGATATAGATTGTGAGAATGAAATACGGATTTGTCAAGTCTGGAGCTCAGTCGTATCGAAGGGGGTATGTGGGTTTTATCATATACCAGATGGGTTTTCATTTAGATATGGCTGTGATGCTTGTTGTTCAGTTGAAAGCAGGGGAATGTTAGACTATCTTTGACATTCATCTAAATCAATACCTACAATCCTGTTTGTCAATCCTCGGATTGTTATAGATGATCTCGTTAGATGGCTGGCTGGCTGATTTGGATTGTCAAATGCGAAGTCTTGTAATGTCATCGCGTTGTAGAGGTCCAGTTGTGGTTCACTTTCCAATGCCTCGTATGACTCTGCTTCCATAAATTGAACCCGGCCTCGACATCCCGACGATAGCTTGGGAGCTGAACATAACTTATTACAGGCGAGAATCACGCTCCCTTCCTGGGGAACTTTTTGCTGCTTATAGGGAAAATTAGGATACCTGAAGAATACTCTTGCTGAACAATATTTTCATGCATAGAAGTGAAGTAATGACAAATGACTGGTCGAACGAATAGTGTCGGGATTATCTGTTGACATAGCTTGTTTGTCATGCGAAATATCTGGCTAGTGGCTATTCCCAAAATCTGCATTCAATCGACCAGAGTTGGTCGGCTGTATTTCTCGCAAGATATGGTCTGGCATAGTACCTCCAATCGCGAGCTGATTCCTGGGCTTCCATAGAAGGTGGAAAAGTTTCTCCGTGGTGATTAGGAGACCCCGTCGAGCGTAGTGTCCAAGGTCAAGAGCGTGACATACCTCTACATGACTGTTCTCTACATAACTGTTCATCCGATCAGTTATATTTATAGTAGAGAAGTAAAGGTTATATACTCTCTATTGAGCACAGCATTAACGTAGAAAGCAGGATGGAATGGGGACACCCAGAATCGGTTTCCGGAAATTCCTCTTGACTGAGAAGTTTCACAACAAGGCCAACAATATCATGTCGTCTTTCCTGAGACCATTTGGAGCATTTACTAAGAATTAATTATTTCTTTTCTATAAGAAGATCTGGTAATTCCCTCCCTTTAAAAGTATGAGTTCCTTACCAGCGAGAGCTTCGTAAACTAAATCAGCCTTCTCGCCCAGGCTTCTGCGAGTCCATTGACAATCATGTTGATTGCACCAGCTGCAGACCTCCATCGCTGGATCGTCAAAGTACCTGTACCCACAAAATCCACCTCCCGCTCACAAGAGACTACCTATCCAGCGCGAACCAAGTGAGTAATATGCAAGAAATCTGTATCTCCACGCAGTCTCTACCGTGTCAATGAATTTGGATAATTGTAGCCACAACGACTTTCAAGGTACTCAGAAGGATCTTTATACTGCTCGATACTAGATTCTTCGATGATTTGCACGTTCACTCCATAAGCCAGCCCCCTTTTATTTCTTCATTCCACGAAGAATATTTTTCACGAGAATTCTTGATATTTCCTGACAGCGTCTCGGACGATGCCGCTGAACTTATACTCGTACTACCGACATGTATATCGTTGCTGCTTTTTATATCGGTAGTTTCTAGGCTAGGACTGTTTGCTGTGTCGGGTTTTGCTTTTGATGCTTTCATTTTTACAGACATTCTCTTCGTGGTGTTATTATGATTGGTTTGCTCCCGGGGTCATTTCGAGATAGCTAACGCGGTAATTTCTACTGTTGATTTGTGAATGGAGTCTATATTATCGTCACAGCACAAGTCTTGGTTGCAGAAATGGTGTAACTGAGAATCTGCAGCTCTGTTACTCGAGTGATTTAGCACAACTAAAGTTGGTTTCATAATCGCCTGATCCAGGTGTTTATTTAGTACAGCTCCACTAAACAAACAAGCATCCCAAAGCAACTCTCAACAAGATGCTGCGAAAACCAACACGAAAACGCATGAGAACGAAGCATCTTCCAATACCCAAGCAACATCACCTATCATAAAGTCATCTACGATTCAGCCATCACTTACTATTGGACTGAAAGACTGAAAGGTTACATGTATCATATCTATCCGATATCCCCTCATATATATAATAATCTGCATCTGCTCCGTTTTACCTTAGCACGCTTCTCGTCATCTCAACGAGATATCAAAAACATAAAGAATACTACATCTATTCACCAGAATCCTCACAATCGCACACACGTCAGTACTTTCAAATCTTTTCTAACAGCATACATAGCTTCAGTTCAGTTGCTCCACTCCACTCACAATGGAATAGTAGCGTATATTCAAAGAGTCAGAGTCAGATGAGTGGTTCCAGACCGTGAGGCTACTTTTATAGCATTGCGAGCGAGCTCTTCTCGCTAAATACAGCTATACTATACCTTCACTTCGGTCCCTGACTTGTTCACGCTCACTGCATTGCACTTTGTACAAAGATGAAGTCACGCTAGGCAGAAAAAACGTGACACAATCGGAGACGATATCGGAAAATACCGAAGTACTACCAGTGTAAGCAGTTCTTAACCAGTTGAACTGGCAGACTGGCACGCTGGGAAACTAATAGTTTGGATTATTGATATACAACTGGCAATTGGTTTGGTTTGTGTGGTTTCAACTGCCAGTTTGATAACAGATTCGCACTACTACTTACCCTGAGTACTACCCTAAGCGATGACTAGAGAGCATCTAGCAAGCCTACGAGTGAGCTCACCCTTACATCAATATAGTAATAAATCCACCAGCAGCTTATTCATATCGGTAACAAAGGAAAAGATAGATACTCATAGAGATAGCAAGCCCATCGAATTCTTGACGGGAAAGCCGTATTGCCGCAAGAGTAATAATATTTCAAGAGAGTACTCGAGTATAGTGTATAGTGAGGAAGATTAAGATTTGAAGCACATCACTAACACAGATTTCGACAATTTTAGATCTTGGGGGATGGTTCCTGTTCTGTCACTTATATGTACGTGTAATGATGCAATCAAATTATTGTATATGGCAGTTGCACTACAAGCAAGAAATGGAGATGTTCATAAGGGTATGTGTCTACGACTCGAGTATGTCTATAGGTAGCCATAATCAATTCAGCTTTTTACCTCTAGATGGGATGTAAAAGTGCTTCTTCTAAGACTTTGGTAGAATAAAAGAGTACAGTACTTGGCTCATGAAGGATCGTGTCATAGGATATTTTTGGATATTTCATTGATACGAAACTCTCATGTCTCATGTCAAAATGAAAGTTGCACTTTATGTAAAAGTGCAAAAATTTCTATCATTCAAACCATATTTCTCACATTCGAAAGAATAAACTATCTAGATGTGCATTGATACATCATGTAGCTCAGTCAGAGATCTCCAATACCATATTATAAAGCTCCATCAAAGAAGGACGATCCGCAGGTGCCATCCGAGTACAAGCATCCACAACCATTTTGAGTGGCTCAGGAACATCCCACTCAACCAAGTAAGTAATGGGAGTATTTCCATATATCATACCCTTAATAACATAACCCAGATCATAAATATCAGACTTTTCGCTCCAGCCCGCATTCAGAATTGGTTCTTTGGAAATCTCAGGTGCGAGCCGATTTCCCCAACGGCTCTCAAGATCAATGATGTAAAGTCGATGTCCCCCATTGAGAGTGAAGATGAGATTATCGATACGCAGGTCGCGATGCACGATTCCGACCGAGTGTAGAGCTAGGAGACCGCTGATCACTTGTAGAATCCAGGATTTGTACTGTGCAAGAGGATGCACCAAAGCTAAGATGTAGCGGGGATTGAACTTTTCGAAAACTAGTTTGCCATCGGCTGATTTTCCTAAAAGGCGAATGATATGTGGTGATATTGGAGAACCGGGACAAGAGCCACCTTGGCAAGCGAGAAGATTCCGAATTTCGCTGCGGTATTTGCCTTTCTTTACAAAGTGCTTCACAGGGTCGACGACAACATCAGGGAGCATTGATATTTCAGATGTGATGTCTTCATCGTCTGGCTCAAAATCTGGTGGGCTGGGGGCATTGTTGAGTTCCGTAACTTTGTCTCCAATTATCTCATAATTATTTCTGCTGTTCCATATACTCGTAGGCAAATTTCGATTGAGCCGGAGAATATCGCCTGAAAGAGTGTCAGGAATGTCTGCCAGCCGAATACATTGGAGTTTATTGTCATCGAGTTCGAACCAGTAAGTGTATATAACAGTGCCATCTACGACATCAATACTGATATCCCAATTAGGCCGACCAATCGGAGGCACAAGATTTGTTGAGTTGCGTTTCTGCTCGTAGGCTGCTCGTAAACGTTGAATATCCTCATCAAAAGTATTCTCCGATCTAGCATCAGTCATTCTTATAGGCATCTGTTCACAGGACGTTGATTAAGGTAGGAAGTTTTGCCTGTCGATGAAGCTCTAGTGGATTGATTGAGACGCTGATAACTTGTCGTTGCTTGAATATCTGCTTACTAGCTAATGTCAATTAAATGACTTCAGTAATTTTGTTGGATTCTTGGAGCACTCAGTTCAAGTGGACGCTGTTCCGATTTCCGTGAATGGAAATGATACAAAGTATAGTGTACTGAGAAAGTAAAAAGTTAATTATGGATGGGGAATCGACTCGGACGGGATATTTATTATAATACTCGCATAGCGGTGAGCTCCGCTAACGCAAAGGTGGCACTCGCTTAAGCCACTATAATCAGAGTAAGCGAAAAACAAAAAACTAGATTACTATTTAATAATAGACTTTTTAGAAAATAAAATATTCAGATTAAGATTCAAAAGCTAATCTTTATACTCTAGTAATTAATTCTATAATAATTAAATAAAAATATAAAAGCCGAATTCTACTCGAGTGTGACCAAAAGGGTATAAACAGGACTCCGATTGTGTACTTAGAATCTACAAGTGAAGAGCTATGTAGGATGCTAAAAGGAGGACTATATATACAGGTATTGGGAGCCATAAGGGCTAGGCCAAAAAGGGTGAAAGAGTCCTAGGCGTAAGATGCCTAGGTCTAGAGCTATAGAGCTACGGCTCTAAGCTGTGAAAGGAAGGTTCAAAAGAGCCGTCATATCATACTATGTATGTAGTATGAGCCAGTGGGCGGAAGAGAGCCGTCTGTTCCGTCACATCGAGTAATAAATTTATAGTATCAAATAGAAATTAACTCAAGAATTTATATTGTACCGATACTTAAAATAAAAAAATCCTATATTTGATAGACTCAGACACGACAAGTAGAAATGGTAGAGATTTACTTATTTTATTCATTTATTAATAGAACTTAGATGAAACAGCAGCAATACTTTTGCCACGAGTCAGCAGAGTCAATATGTAAAAAGCAACAAGATATTCGCATACATCACAATCGACATCCGTTCCTAAATACTATAATAAAATTCTCATCATTTCTCATTTGTATAGCCATTTATCATCCATCATATGCCTATCCTGGATTCCCGAAAAGAAGAACTGAACAAACTCTCGAAGCGCCCGGCGCCCGTTCCGTAACCCTACACCAACGATCATGTATCCCAAATCTACCACAAGATACTCCTCATCTAATCAAATAGCAGCCATAACGAAAGCACCAAACATTAAACTCTCCTTGCACTGTACAAATCACCATCTTCTACCATAAACCGAATCTTCCACCTTTCTGGCTTGAAAAGGAATTGGTGAAATCTTCCTCGGCGCCGATACAATTTGTGAACCGACGCTATCCAAAGTTACCGCACTCTTACTAGGACTTCTACTCGCGGACTCCTTCAAGATTCTTGGTTTCGCACCCAAATCATACGCACCACTACCGGCAGCAGGTGGAGCATGTTCAGCATCTCTTCTGAACAATTGAAGAATTTCCTTCATGCCTAGTTTACCAGCACCACCTTTACCACCTTCGATAGTTTGATTTGCAAGCTCTCGTTTCTTTTCTTGGAGAAGGAGAATTCGCTCTTCAACCGTATCCTTGATGGTAATCTTATAGACAATGACGTCGATTTTCTGCGTGAGGCGATGTACACGATCGATGGCTTGTTCCTCGACGAACTATAGAAGAATGAATTAGTAACAGTAGTTTAAAATATAATGTGAGCATGTAACAAAAAGAACTTACGGGGTTCCAGAATGGCTCAAGAATGACTACACGAGTAGCAGCGGTAAGATTAAGTCCTAGAGAACCACACTTCAAACTACAAAGTAAGACTCTACAGTTCTTGTCGCTACGAAGTCTTTCCAAACTGGCCTCACGAAGGTCGTTCTTCATACTACCATCATATCGAGTATATTTGAAACCTTTTTGGCGTAAGAATGGCTCGATAAGATCCAACATTGAAGTGAACTGTGAAAAGACGATGAATTTATGCTGAGCTGCTTCTTTTCCGAGGATTTTCATCAGATGTGTAATCTTAGTAGATGCAGCAACTCTGGAAAGCTCGGCCTCTTCGTCGGAACCAAATTCATCTTCAACATCAGATTCCTCTTCGGAGGTCTCGTCCTCGTCTGATTCCTCGACAGATTCTTCAACATCCTCTTCGTCGGAGTCATCAAGATTTATGACCTTCTTCTTGCCAATATCTTTGATATCAGGGAAAGAATCATCAAGATCATCGTCATGGTCCGAACCAAGCCACTCGCCGCCTCCTTCACAGTTCTCATCTTCTTTACCACCGGCCTTCCCGAGAGTAGGAACACCGCGTTTATTATCTTCAACAAGCCATTCGCCTTGTTCTTCCTCATCATCACTATCCTCGATAATATTCCTATTCCTAGGCTTACGAGGTGGGGCGGCTTTAGGCTCCTTTTGTTTCTTGCTCTTCTTAATCTTCTTACTCTTCTTCTCCTTCGTCTTCTTCGTTGGGCTTAGCTTCTTTCCAGATATTTCATCCAAATCTGCTTCGCAATCCAAACAACGAATGGCACCTTGTGAAATAGCTTCTTTACCAAGCTCAATCTGGCACACCTCACATTTCTTGGAGCCTACACCCAACGACCCAAACATATCTGCCATATCATCGACATCCGTTGTTGATTTTGATTTGAGATTGCTGGTCTCGGCTGAGAGAGCATCGGTATCTTTTCCCAATTTACTTCCTACGAGCTTTGGATGATTACAAGCTTGTCTCAGACGCAAAAGCAATACCAATGCACTTGCGTAGTTGACTTTTCTTCCATCCATCATCTCTTCGATACTGGCATCGGTACGTTGTTCCAATCTTTCATAGAATCTGCGCTCTTCGGGTGAGAATTCTGCAAAGACTTTCTCAATTTTACGTTCGACGACCTTGAAACCCATTGAATTGCCTTGTCCCGCAACGGATGGTTTCCCTCCAGGGTTAAGGGCTCCATCCTTTTTCAAAATCTCTTTAGTGCGTCGCTTCATGAAGATTTGCAAGTAGTGACGAAGACGCTTGATTGCAACATCACCTCTGCCATTTTTCATCGGTCGATCGATTTGGTCCTTCCACTCCTTGAGATTGTCGAATGGTTTGATTCTCAAAAACTTGATCAGACTTTGCAATTCATCTAGGTTGTTTTGCATGGGTGTTCCTGTCAGGCACCAACGGTAGTGACTCCGAAGAGCATAACATGCTTGTGTAGCTTTGGCATTTCGATTTTTGATTGTATGGGCTTCGTCAAGAATAACTCTGTACCACTGTATACCAAAACATCCGACCTTGATACCTTCATCATCATCGTCCTTGGACGAATTGCCCCATTCTGAAACAAGAATCTGATAAGTTGTGATGACGACATCAAATTTCCTGAGATCCTGGAATCGTTTTGTACGTTGAGGGCCATGATGGACACACACGCGAAGGGAGTGCTCACTTTCAACCTTGTCCTTGATTTCGGCTTCCCATTGTCGAATGAGGGCAAGAGGTGCAACAACCAAGGTACATTTGTCCAGGCCGAAAGGTAATTTGCGTTTACTGTGGGTTTCGTCTGAACTTGATGGCTTGGGATTGCCCAAAATGAGCGCAATCGATTGTAATGTTTTTCCCAAACCCATATCGTCGGCAAGAATGCCACCTTTGGGTACCATGCCTTTCTTTCCGGTGCCGATTTCTCGTCCAATCATCCACTCCAAACCTTCAACTTGATGTGGAAGTAATTTGACATTGACCCCTTCGACAGTCCCATCGTCTTCATTCTCCTCATCTTCCGAGGCAACTTCGAGCTTTTCGTCCGCTTCGACATTTAGCCCATTCATCTTCGCCATCAAGTCATCCACTTCTGCGACCTTCTTCTTTCTGCGTGATCTGGTTCTAGGTTTTTCGTCCTCCTCGTCCTCAATAACACCCTCTAGAAGTGCTTTCAGATCTTCTTGTGCTTTTGCAGGGTCAACGTAGGTGTATGGCTCATTGTATGTCTGCTTAGGCATGGCAACATCCACGTAGTTGTTAGACGTATAAGTATTTACGGATTGAAACCCTGCATGACTGTTTGGTAGGGAACCGAATATTGGTGCCGGTGCAGGGTGAGTGGTTGAATATGATGAGGAGCCGGGAATAGGTGCATGAATTGCTGGCTGGTGATAGTCGGCTGGAGCCCGTGGCATAAGAGGGTTGAGGATCTTTCGAGCAGCATCTTTCGCTGCGTGCAAATGGGGATGTGCTACATATAGATTAGCACTCACTATAAGTTGATCTACTACAAGAATACATACCATATCTTTCTGGCTCTCTATGAAATTCAGGACGGGATTTTGGTTGAACGAACAATTCAGAGTATTGTTCTCGAGATTTACGATTCAGTGGAGATTGTGGAAGCATAGGTTCTCCAAATCTAGGAATACTGGATAGATGGTTTGCGGCATTGCTTTGGGAGGGTCGATATTGATCATTGGGTTCTTCTGGTCGTAACGGTACCTGCATCTTTGCTGGAGATCTTTCCTTGACCATTCTGTTTTCCTTGAAAACGGTGTATCTGTCGTATTTTGTAGTATCAAGCACAATCACGGTGCCTTTCTTTGCTGAACTTGTATTGGACGCTTGGCCGATGATCTCAAGGGACGAATCAAAGAGTGAAGTTGAATCACCAAGTTCACTCAAAGATGGGCTATTTTCCTTTACCGGCGATGGATAAGTTCTTCTTTGAAGATGTGGTAATCTGCGAGGCGGTGTTGTTGTCTTCGGAGTGTTGACGAAACGTTTGGAATAGTGTTGGTGTTGGTGTTGTTGTTTAGAATTATTTGGATTTCGTCGTTTGAAATTTGGTGGTTCTGTTGATCCAATCGTATTTAGCGGGGTGAATCCACCTCTGTTATGCTATCAGTAAATATAATCCAAGATAACCCCTCCACCCAAAGATGTGGATATTTGGCTTACTTCATGAGGCTCAAGAGCACCCTTTTGTTATTTCAGATCACGTAGGTAGGTAGGTAATACTGTATTTGTTGGTTTGTACGATGTGTTATCAATCACATAGAGAGTCGCGTCAAAATTTAAGGAAGACAGAGGATGAAGGGCAAAATTGTGCTTGTTGGCATGGAAACGTTATCACCAATCAAAAACCACTTTACACGACCTCACGATACAGCCAAACTGTCTTGTCATACAAATACTTCGTATAGATACCAGTTGATAGATAGATGAAGACGGCACGTATTATAATTTGCAATTTTCGAGATCACATCCTCAAGTACCGGTATTAGCCTTTGACTCAATATGTTTAAAATCCCATGAGAATCAGTCCCCTCCGAGAATGATCCAAATGATCCAAGTAAAAGTATTTCTGTTCATGTCGAATAGATTGGTTTCAATCAATCGCTATTCCATTAGGTTCTAGCCTCGAGTCGCTACAGCCTCGAGCCTGGGGTTTGCTTTGTTTGACAAATATTTCACCAGTAATTTGGAAATTGTATATGTATTTTACGAAGGGCCGTAACGGTTCATGGTGCAACTTCTCCTTCCTTCATTTCTTCGTTTTCATCCTCATCTGAAGAAGGATCACTACTACTACTCGTATCATCATCCTCAGATTCCTCACTTTCCGTCTCCGCAGCTGGTCCGTCTCCAGTAGCTTCAATATAAGACCTTTCCAGTATGAAGGTTCCCGGAAGCTTGTCCGTCTCAAAAACGTAGATGGTAGGAAATTCGAGTACTGTGCGATTCTGTAGGACTTTATAGAGTGGTTGTGTTGGATCTAGAGGCACCAGTACTTTAGGATATGATGATTGAGTCTTAGGTCGATGAAGGTAGAAATGATACTTGGGATCCAGCTTCCGTGTTGTATGAGATTGGCAAGCCAAATTTTGATCATTCGATGTTATTGGCTGATTCAAAATTACATTCCAAGCTCCAGTCGAATCCTGAAAAGTTGATACTGGCGCTACATCCAATAAGCGTTCATCCAACTTAATTCTCTTAGTCTGCCTCTCTTTCAACTCATCTGCCTTCCTCTTCTTTTCAGCCGCTTTTTTTTCTGGTGCCATGTTCTTTCTTCGTTGTTCTTCCAAGAGGAGTGAGTAGATGTCGTTGATTGGCCATCTGTCTACCGATTTATTCAATACCCTTCCGCCTGCATCTGCCTCTCGAATCCACTCCACCTGCCAATTCATACACTTCTGTGCTTTACTCCACGTCGATGTGTTCTCGCAATTTCTCGACATTCCAGACGGTGCTTTGGCTACGGTTATTCCAGAATTTTGTAGCATTTTTGTGATGAAATCTTCACGCTGATGTGCCGGATTTTTGTTGGGTCGTCTTCTATCCTCCTTGGGCCCTTTCCTTGCCATCTCGAGTTCCATTTTCTTTACAAGCCCTCGCTCCTCCACGATCTCCTTTTCCGATCTCTCGATTCCATGTTCGATTGAATGAAGGAAATTGTAATCATGATCAATTCCTGAGGGAGTTGCTAATTGTGACTTTGGTTTGTAGACGGTAGGGTCGCGAATACCGGAGCATGATGACCAGACTTTGTGACGTTTGGAGCAGGGAAGTGAACATGTTTGCTGAGAACACCGCGGACATGTGTACTTTGTGGGATTGATATGACAGATGCGACATAGTGATGATAAGAGCGGATCTGCTGCCATTGTAAATATGTCAATAGAAATTCAAAGTTGATTAAGAAGACATAAAAATAATTTGAATACTTTCAATAAAGATATCCAAATCGGTAAATTTAGAATAAATGGGTATGAACTTTTCTTGCAAGGGAAGATATTTTTGGATTTCAAGAAAAGCCGGGGTACGCTAGGCTACGCTAGTCTCTTGATAAAGCCTTGGCATAATTTTGAAAAATGATTGAGTTTTTTGGGAATTATTCGTGACTTAGTAACTCATGACCCAGTAGAACTGTAATCTACCTAGTAATATTCTCTAATGAGATGAGAGGTAACAATCCTGGATGAATAAAATGGAGGGTACCGGTATAATTTTCAAATACTGAATAGAGATCCAAATTCACTTCCTGAGCTTGATATTTACTCGGTTATTCTATCTCGGGAAATAAAGGGGGTTTACTACTAGGCAATTCGCGTGGTATGTTAGAGTCTGTCTAGTTAGGTATACTCCGCAGTATATCAGGATATAGTACTCAGGCCCAACCCTGTTCAGCCTGGGTAGGGCCATATGTAGTGGGGATGGGAATGGGACTTGTATTGTTGGAGTACTCGAGTCTACTGTACTGGGTATGCCTAGAGTGAGAAAAGATATGCGGGTTTAGGAGTAGCAGCTGGGAAGTAATGGAGGAACAGGTAGCCACCGAAGTTCGATATAGAACAACCTTATGATTTGAGATATGGAATCCAAGAAACGGGTTTCAAGGTCCAAAACCTATTGGCAACATCCATCTCAAAAACAAAAACTCAACCCAACTTTCCGGGAACAAAAGGATGCCCAGCACTAAGCCCACCATCAACTGCCCACGCCTGACCATTCACATAACTACTCTCCTCACTCCCTAAAAATAACGCTACCCTCGCAACTTCATCCGCATGCGCACCTCTTCCCAAAGGATTCAACTGACCAATCTTCTTCTCCGAGCCCCTGGCTCTTGCAGCATCATACATCGGAGCTGTCATACCCGTTTCAATCACGCCAGGACAGATTGCGTTGACGCGAATTCCAGTACCAGCCAGCTGATAGGATATCGTTTGAGCTAAGGAGACTACACTGGCTTTAGAGGCCGAGTAATCGCTTGAACCTGCGTTGGAGCGGAGACCGGCGACTGAGGCTGTGGCAATTATACTACCTGATGGGTATTTCTTGTCCTCTGATGTTAACATCATGGCTGGTGCCGAATATCTGGCCGCCATAGCTACACTTTTTTTAATGTTAGTACCCAACCTTCTCTCTACGGTAGTTTCATAGATATCTACCTGACAACATTTGTCCGTAAAGTAGCCAAAAACTCATCTGCAGAAATATCCGTAAATAGTTTATTTGTGCCCAAAACCCCCGCATTCGCAAAGAAGATATCTAATCTTCCATAAGTTTTCACCGCATGATCGACGACCTCCTTCACAGACTGTTCATCTGCCGCATCAAACTTTCGCGTATGTACTTTAACGTCAGGGTATAACGATGCAAGTTCCCTACTATGCGTTTCGAGGTTTGAATCGTTGTAATCGCATATGTACACTGCTCTTGCGCCATTCTGCGCAAATTGATGTGCTGATGCTCGTCCGATTCCCAAAGGACTATTGGTTCCTGCACTATGTCAACATTATAGAAGTTGGTCTGGAACGAGAATCATTACCTGTCACAATGACTACTTTGCCCTTCACTCTCGGGCCCGTTGAGTCTGGTGCAATTTTCTTGAGGATTGGGAGATTTTCAAAGGTTCCTTGATCTCCAATTGGTTTCACGAGCTGCTCAGAGAGTGCTGTGAGTCTTCTCTTTGCGGACGCGGACATATTGGGTATTAATATGACTATGTTCGTGAAGATAATATCAAATTCAACTCAAGATCAAACAACAAAAACAAGAGAAATAGTAAAAAGAAAAGGGAAGCATTTGTATCTTCAACTAAGAAGAGATACTGTTTTGAATCTTAGGGAGTAAAGGCGGGGAACATGCAGGTATTCCCGACGAAGTCTGGGGTAAGATCTCCAATTGCCTCGGCCTTCGCCGCCCTATATCTATAATCAGTGCTGCTTTTTAGAGTACTTTTCTTCTTTTCTTCTGAGTTTCTGTCTTTGTGTGAGCGGCTTCTCTTTCTGGCTTCTTGTGCACAGCAATTCTTAATTAAATGAATCCTTCAATCACTCTGATCTGCCTTTGTCTATTCCAAATGGTAACATCATGTGAAATGTGAGCGTCTGCATATGTGATCACCAAAGAAATGAGTGGAGTGGAGTAGCAGAGTTAGCAGAGTAGCACATGGTGGTATTCATTAGCAGAAATATATGCGCCATTTCCAATACCAAAATTGGCTCATAGAATGCAGAAATACGTCTTCCGAGAATAGAAGAGCATGAATCATTCATACAAATTGGTATAAACTACATATTCCTGTTATTTTTATAACAATTGACAATTGGAGAATACTCTTAAAATTATATGTGAATTACAGTATAACCTGTTTTAGTCACCTCTGTATCACAAAATACGCGAGTTAGTAACGATGATGTCTCGACCTTTATTGACAAAAAACGCCCTCATTAGCAATTACGAATGCAATTCTATATCACCTACTAATACTAATTTCCATACATTACACCAACAAGTTTTCTTATTGCAAAGTCCCGCCTTTACAGAATCTTCATATGTTTCTTCTTCATCACAGTCATTTACAAATTCTATCTTGAGATATCAAGAGGAAAGTGAATATCCTTGGAACAAATGGGAGGATTCAATCATTGATTTCGATTTCGACCAAGATACCGTAGCGATGGAAAATGATACCACGGGAAATCTTTCAAGGACAGCCTCAGCCGCCTCAATGAGGAGTCAACGGTCGCAGACGGTACGCGGAAAATCACGAAGATTTGTTTCGCAAATATCGAGCTCCGCATCATCAATATCGGATAAGTCATTGACTTCTTTCCCCTCCTTCTCCGGTGGCTCGCCAACACAAGAACGATCTCACTTTATCTTACCCGCAAATGATGGAATTGCGAATCGAAAAGCTTCCGCTGCAACTTCCATAGTCGATAGCTTAACTACGTCCTCCCCTTCTTCGCACAGTCGCACAGCCTTATTCGATGATGCGCCCTTAGGCTCTTCTCATGTACCTGGGTCGGTACATCATGCAAATGATGAACACATTGAGAGATTGATAGCAAGGAATGGAGCCGTTAAGCTGGTCAGACAAATTGCAGAGGATTTGGCTCGACGAGATGCGCAAATGGCCGCTCTCAGGCGCAAAGCGGAAGAAAGGGAGAGAGCATTGAGAAAGATTATCTTGGAATGTGGTCTATCGAATCTGGACTTAGAGACTCGTCTGCGAGCCATCGAAGGCGAGGCAAAGCTCTCTGGAGCTCCCGTTCCACCAAGCGAGTCTGCATTAGAGGATCTAATGAATGATGCCATGAGTGAAACAGTGATCGTAGGAGAACTGGACAGTATGGAAAATGATGCTACAATACGGGCCAAGGAGCCTGCGGCGGATAGGCCAATTGCTGGGACATCAAGAGGTTGGAAGGAGTATATTTGGGGTGGGACAAGCAGGACAAGTCGTACAAACAGTCGAACCAGCAGCATAAATGGAGACGCGGTCACTAACGGCGCAGTGCGTAGTGGAGGTCCAGGTCGACGCTCAATTCTAAAGAATGATCTTTTCCATCCACCAGATGCGGTCTCTTCCTTGGAAAACTTGAGTCGTCCTCCAAGCTGTGGTTCAACAACTGGCAATCGGCAGAGGAAGCAATCTAGTCTCGCGACTTTGGCACTAAAACTCGTTGCCGGTACCTCGACCGTTCGTGATCCAGATGGTACAACCAGTCGTGGCAGATCTGACAATGCCGAAAGCGAACCACCTGGTCGTAATCCTTCTAGGGCCAGTACCAAAACTACAATGTCTGCTCGGGCGGCACCAAAAACGAACCCGAGAGCCATACGCAACCCTACCCACTTGACACAAAACACAACCGTTGCTACACAGGAGAGGTGGGATACAATGGGGTCTAGTCCACAGGGATCCAGTACCGCGGGCATTGAGAACTTTGGCCCTGTCGAGATGGACACTATTCTTGCACCAGAAGATCAGCCACCAACCTTGATGCAATACAGGAACTATAATAATCAAGACTTTCTGACTGACCGATTCGGATTTATATACGATCAACGACGCAAGAAAAGACAAAGAGAAGCTGCTGAGAGAGTTCGGAAGGGCAAGAGAGGTAGTCGTGTAGAAATGCTTAGCGGTGGGAGAAGTAACACTATCTCTGCGGCAGTAACTGAAGGGGATGATATCGACGACTTTCGTCCAGGTTCACCCGGATCTACAGCAACTGAAGACAAGGGTGATGATGAAGATAAGCCAGTCAAACGTTGGCAAGACTACCTAAAGATAGCAACATTTCCCACGGAGCTACTAGCCCATACACCATCAAGTAGTATGCCTGCGTTCGAAGTCATGGAAGGAGGCGAGGTGCCCAGATCTCCTGGGATCTTAACCGAGGAAAGAGGGTTTATTCCTTTGCCGACTACATCAGCTCCTGTATTATCCGTCACATCGGATGCCGCCACGATCTCGAAGCCTATTCCATCAATACCCTCTCCACCAGCTCCTCAACTAGAAGATGCTGAACCGGTGAAATTATTACTACAGCAACTTGGTGAAGTTCACGATTCCTTGCAAAGAGACAAAACCGTACGATGGAATGATTTTCTTCGCAAAGTTAGAGCTGAACGCAAACGTGAAGGAGAGGCAGCAGCCGCTGCTCTTGCCTCAAATACGGACTCGCGTTCACAACGGCCTATAGCACTTATGCCCGAAGCAAGCCTAGCAGATGGTGAAATTATTGGTGTCTCTGGTTTGGGCAATAAAGGCAAGGTTGGCCGTGCCAAGTGGAACGAGTTCAAGAATCTAGTTCTAGGCGGTATTCCAGTAGCATACAGAGCCAAGATTTGGGCCGAGTGTTCTGGAGCTTCCGCGATGCGCATCCCAGGCTACTACGACGATTTGATAGCTCGTAGTGAGGAAGATGATGATCTAGCTGTTGTTGCTCAAATTCAAATGGATATCAATCGTACCTTGACTGACAATATTTTCTTTCGAAAAGGTCCTGGGGTCGCTAAACTCAACGAGGTACTCCTGGCTTACTCGAGAAGAAATCACGAAGTTGGATACTGTCAAGGGATGAATCTGATCACTGCATGTCTATTACTTATCATGCCAACTGCAGAGGATGCTTTCTGGGTTTTGACAAGCATTATTGAGCACACTCTTCCACCTGGATATTACGATCACAGCCTTCTAGCCTCCAGAGCAGATCAGCAAGTGCTACGACAATACGTCGCTGAAACCCTACCCAAGTTATCTCAACATCTGGATGATCTTTGCATTGAGCTCGAAGCCCTCACATTCCAATGGTTCCTTAGCGTTTTCACCGATTGTCTATCCGCCGAAGCTCTCTTCAGAGTATGGGACGTCGTACTTTGTATGAATGATGGCAGTACCTTTCTTTTTCAAGTCGCACTAGCTCTATTGAAACTCAATGAGCAACAATTACTACAATGCTCATCACCAGCAAATGTTTACACGTATATCAATCATCAAATGACCAATCATGCCATCAGTATTGATGGATTGATCCATGCATCAGAAGGATTACGCAAAGTGGTGAAGCGAGACGAGATTGAAATTAGAAGGGCAAAAGCTATTGAAGCCGAAAAGGATCTAGTCAAACAACGCGAAGCTAGGAATGCAGCACGAAAAGCCCAGAAAATTGCGGCATCAGAAGTAAGTCCCGAGATTTCGATTTCGCCGCCAACAAAGGATAAAGATACGGCAAATGACGAATCGGAGGATTTGAAAGTCAAAATACCCTTGCAGGTAGAGGATGATGTGGACTAATCACCGGCGGAGATGAAAATAGATTGTTGGACGAACAGAACAGAATATCATGGGTTTCCTGGAGTTGACTGGTATTGATTGCATTTACAACGGAGCGGAGCAGAGCGCGTTTGGGAATTGATACCCTGGTTTCTAACTTGTGTTTCTTTTCATATGGTTCTTTTCTGCTGGGGCGTTTGGATTCTTGTACATATCACATATGTGAGAGAGAGGGAGAGAGAAAAGTATAGGTTGCTTGCTACTTGTTGCTGGTTGCTGGTTGCTTGCTGAAAGAGACCAATACGATACTGGTTTGGTTTGGTTTGGTTTGTGGATACCCATACGTATATGCATACTTGCATGCATGCATAAGCGCGTTTAGATATTAGTACGTATACGAACAATGTTCGATTTTATAATGGCTGTGTTCTATTGAATGTGATGTGATGTGTATTTGAATTGATCTTTTTCTTTGAATCAATCCAGTGTAGGTTTATAAGCAAGTAAGTAAGTGAGTGAGTAGCTTGATAGTATTGTGTATTTGTATTTTTTATATCAGGTGAAGTGAAGTGAAGTAAAGTTAGGTGTAGATATATGTTGTTGATAGTTAGTATTTGATATTTGATAGTTGGTATTTGATGGTTGATGGTTAGTATTTGATATTTGAAGTGGTAGTATAGTAGTATAGTAGTATAGTAGTATAGTACTCTGTTTGGGGATATGAGTGTAGAAGGGGAAAGGGAAAGAGGGGGGGGGAAGGGTGTGAAGGGAGGGTAAGAAAGTAGGGTTTGATGGATGGATGCAAGTATGAAGAGTGAGGGTGGTATTAGTATTAGTATTGAGGATATCTATTTAGCCTCTAGGTCTGATACTATAACTTTATAAGTAAGGTAGGGAGAGGGAGAGAGGATGTATAAACGGAATTGAATGGGATAGAATGGGATAATGGGATAAAAGTGATGAGATTTGTGGATGGAACGGATGAAGAATGGAGGATGGATGTCCTCAAATATAAAATCATTTATACGGAATATTCTACGAGTACTGAGGATATAAAATTTATAATGTACAGATATAAAGATATAAAGATATGAAGATACAGATATTACATCAATTCAAATAAATGAGTAGTAACACTCGTAGTAGTATGATGCGGAAACCCCAGGGCAGGGTTTGGGTGAAGGGGAAGGGGAAATGAAATGAAATGAGAAGGCGAAGTGAGAAATGATAATTGAGAAGTGAGAAGTGAGACGTGAGACGTGAGACGTGAGACGTGAGACGTGAGACGTGAAAAGTGAGAAGTCAAAAGTAAAAAGTGAGGAATTGAGATTTTGTGAAACGTTATAGAGGAGAGAGGGGGGTTTCGAGATAAATTATAGAATATAATAATTTGTATTGTGTATCTTGATAACAAAAAGAAAGAAAGGTACAGTAATAAAACTGATCCAGGACATATATATATATACCACCGAATAAACTTGGAGGTATGGATTAGTGACGGGATGTGAAACTATGAGTGTATTGTAACATTGATATTGGAATCTTTGTCAAGATTTAAGAAGATCAAATTTGAATATCAAATACCAAACTGGGTATATTGGCCAACTTTAAAAACCGTTCTGCGCACCACCCTTCCCCGAGTAAGCTCGTAGTACATTCCTCATATCCTAGCTTTCACACCATGGATCGCACGATAATATCCTATCCTACCACATTATGAGTTAGTAATCTCATCTCTTCAACAACCCCACAAAACAACAAACATAACATACCCTCACTCCCCCTCAATTCCTCCTCCCTAAATCTCCTCAACACCTCATTCCTCTCCTCCTGCACCAAAATCTGCCTCTCAATCTCTTCAATCTCCCCCCTCAACTTCTCATTCCCATCAACCAACACCTTACACAACTCGCTCTGCGCCAGCTGCGCATCGATCGCTGCTTGAATTCCGCGCATTTGGCGTTTTCGCTTTTCTTTCGCAATGTGTTCTTGTTCGAGCTGTAGTTGTGCTACTTGCTTTTGGCAGGCGCGGCAGAGGTCGGGGAGGATTTGGGGTAGTGCTTCTGGGGGGGTGTGAGTATTTGTGTATGTGGGAATTGTGTGAGGAGAGGAGGGGAGGGGAGATATAATATAATGGGATACGATGGAGTGGAATTGGTTTACCTGGCTGTCTTGGATCAAGATCCCCATCGCAGACTGCGCAGCGGGCGTCTTCGAAGATTTCAAAGTCCAAGGTGGATGTGTCGATTGAGGGTAAGATGTAATCGTTCGCGCTATTGTAAGTGCGACGTTTTTGCTTCTTGTTTCTTTTGATCGATTGAGTAAAGTCTGTTGGGAAAGACATGGTCGGATTGCTTGTTATTTCAAGTCCTCTCTTACACCGGAAAAAATCTAGTATTGATTTTGTCTTCATGTTGTTGATATGATTGATATTGTTCTTTGATGAGGCCGGGGCTGGGAGCTTGGAAGAAGTTTGTTCGTGTTCAGTTCAATTCAAAACTATCCGATGAGTGAATGTCATTGATATAACGGCCATAGGTCATTTACATAACAGTAATGATTTTGTTTGCCTGATAGGCATCCATTCACTTTCTATCTTCTGTGATTTAAAATTACATATATATATATACTATAGAAAGGATCCTGAAGCCCAATCTTACCATAAGAAGGTTCTTTAAGATTCAATTAATAGGATAGAGGCCTTGTTATATAATAGTATTGTCAGATTCCTAGATTGCCTCAAGCCTAAAGCTTCAAACTAGAAGTCAATGTAGTTAATGATTAACCAGTTGAACTAGTGCAATGATTCAACCAGTCAGTTTAGTTTGATGATATCAAAGTGGCTGTCAGTTTAGTTTAATGAATTCAAACTACCAGTTTAACTGGACAAATTAGTTTATCAAATTTAATCATCAATAGATTTAGTTTATTACACCCAAACTATCAATCAAACCACAACATTCTAAACTGCCAGTTTCCCGACTGGTTCAAACTACTGACAACACTGCTAGAAGTATAATTCTGAATCTCCCTCATGACAAAATTCCAAGTAATCTTGTCTCACAGTGAATGCAAACACCATCTTCTGTATACAACAATACCTTGTATTGTATCATTGTAGGAGATCTGACTTCGAAGCAAAGGTGTATTAAACTCTTAGTACACAAGCTGGATGACTCAAAATTATGTGGGAGAGAAGATTGAAAGTCTCAGTGATGTATGGATTCACTGGAATCATTGAGTGCCCTAAGGCCCTAAGGCCCTAAGGCCCTACAATCCACAGCAATGATTTCATTTCAATATTTTCTAAAGTTCAATAAATACAGATCAGTCTTCTGCTAAGTGATGAAGGAACGCGATGAACTATAGATCATGTTATACAATATATGATACATGATACCAGACTCCCTTCTCACTTGAGACTCGGAGGTGATTTGGAGCTGGGAGGGAAATGCTAAAGCATTGGTATTGATGTTGGTATTGATGTAAGTGCAGCAAAACTTTGCAGGCTAAATTGTTAATATGTGAAGTAAAAACTATTCAAACAAATATTCTTAATATTGCTGACAGATTACTTATATCGATGTTGAGAATTACTATGCAGTTTTGGTCTCATTCATTCATGGACTTATGATATCCAGATACCACAGCAGCAATGAGAGAATAAGCAAAAGAAGACAAGCAGGAAGCAGGAAGCAGAACATCAGCAGCAAGATATACCAGTGTTCAGTTCTTCTCTTCTTGGATGGGTCCATCTCATATTATCTCACGTTTCAATACCCATACGTTTCAATACCCATAGAGAACTCATACAACCCAGCCATCGAAGATTGTGATACTTGGTTGAGAAAAGAAGGCCAAATTCGTAAGGGGGATATATACCTTAAGGACCGGAGTATCCCCTCCTTCCTCCATACTCCATACAGTACTCTATGTAACTCCTTCTCTGATGTCTGCTTTGCTTAAGTGCCAACAATCACATGATAGCGTGGCTTCCCCACATTAGCAGGACACGTCATTTCGTCATTCCGTGTTTGTGTTTGTGTTCTTTTTCATAGGCCATGGTCCGGTAGGATATCTTTGCCGTTTGAATTGCCTAGGTAAGGATTGATCTTGGCTGTCTAGACCTACCTATTGGATAGCTTCTGCCAAGTAAAAAAGAAGTGGAAGTATAACATCTAAGTATACAAGTAGAACTATATATAGATCTATATAGTCATCATTCCCCTCATTTCTCTATTCTCCTATATCAACTTCACTGTTTGCTTTTGATGGCTTTTAAGAATCCGGTTGTGGAGTTTGGATACCTAGGTCCTAGGCACCTAGGTAGGTAGGGAGGGGTAGCTTGATTTCTTCCAATCAGAACTGATTATTCTTATGTTTCGTACCTTTACTTGGCCAGTGTGGCTGGCTCAGGTACCAGGTTATGTAAGTATTTGTTGACATCATACAAAGATTTTGGGCTTGCTTTTTTCAAAACAAGATATTGCAAATTGTCTTTGCCAGTTTCGGCCAATCGCAACTTCTTGAAACCTGAAAATCAATAATCAGTACGTCAAAGGCAAACAGGCAGCAAGGGGGTTGAATGTCTATATATTAGTTGGAGTTTTCCCATTGAAGCACTTTCAATCCATTACCCAACAACTCACATTTCACATCTGAGCATTCAAATACAACTCTCAATAACACAACACAACATCTCAAACAGATCTCCAACAACTTTCAAAATGAGTGATACATACAAGCCAACTGGTAATCTTCTTTTCCAGCCTTCAATATCATTCGATAATCCCTAACATTTTTCATAGAGCACAAAGGTCTCAAGGAGGATGGTACCCCAGACAAGAGAGTTGGAACCGGAGAGTTCGCCTACGGCCAGGTTGATCCAGTTGTAAGCATCTCTCATCTCGCCTACCTTCCACATTAGATCCTTTATGCAATTCAATTTGCTAACAGTCTTCTCCCAGACCGGAGCCAAGACTGGACAAAGCGAAGAAACCAGTGAAACCACCTCCGGTAGTGGCAGTGGTAGTAGTAAAGGCGGTATGTCTTCACTCCATCATACTATCTCATCCATAATGTATTCGATGCTAACAGTGACTGCTGCAGAATTCGCACACGGAAAGGTTGACCCAGTCGAGGCTGGCAAGAAGGGAGGACAAGCTTCTTAGATCTCTCCAAGGCTTCAAACGTGTTTGGGCGCTGGACGACATCGAATATGGATAGGAACGTTGTCTGCGGACCACAAAATTTCGGATTATGCATCAGGCTTTGGGATTCATCATGACTGTATGATACTCCAGCTACATGATTAGCTACCGATAATGAATGACATGCTTTCATGATGTGTTGCTTCGCCGACCGACCGCACTCTCTCGCGGCATATGTGGTGTTACTTTTCATTCTATCCGTTTCAGATCGGTCGGGTAGATAATCGTACCAGGAATGTCATCGTTGCTGTATCGCTGCATCGTTGCTTGAAAGAAATTGGAATTATTGGAGTTGTGATGTTGCGATCTTCACGATTACATAAGCTAATGGTATCCGTGCGCCAGTCAAAATACCGGTATGTGATGACAATTTTGGACGACCTCAACCTCATCTTCTCATCTTAAAGATAATATTACACATATATCTTTCCCCTCGGTGACTATCTTGAGCTAGAATAACCCCGAGAAGGATACCAACACTACGGACTACAAGGTTTGTCTGTTGGAACATCATACCAGTAACGTATCAAAGCTACTGACTTGGTTCCATGAAATTTGCATGTTTTTTTTCTGCAGACTACCGAGGCAGGTTTTACGGGATCCTGCATTCCAGGTTCTCGTTTGTTACCTCAGTCGAGTCGTCCAAATGTTTTCTTTTGGGAGTTTTTCATGTCCAGCTGGGCATCATTTGCTTGCTATACATCTCTCATACCACCTGCGATCTTGGCACTGTGTTTATGTTCAGAATGGTGAGCCCGATTCATGTAAAACAGTTGGATATCAACGGTTTTGTGTAGCATATCCAACTCACCACTCGACGTCTATGAAGCAAACGACGAGGAGTATCTCCAGATACGATATGATATAATTTGTATCATGATCATTTCAAGTACATGAATCCAATAGGGGTCGTCAACATGATCATGCAAATTTCCGACTGTATAGGTGGTTAGTTTCATCACTCGAAAGATTTTGAGGAATTCAATAGCTGAGCAAATATTTGAACACTGCATTTTTCACAACATGAACAAGGACCAAAACGTTATACTCGGCTCTTCCTCATTGTCGTTCCTGGAAATCCTTATTTCGTACATCGTATGCCATGTTTTTCATGGTAGTTATCGCATGGTCAGGCACCCGAAAGGAACAATTGCCATGCTGAAATTTGCGATGGGTACAAAAGGCGCGTTACTATGTAATACGGTCCTACGATGAGAATATTTCAATACGGCACATAATTTCTGTTATAAACATGCAACGTTTCCATCATTGAGATGTGGTAGTTCCATCTTCTTAGATATCTTTACAATCTCGAATTACCAGAAGACTCCATGATGTATAATTTTTTTATACTACTTCTTCCTCTCTTAGGAGTCTGCATCGCAGATGCTTCCAATACAACCACTCTAGCAGCAGGATGCAATGCAGATAATTGTTATCGTGCAGTTAGTGGAGACTTTCGTGGCCCCTTTCAGCAAGGTGTGGCATATAATGATTGTGTCAATTACATGGAGAACTTCTGCACAGTAGATATTATCAATATTACTGTTACCTCCACCATCTTGACAACAATTACCGAAGTATCGACTGTTGGGAAGAGATCGGTGGCAACAACCGCCTTTTCACTTCCATCATATGCTAGTGCTTGCTCTGACGAAGCTCGTTATTCGAGTGCTTGTTCATGTTGGGGTATTTTGCCTGATACCACCACCGAGACTGTACCTGTAAGTGAATATTCCATATTGTTCATGTACATCATCTCACAGAATCCAGACTTACACCACCTTCACCACCTCCACTGTTACCACCGGACTTCCTCCAGTCTGCCCCACAGGCAAAGCCCTCATGAAAGACTCCCTCAACTGCGGTTCATGCGGTTACGTCTGCGATACCGGCTACTGCGAACACGGCACCTGCAACACTACCCCATGTACCCCCACCAAATGTGAAGAAGGCATCAAACCCTGCGTTGTCGATTCCACCTGTTTCTGTTTCAATACTTTCACCGGACTAGGTTTCTGTGGTGAAAACATTGGATGTGCCGAGGCCAAAGATTGTTATGATGATGGGGATTGTCCAAATGCGTATGTTTGTGCGTGGGATACCTGTTGTGGAAACAATGTGTGTGTGCTTGGAAATTGTCCGAATCCAGCAGCGAAGTTGACGAGAATGGTGCAGAGGAAGAGGGATGCGCTGGTGGGGGATACAGCGGCTTATATGGCGAGTTGAGGGCTTACCTGTGTGTACTTGGGTGGGTACAGAGAGATGGGATTTACGAGTGATGGTTTTTTTCTATTCGGTGTGCTCAGGTGGGCTCGTTGCATGTAAAGAATTATTATAACGAAGAATATTTGAGATGAATGCACCATATATCAATTAGCCGACTGATAAGAACATGCACACTCCACACTAAATACACCAAATGGCCCAATCCACATACAAACCGATATTTTCCAATACTATCGGCGAAATCGTGTAAAATTTGTCTCCGCTTCATCTCAACTCTTGTTCTACTACCTGCCCAAGAACTCCGCATACTTGTAGACCTTTTTCTTCCCCTACCCCTAATCCTATCCCTTCCCCTTTCCTCTTCTTCTCCTCGGAACATTCTTTTCCTCCTCCCGATTCCCGAGATCACTCTCAATACAGTTCCTCTTCAACAACCTAAAGCTGCATAACTTATATGGATGATACTTCAACAGAGAGTCAAAACTAAATTTGGAGCTATTTAATTAATATTTCAAAGTTTATCTGGCATTTTCTTGGTCTTGGGTGTTCTATTTGGTGTAGAGTACAGTGTATGGAAAACGAATCTTTTGAGTGAGAGTGACTTGGATGCCTCTTGGGTTGCGTACTTTGGACTTATGGTTATGGTTATTCTTTGAGTTGGTAAAGGTATAGGAATAGGAATGTGTGTGTGTGTGTGATGATGGATTTTATTGAGGAATGATGAAACATATACTCATGTTCATATATAAACAGCCCAATACTCGAGTATAAGAATTCCACTGCAGTCTCTAAATTTGAATCCAAGCAGTGATTCACTCGGAGATATCATGTTTTCATATAATAATGTATGCCACATGTATCTAGCAATTCTTACATTCTCAAAACCCACGTAAACACCCACAACCCACACCGACACCAACATCGAGAATTCCCACTCCCCCATCCACTCACCAATGCATCCCATGCATCCCCACCTCCCCGACCCAACCCTCCATCCCTACATACCTAGTACTCATTATCCATTATTCATACCCCCCTTCCCCGTCCCCCTCCACAAACGCCCTTACGCGCCCATAAAACTCCTCTGGTCCATCAGCCTTCGAGTACATTGGAAAATCATGAACTTCATCTTTTCCCACCACCGTCTCTACCTTTACATTCGCTCTACGTAGATTTTGGACGAATTTGCGTATGCCTTTGTTTGGATTATTGTCAGTTGTGTGCGTGTGATATACTCAAGTAACATACCAAAGTCATACGAAAGTACTTGAAAGCCAGGGACGATACCCAGGGACGATGCCCAGAGACAATCGAGTAAGTAAGGTTACCGGTACGGATGAAATTGGAAGAGTAGAAGAATAAATGTAGAAGAATAGATAAATAAACAAAACTTACCCAAACCAAAAGCCTCAGCATCGCCCCAAACAACCATACTTCTACATAATCCCTCATACGTATACCGATGCGGTAAATTTCCCAGAGCCGGACTCAAAAGCGTATCTCGCAATTCCGGACGATTTTCACAGTATTGATAGCTCGCTATGCCACACATTTCATTATTTATATAATCCAACTGCATTAATTTTCTTTCTTCTTCTTCTCGTTCATCTTCTTCTTTTCCTTTTCCTTTTCGCTTCCCGTCAAATTTGGATACTAGATCCACAACTGGGGATATCAAAATTGCATTTTCCGGCATGGGAAAGCGATGTTTATGTAGATATAATAAAAACGTAATAGCAATCCCCGCACCGCCCGAATCCCCCAGTATCGATATATCTTCGGCCCGATATCCTCTTTCGAGCAGAAACGCAAATGCCGAAATGGCATCTTGTAATGCGGCTGGAAAAGCCGTTTTGGATGTGACGCATTTGCGAAAATTGACGCTGAAGATGGGGATGAGCGTTTTGGGCATGAGACGCCAGGGTATGGGAGAAAGGAGGGGATGCCCTTCGACTACGCTACTGACGAGGTATAGCATGATTTTACGGTGGGAGAGTGGAGGTGTGTGGTGGAAGGGTGAGCTGATGGTGGAGGTCCATTGCCAGAAACAGGGACAGCTTTCTGGTTGGATGGGTTTGTGTATACCGATCTGTGTATTTGTGTGAGGCGATAGTGCATCGTCGGTATACCAATCCTCGGAGGCGGGTGGTATGACTTCGAGGCAGGTGTGCTGGGTAGCTGGGAGGGGAGGGATGGTGCAGCGGGCGGGGAAGGAGAGCACGTCTTTGAGGGGGTGGGTGCCGGGGTGTAAAGCCCAGGTTAGATGGGAGGCAATGAGAAGTGTAAGTCGGTAACGGAAGGACCAGTGCGAGCGGCCGTGATAAGGGAGGTGCAGGAGAGAGTAAATGAGGAGGAGGGGAATTTGAGGAGGGATGATTAGTAGGGAGTAGAGGAGGCGGGTGAAGCGGTAGAGGTGCTGGGTTAGCAGGGGGGTGCGTTGCCAAGAGCGAATTTGGGGAGGTGTGGGGGTGGGGAGGAGCATTTTGTGTTGTGGATTGATTTGTAGGTAGAAGAGGGAGGGGGTGCGGGGATATTTTGTGCGTGCATAAAATAAACGAAATGTTTTATACCGAAATACCGAGTAATTGTGAAATTCACTACCGTCAAGTGCCGGCACACATGAAGCTACACTGCTTACAGTAACTAATAAGCATGGATGGATAAATACAGATAGTCTCCTGCAGGAGACAAATATTGCCAGTCACCTGGCAACTTGTGCACGTTGACTGTTGAGAACTTGAGATTGACGGTTTTACTCATCCCTTTTTTTTTCTTTTTCGAAGAAGATGATAAAGAAAGACGGTTCGGTAGTGCATCTCCTCTGTTAAATCAATGCGAGGTTTATTGCAATTATAAAGATTGAAAATATCTAATCTAATCCGAATACTTCGGATAAGATTTCGCGTTGGGTTTGAACAGAAATAGTAGGTAGGTACAGGTACTTGCATACTCATTTTTAATTATCTATGCTAAACTTGCTCTTTGGCATGGTTGTCAAAGTAACAGTCTATCTATCTAATCATCTCGACATATCACCTGTCGTACTTCATTTCCCCCTCCATAGAATCCTTGTCTCGGGACCTTCTTCTTCATTCGTGGCTCTGCGTTGGCCAATGCCAGTGACTAACCTAACCTATCTCCTTCCATACTACTGTAATACAGCATCTTCCCCTCATTCCGGACATTGACGTGCGTGAGACTTCTTCACTCATCATTCACCAACAAGATCATCCCTTCTTTCATCCAATATCCCCACGATACCAGTGATTCGCTCCATGATCCATCGTATAACCTCATATCGGGTATCCCATCATAACACTCATTTATTCCATCCATGTCGTCCCATCCCACTTCAAGTGCCTGCATATGCTCTACCCATATCATCCTTCCCCCGACTCCAAGCCCGCAATCTCCCTTTAATCTTCAACCCCAATATCTGCACATCTCGAATTGATCCCTCATCCACCAACCCTGGCGCATTCATGCTCTCAATCGTACTACCCCTACTTCTCCCCGGTGAAGAATCCAAGCTCGACAGTGCCGTGCAAGCATTTCCCGTATCCAAATTCGCTCTCACGCCAGATTTCCTACAACCCGCAGATGTAGATATAGCTGTAGATATAAATGTAGATGTAGATGTAGAAGGAGGAGAAGTTGAAGCTGAATAATCATGACTCATTCTTTTGGAAGCACAACTCGCGAAAAAAGGAAATGAAGATGTAGAGCAGCTGGACGAATGCGAGGAATGCGAGTTGGAGGAACTACTAGAGGAAGAACGCGATTTGGTTTGGCGTTGTGATTTGCGAGAGGACTCATAGGAATCCATTTCGAGGAGGATGCTGTGTAGTTGTTCGTTTGTTTGTGCGAGGTTGGGGGTTGTGGAGGTGAGGGGAGGTCCTTCGATGAATTTGGAGGGGCGGAGGGTGGTTTTTGGGGTGGGTGAGCCTGACATTTTGGGGAGGTGGTGGGTGCTGTGTTGTGTGGTTTGGGTGTGTTCGAAGAATTGGGTTTATATATATATATATATGTGTGTGTTTCTGGATTATCTGTGGTTTCTTCTGTATGTATATAGAAGGATATCGAGGATCGTAGAGTTATCGATACGTAGTTAATAAACTCTCACACAGCCTTGAAGAAGATAGAAAACGTCAAGATTCAAGACAATACAAAACAGCGAATATGATATCAGGTAAAGAAAGCGAAGAAGAGAGATCATCTGCACCTACCGGGGGAACACTCACACTATTTAAAAACAGTAGTTACATACATGGTCGGGTCACTCAAATAATCCATCGTTCTGTGTGCGTCGTAACTCCGACTTTCTTGAGTAAAGTCAACTGGAAAATAGGAATTCTGCGCCCACCAAGCCGCGTTTGAACAGGGATCCAATCGATGTGATTCTGTCATAGTGGAGCTGCTAAAAGCCTAAATCGTCAATTCCCTCATAGGCCCTGCATAGGGTAGCACTACCTAAGGTAATCTTACCAGAACACTCGAAAGTGTTAACCTTGTTGTGTAATTATTTTGCCCCAGAACACCTCATCGATAATGATCAGTTAATAATCCAAGAGGGTTTACTATATGATGGGAACGTTTTGCTGCTTGCAAGAAATCAGAGAGAGGTTATTAGATATTGTCTGGTTCTAGATTTTGGGGAGATAAGGCTGGCGAGAAGAAATTTGAACATTACCGAAAATGAAGGGGGTTCTGCATCCCAAATATTATCATTCCATATATTCTTGCTTGATTATGAATTTCGTGCATCTCACATCACATCAAATGAAATCACTTGACATTACACTACATAAAACTGCTCTCAAATTTCTTACTTTTATAAACTACTGCGTGCTGGGTACACTTCATAAAACAAAAGTTATGCGCATAACACAAGCTATTCATTTTTCAGATTTCGGGGTCCGTCCTACCCTAGAGTACGAAAATACCTAAGAACAAACCCTAAAACATACAAGAACATACCCTATAACATACCGACAAAATTCCGCTGTGCCCGCCTACCTTACGTTGCAATCAATGTTACGCTGCAGAATTACGGATTCATTAGTAGTGGCTTGTGAAGTCGTACTGTAATATCAAATTGATGATTTTACACATACATATCAAATCCTTCTTTTCATACCTACATACTGTAATAACTTCATAAACCATTGGATTTCTTTTCTGTTCTCGGGATATTAGTCTAGGTTAAGACCGTATCCGAGGATGGAGATCTGGACTTAAGGTTTGCGGTCTGGAAGGATTGTAAGCACAGGGCCCGTTGCCCGAGCGAGGGGTGTTCAGGGTAGTCAACTCTTTTAGATGGAGGGATTATGGTTGTAGGGGTCTGGGGATTAGAGAGACTGATGCTCAATTGATATTTTTTGGTGTTTGCAATTGTACCCTGTGTATGTTTGGAGATCTGTGGTTCCTGCCCCTTATCTTTTTGCAAACAAACTCATCACCTACTGCTAACAAAAACCTATTCCATACAGCATTGTAGTATGATTCTCATCACTATCAAATCTAGATATACACCAAGCACCAAGTTTCCCTCCCTCATCTTCCTAATCGGCAAGGCAGATCCGGCCTGGAACATGCAAATGTACGATACCAAAATTGACAGAATCGGAGCTCCGGAGTGCTCGGTCAAGCCTTGAGATGATCTTCAGGGCTAGGCCTGGTCCTCAAGAAAATTACCATAACGTCCTTCGGCTCTCACTCTAACAATTATTTACAAAAAAACAGTGCAGTCGAAACTATCGAATGAGATTTACGATGCGAGACTTCATATTGGATTTCATGGTCAGATTATCAAGCGTTGATTAGAAGTTGTTCTCCGGGGATATAAGATTTCGGCGTTGCGAACGTTTGCCACAAGCCTACAACTAACTTTCTATCGGATATTTACACTCTGTAGAACTTGGTTTGATTGTTTGTTATTTGTATAGCATGGAATTGGTTACTTCAATATATGAACGTACCACGAACCCGTTACCGGTAATAGGCTCAGATTGTCACGGAGTAAGAAAAAATAGACACGTCGACTCTATCATGGGGATTATACGCACTGAACAAGAATTTGACTTCAGGATATAAATAGCAATGAATACCGGTAGGAAGCTACTAATATGTTCAAATATAATAACTTAAGTGCTCCAACGTGTTGTACACAACTGGACCAACATGATTTACCTAAAATCTCACAACATTAAGATCCAGTGAACAGTATCAGTCAGTAACAAAATTTAATCCACCGATAAATCTCAATGGCATAGAACGCTGAACTCACAAGCTACTCTCCCCCTACCGACGAATTATCTCGTACCAAAACCCAAGGTCGATAGAGATTCTAGCATCGCCATTAAGTATCGAAGATGACAATAATAACCATACAAACAACACAAACTTCTCAAGCGGCTTTAGCTCACTTGGGAGAGCGCCAGACTGAAGTCAACTTCAGGAACCTAATAGATTCATCTGTTTATCTGGAGGCACTGTGTTCGATCCACAGAAGCCGCATCCTGCGATCTCGAGTTCACTCAAGATATTATCCTTTTGAACTTTTTGCAATTGATTTGAATGATTTTTAGGTGAGAATGAATGTGGTGGGGTGTGGTGGGGGTTGATGGGTGCAAGCGAAGTAAAGCTAGCGGGGCCTGGCTAATCGATATGAACAAATCAGAAACAAGACTATTAAATCGAATCCATCAACCCCACCAAAATTCTTTTTCAAGCCATGCAAGCCGAAGAAAAGTTTTTTCATCACCAACCCCGAGAGCTCTAGGGAGAAGCGGGACTTTATACAAATTAGCTAGATCATTGGTCAGAAAAGCCTACCATGAGACCTTTCTTGTCCCACAACCAAGTGAATTTTTCGTACGGTTCGCTGAGGATATCGGAAAGTAAACCAGCCTGCCCCTCCCGTTCGCCCTAAAACTTGAGATAGTGGAGAAACCCTCCCAGAAAAGCCCACGTACAGACCTCAAAAAACGCCTACAAAATGTAACAAAAATGCAAAAAGACAGATTTCAAACGTCGGACTCAAACCGATGATACTCAGGGTAACTCCCTACGTTGGATTCGAACCAACAGCCTCAAGATATCAGAATAGAAGTCTTGCGCGCTACCATTGCGCCAGCAGGGAAATCTTGTGATTTTGTATGATGGAGAGAGCTTTTTTAGCCCTATGTTACGGCAAACGTCACTAGTGCTCTATACGGAACACCAACTGATACAAACACTGGATTTGGTAAAGCTAGCCTTTACTTCAAATCTTATAATGTGGTCCATCGAGTTTTCTACTTGAACTGTTTTCCTCTTGTAAATTGTCTCACTTCCTTCCCATACATTTCCTTTCATTCTAAACCCACGTTTCAATCAAGTCTAACAATTATCGAATGCACTATGCTTTGCCGTATCCAACAAGTGTGGAGTATGATGTTCACGACGAATAACGAGTTGTGGACGTTGTGAACTTTTGGGCGACCTTTACTTAAAGCTTAATTTCTCGCATATACTTCAAAGTTGGTGACGGGCTGATGCTTTTTGATGATGATGGGATTGTACAGTTATTCGATAAATTTCTCAGAAGGAATTGGATTCGACATTAGTTGATGGGCATAGTGGCTTTGATTTTCTATATCAATTGCAGAACTATCCTCATTCGGGGGGTAGTCTCAACGATGGAATACTTTCCTTTCAGTCGAAGATGATATCTTCACTAACGCTCGTTCACTCTCATCCAGTCGTCAGTTGTACTGTACCAAGTGTAAATCAAGTTATCTTACGACATGTTATTATCGAACCTATATGCCTCACACCTACTGATACCACATGAAAAATCAAGAAGTCCATGAAATTCAAGAGCATTACCTTGCTTCTCAAAGCATTTTTCACCGTCCACTGGAAACCCACTAGATTCTATTCCTCTCTTCGAATTCAAGCCTTCACCATTTCCACGTCGTGATCCTGCAAACCTACTCACCTACCACGTCGTCCCTTCTAATCGACCTCATCTTTAGCCCGTACTTCTGCATTAATGCTACATTTCGTCGCTTATTTGTTGCGGATTGATCCTGATTTCTTTCCTATATGATAGCGATACGCCTTAATACTGGAAATGACTTCTTAAGCGGGAATGGCTATCTACCTCTGGTGAGTATCAATGTATAGCTGTATCTAGGATGAGTCTAACTCCTAATACTGCTAATGGATATACCGAGGGAACATATCCAGGATTATGAGGTATAGAAAACAATAAGAGCGCTCAGGTCTCTACTCCGGTGTTCCCACTGCTGGATTACATGGTACAAAAGGACTCCAACGCTTTCCCATCAACGGACTTCGATTGAAATCCTCAAGTTCATCTGCAAATTATCGAAGTGGTTTATTTCCGGGAACTGGCGTCTAAACCTATCAAACGATATTGGTGTCCCATGTGAGCACTAATCTCAAGGTCGAAAACATCGAAAAGTTGAAGACCCAAGAGGAAACGAGCAATTGTCAGTCGATGCGGGAATTATGCGAGAAGCTGTCGGCCAAAGATTAGATTGAATGTCGTTGGTCTAAAACTTCAGTTGATATCATCTGGTTTTATAAATCTCAAGGTTTCAAGGTTGGATAACAAATCATGTTTTGAAGCCTTTCAAACAAAAATCCTCTCCAGTGTTTAAACTTAACTAAACTTATGGAAGTGTATACATATTCTGAGTAAGGTTATATCAATTCAAACGTGATACGCATACACAAATAGCGGTCATCACAAAGTTCATCTTAGCAAGTGATCTGCCAAATAGGAATCGCTTGACTGGCTGCAAATATGGAAGACGTTAGACTGGCGATTGGAAACATAGGATCGTGATAAGTCGAGAGATACATAAGTTTAAGAAAAAGCTTGGTATATGTAATTGTGGTTGAAAATCAGAGTATTGAATGCTCTATAGGGAAATATTGGCGATACTGGGAATTGCTTCGAAAACGAGACGGGGTTTGATCAAGGTCAATGAGAAATCACAGAATCACTCTCAACATTCATTCAAATGTTTGAGAAGGGATTGATCTTCAATCTTGAACCTACAAGTATGGTTCTCCTTTACTTCGTTATTGCAAGAGCGTCTCAGTTCACTACACCTTGCTATGCCGAAACATGATCACCAACCAGAGGAAAGTTACGCCTCAGTAACTGTTGTAGGCTATTTAATGGTTTAAGTCTTTCAAATAGTTGAAAACCTGTGAATCTTTGGATTGGATTCATTATTCCAAATGAGTGCAGTCTTCCATATGACTTCTAGAATCAAAACTGTCTAGTTCTCGGAATTCGATTTGGACTACCGGGCTGCATTACTATCCTCGAAACTGGAAATATCGGAATCATCAAATGCTGTAAAATCCTCTTCGAAGCAGAAGTAGCAAAGATAAAATACACTATCTCCCAATTATACGGGTCTTATGTTTCTCCTCTTCCATTCATCTCCATTCACTTTCACAATCACCTTTACCTCACCGTTCCAAAAATAGAAATACTTCGAAGAGTATTGTTGCATATCTGAATATTTAATTATCGTGATTTCTGTATTCAATTGAATTGAATTGATTGATTTTGCGACAATTGCGACATTTATTTTTTATGCTTGTTCAATCAAAACTCCTCCAGCTTCCACCGCAAAGCAATTGGTCATCTAGAAGACCACCCTTCCTATTCCATTTTCCAGCTGAAATGGTTTGATGGAATTTGATTGTCTCAAATTTGGACATTGCGACTTGGGACTCTGTGGTTTGGACATGAGCTCAGAAGGGATTGTGGCTAGCATCTCAATCATCATACTGGCTGATTCTCCGTCTATTCCTGGTCTGTAAACACTTAGGTTCATGCCAGCACAGCCATTCTGGCTCGTTTGTTTTACTCATCTCTCAGCGATTTCCTTACAGGCACTTGAAGTCACCTTGCCATTCAACACCCGTGCTATGAACATCAAAGTAGATCTAACAAACCAAGGTCCATATTGATGGCCATGAACTTCATCTACTATGGATGTGTTAGGGTAGAATATCTGAGTCCTATCGATAATAGTTTAATGTTACCTCTCTAAGTACTTTCGTCGTTTCATAGCATACTTTTGTTTCTGTGCCAATCCTTTCAAGATTTCACCGAAAACGTAGATCTAATGCGACATATGGACAGATTTTATAAAAAGCAAACCGCTGGGATGCAGACTGGGGTATGATCAGGGCTACCCCTGTGTAAAAAAGAAAGGAGTTCTTCATTATTGCGGAGATTATTGACCGAAGATGTGTAGTAAATTCGTCTTGGACGTTGGCAGACCCGCCCACCAATCTTCGTCTCAATTAGTTAGATATCCCCCTGCTATCGCAACATAACAGCGCAACGGCTACTCTTGTCGTGGATTAGATCCTCACTTCCGATTCTACCAATTACCAAGGACCTTTCAACTCAGTGGTTGAGGTGCTATCCCTCGCCTTACCGAGTTTGGTCCCGATGGTGATAATTATGTCCGTCTGAAAACCCTATTCCAACAATGTTGTCCAATCTTATCGTACTTGCCGTCAAATCTGGAAGGCTACACCGGTTTGAAATACAGGTGTTGTGGGACTTCATAGCGTGTATGAGTTAGATGGAGCAGCTGATTCTACGGCTTGGGTTATATATACTGGAATCATCGAGAGATATTTAATAAAAAATGACAGTGCAGAGGAGTAATCTTTTTGAAGCCAATTATTCGATCGGAAGTGATGCTCGATATTTGAAATTTGCGGCATATGCTGGAAGTACATTCATGAGAATTTCATTGCTTGATAAGGTTTTTTGCTCATCCTGTTGACCGGTCGAATGATGATGATGAGGATAAATGTGTACTCAGCGATTAAATTGTTATCACATCACGATCGTGGATTGATGCTCAGGTCTAACAAGCATAACCAGATGGCTGTTTGTACGCCGAGGAGCCAGGAGAATGATCGCCCTATCGTCAGTCGACAGACTATCACTCGTCGAGGCAACTGCGATGGACGTTCAGACTCTAGTGAGCATAACTGTGGTGCGCATTTTCAAGGCAATAGAGGGCTCATTCAATGGAGAAATCGACCCTCTGGATTTGCTAATACAAGATGGCGTCCTGACGAAATTGTACGACTCTGCCTTCGATTGGAAAATAGGGATTTCCTCGTTTTTTGAGTCATGGTAAACCAAACCCTCGCATCCTGGAGATTGGGACTAGAACGGGGGAAACGACAGCAGTGATCCTCGAGAGCTTTGTGTCCACTTATAGAGAACCCATGTTCTCTTCCTGTGCGTTCGAAGATACATCCCCGGGCTTATTCGTGATTAACATAGAGTTTTTTCGCCTCGATATCAGTCAAGATCCAGCCGACCAGAGGTTTCAGGTTGAATCTTACGACTTTATCACTGCAGCAAACGCAAGTAGTCCAGCATTACTCAAACACTTCAAAGCTAAAAGTATTGTGGGTTCTTCAAGCTATGCCGAATATCGGGAAAACATGTCAAATATTCGGAAATTGCTTCAAGCGAATGGAAAATCAATTTGAAAGGATTTATGCTCCGGTAAGACTGACCCGAACAAGGGGACACAATCTCGCGGCAACCGACGTTTCTAGACACAAAAAGGCAACTTTATTATAGCAAGTTATGCACGATGGGAAACGTGACAAGAATAGGTATTGGAGTCGATTATGCTGACGGACTTTTAGGGGCTACTCCCTAGCTAATGGTTGGGTGAAGACGATACCAGAGCTGATGAGCCGATTCGTGTATCCTGTCCATTTCTGATTCCATTTCGGCATTTTTCTGAGAATACCACACCGTTGTTTACGACAACAATTTACTGTATTACCACAACGCAAATATACCTCTTCGCTGTTGACAATGACGGGTAAAAAGAAGGTCTCTATCTTAAGACTGTCGGAGACTTGCTCTATTTCGACTCGGCTTGCTAGCAGTCTTAGAAATTGGGATTATTTGGTGGACTTTTGTTCGTTATCAGAAAGTCCCAAACCCAATCAATATATTATTTCAGTCAAGTATTTTCAAGGAGGGGCTTTGCTCGCAGATGTAAGCGAAGAACTTTCCTTTCAGTTTTGTTGAAAGGGTGGTTTAGCCTGGACCACGCATCAATATGCAACTAATGACTTTCCGATTGTCCATATATCTACAGAGAAGTTTGATGCGCTAAAGGACTTTTATCAGCGATTTAAAATCCGCTGGCCTACTCTGGCTGACAAAGTCTTGTCAAATCGAGTCCACCGAGCCACAATACGCAGAGATCCTAGGTCTCACACGCGCGCTTCGTAACGAGCCCTCAGTGGACTTCGCAACCTTGCAAATCAACAACATCCAGAAACATGCTACTTTTAAGTCTTGACGGAACCTTGAATGTGCTCTCGAAGTTTCAGAGCCGTTCCAAGAAGCAGGAAGTCGACCCTGAATTGGAGTATACGATTCACGATGGCGTAGTACATATTACCCACTTCCATTGGATCTCAATCCCGGATGAGCTTTGCTCAACTGCAACCTCTAAGGCTTCAAAGCGGTGGGATATTGAGATGAGAGGCTTGCTTAAAACTCTTCGTTGTGCCCAAGAGAGAGGAATCGAAGTGAAAGATGATGAAGTCTCATTAGACGTCCGTGATGTGGTCATGAGAATCAGGATAATTTCTATCGAACTTTCCGAACTTGTTTCCAATTGGTCCTGACTTGATCAGGACATTCTCCACACCCTGGGTATTATTGATGAGATTAAAACCCAACTAGTGACCTTGGTTACAGAACTAACTGTTCAAGGTTGCACCGTGCAAATAGTTGCTGGTAGCTTTGCAAATTTGGCCGATATTCAGTGTCTTATCAGTGAAGCGCGTTTCCCAATCGCTGGTATCATTCAAGTTTCAGTGGTTTTGAAGGTAAGCTATTGTCCCCCTACTCGTGATACTTAAGCATCTAAATTCTAACCCCATTCCAGGACGGTGAATATTTTCAAATGACCCACAAGGACTGGGAATCGTTCAAGCACCAATGTTTCAAGGTACATGGGACCTTCACAATGTAGTTGCCTCGGAGCCTCTCGACTTTTTTGTGCTCTTTAGCTCGGTGTCAGGTCAATGGAGTCAATGGGGCAAGTCCAACTATGGCTCTGCCAGCACATTTTGGATGCATTCTCTCAATACCGCCACGGTCAAGGCCTACCCACCTCCGCAATTGACGTTGGCGTCATGGGTGATGTTAATTACATCAGCGAAAATCCCGCCATTCTACAACAGTTCAAGCTAAATGGCGTGCAGATTCTTCGAGAAACGGAACTCTCGATACTCTGCAGCTAGCCATTGTCAAATCGAGTCCAATGGCACAAGTATCCAGACCCCTCACAGATGGCTACACCAGCGAGAGCCAGATTGTGATCGGTTACAAAATGACAATGCCAATCACCAGAGACAACAATCGTAATGTCTGGAAACGTGATGTCCGCTTGAGCTTGTACCGGAACCTAGACAACTACAATCTTGACGACAGCGCCACGAGCAATGAGGGGCCCAAAAAACTCCTTGTCACAGTCTCCAACAACCCGCGGATCCTGAAAGACCCATTCCTGGCCAAGGAAATTGGAAAAACATTGTTCAGTTTCATGATGCCTTTTTCTTAAGGTGCATCGGCAACTTTGTTTTGAGCTTGAGCTTGCTTACCTAATCGGATGTGGAGTATCTTTTGGGGAAAAAGCAATCTTCGAAATAATCACTTTTTCTTCAAAATTCTAATCATTGTTTTCTGATTCAACAGCCCCTACTCGAGTAGATAGTCTTCAATCGGGAACTACATCCCTTTACCTCCCGTCTTACAAATGACAGAGCCTCAGCAATTCGTTGGATAGTATAGTAGATAATCCCAATCTTCGAATAACCTCCCTGCTGCGAAGTATATTGGCAGGTTGATGTGAGCATGATATTCACATTGTATCAAAGCTTATTATCGGAATCGTTTTGAAGGTTGGAGTTGATATTATTCGCCTTTTCGCGTTATTCGGAGATTTTCTTGATGTTCAGCCACCACATTCCCAATGTCGTTGGGACTGAAATGCATATAATCGAAACGAGAAGAATATTGACATCCGATACGGCGATAGCCCAAGCTTCCCGTGAGCCGTGCTATATAGGAGATGAAATCGTCGAGGTTTCCAGGTCAAAGGGCCCGTACTAACGACAGTCTGGGGATCGATGCCCGGCGCATATCTGGGGATCTGCTTGTGAAGTGCTGCAATGAGCACCGCATTTCCGGCAGGAACACCTATAACCGATATCCCTGTATCGTGCACGTCCCGGTATCGTGCACGATTTTGATTTTATTATAAGAATTTATATTAAATTCAATATAAACTATAATAATCTAGAAATTCTTTTAATAGATTATTAAAACTATTGAATTATCTTATTATATTTTTCAAAATCTAATTTGAAATTACAAGAGTTTATTTTGAATCTTTAAAAAAGAAAAGAAAAGAATTATTTTATAAATAAAATAATATCTATTATAAATATCGATTTCAGATCTATTATATCGAATTCTTTGATATTAAAAGTATTATATAAAATTATAAAAAATTTCAAATATTAAAAGAATCAAATTTTATATTGAATTTAATATTATTTATCTTGAAGTTTTATTTAGGAGAATTAAATAATTTATTATAAATAATTCTATTTTTATAATCTTTGATATTAATAATTAAGAATTCTAATAAAGTAAAAATAGAAACTTATAGAAAGTTTGAGTATTTTATTTTATATTAATTTTAATAATTATATTATTATTTATAATAATATTATATAATTGAATTACTATTTCAAATTTGAATATATTTAGAAAAAATAATATTTTATTTTAAATTAGTATTCTTATTTTAGTATAAATTCTCAAATAACTTTAATATTATTATTATTAGTTTATTATATTAATATTTTAATATTAAATTAATTGATTTTTATTAAAATTAAAATCAAAAATCTATTTTTAAAAAGAAAGAGAAAAATTGATTTAAATAATATCTTAAATTATTATTAAAGATTAAATAATCTCAAATCCTATTCTATATAATATATTAGAAAATATTATTAAAACTTATATTAACGTGGTTTATCATGACCCTGCGCAT